TCAACTCACCATGTTACTAATGAAATGTTCAGACCCCTCAACTCACCATTGTTATTAATGTGCAGACCCCTCAACTCACCATTGTTACTAATAAGATATCCAGACACCTAACTCACAATTGTTACTCACCATTGTTACTAATGAGATGTTCATACCCCTCAACTCGCCATTGTTACTCATAAGATATCCAGACCCCTCAACTCACCATTGTTACTAATGTTCAGACCCCCCAACTCAACATTGTTACTAATCAAATGTTCAGACCCCTCAACTCACCATTGTTACTAATGAGATGTTCATACCCCTCAACTCGCCATTGTTACTCATAAGATATCCAGACCCCTCAACTCACCATTGTTACTAATGTTCCATCACCATGTTACTAATGTTACTCATCAACTCACCATTGTTATTAATGTGCAGACCCCTCAACTCACCATTGTTACTAATAAGATATTCAGACACCTAACCTCACCATTGTTACTAATGTTCAGACCCCTCAACTCACCATTGTTACTAATGAGATGTTCATACTCCTCAACTCACCATTGTTACTACAGACACCTCAACTCACCATTGTTACTAATGAGATGTTCAGACCCCTCAACTCACCATTGTTACTAATGAGATGTTCAGACCCCTCAACTCACCATTGTTACTAATTAGATTTCCAGTCCCCTCAACTCACCATTGTTACTAATGTTCTGACCCCTCAACTCAACATTGTTACTAATGAAATGTTCAGACCCCTCAACTCACCATTGTTAAATAATGTTACAGATATTCAGCCTAATGTTCAGACCCCTCAATACTCACCATTCATATTGTTACTAATGAGATGTTCAGACCCCTCAACTCACCATTGTTACTAATGTTCAGACCCATCAACTCACTCAAATTGTTACTAATGTTCAGACCCCTCAACTCACCATTGTTACTAATGAAATGTTCAGGCCCTTCAACTCACCATTGTTACTAATGTTCAGACCCCTCAACTCACCATGTTACTAATGAAATGCTCAGACCCCTCAACTCACCATTGTTACTCATAAGATATCCAGACCCCTCAACTCACAATTGTTACTAATGTTCAGACCCCTCAACTCACCATTGTTACTCATAAGATATCCAGACCCCTCAACTCACCATTGTTACTAATGTTCAGACACCTCAACTCACCATTGTTACTCATAAGATATCCAGACCCCTCAACTCACCATTGTTACTAATGTTCAGACATCTCAACTCACCATTGTTACTAATAAGAAGTTCAGACCCCTCAACTCACCATTGTAACTAATGTTCAGACACCTCAACTCACCATTGTTACTAATAAGATGTTCAGACCCCTCAACTCACCATTGTTACTAATGTTCAGACACCTCAACTCACCATTGTTACTCATAAGATATCCAGACCCCTCAACTCACCATTGTTACTAATGTTCAGACATCTCAACTCACCATTGTTACTAATAAGAAGTTCAGACCCCTCAACTCACCATTGTAACTAATGTTCAGACACCTCAACTCACCATTGTTACTAATAAGATGTTCAGACCCCTCAACTCACCATTGTTACTAATGTTCAGACACCTCAACTCACCATTGTTACTAATGAGATGTTCATACCCCTCAACTCACCATTGTTACTCATAAGATATCAAGACCTCTCAACTCACCATTGTTACTAATGTTCAGACCCCTCAACTCACCATTGTTACTAATGAGATGTTCATACTCCTCAACTCACCATTGTTACTAATGTTCAGACCCCTCAACTCAATATTGTTATTAATGAGATGTTCAGACCCCTCAACTCACCACGTTACTAATGAAATGTTCAGGCCCTTCAACTCACCATTGTTAATAATGTTCAGGCCAATTATCTCACCATTCATACTAATAAGTTGTTCAGACCCCTCAACTCACCATTGTTAATAATGTTCAGACCCCTCAACTCACAATTGTTACTAATGTTCAGACCCCTCAACTCACCATTGTTACTCATAAGATATCCAGACCCCTCAACTCACCATTGTTACTAATGTTCAGACACCTCAACTCACCATTGTTACTCATAAGATATCAAGACCCCTCAACTCACCATTGTTACTAATGTTCAGACCCCTTAACTCAACATTGTTACTAATGAGATGTTCAGACCCCTAAAGTCACCATGTTACTAATGAAATGTTCAGACCCCTCAACTCACCATTGTTACTAATGTGCAGATCCCTCAACTCACCATTGTAACTAATAAGATATCCAGACACCTAACCTCACAATTGTTACTAATGTTCAGACCCCACAACTCGCCATTATTACTAATGAGATGTTCATACTCCTCAACTCGCCATTGTTACTCATAAGATATCCAGACCCCTCAACTCACCATTGTTACTAATGTTCAGACCCCCCAACTCAACATTGTTACTAATGAGATGTTCAGACCCCTAAAGTCACCATGTTACTAATGAAATGTTCAGACCCCTCAACTCACCATTGTTATTAATGTGCAGACCCCTCAACTCACCATTGTTACTAATAAGATATTCAGACACCTAACCTCACCATTGTTACTAATGTTCAGACCCCTCAACTCACCATTGTTACTAATGAGATGTTCATACTCCTCAAATCACCATTGTTACTAATGTTCAGACCCCTCAACTCAATATTGTTACTAATGAGATGTTCAGACCCCTCAACTCACCATGTTACTAATGAAATGTTCAGGCCCTTCAACTCACCATTGTTAATAATGTTCAGGCCAATTATCTCACCATTCATACTAATAAGATGTTCAGACCCCTCAATTCACCTTTGTTACTAATGTTCAGACCCCTCAACTCACAATTGTTACTAATGTTCAGACCCCTCAACTCACCATTGTTACTAATGAAATGTTCAGGCCCTTCAACTCACCATTGTTACTAATGTTCAGACCCCTCAACTCACCATGTTACTAATGAAATGCTCAGACCCCTCAACTCACCATTGTTACTCATAAGATATCCAGACCCCTCAACTCACAATTGTTACTAATGTTCAGACCCCTCAACTCACCATTGTTACTCATAAGATATCCAGACCCCTCAACTCACCATTGTTACTAATGTTCAGACACCTCAACTCACCATTGTTACTCATAAGATATCCAGACCCCTCAACTCACCATTGTTACTAATGTTCAGACATCTCAACTCACCATTGTTACTAATAAGAAGTTCAGACCCCTCAACTCACCATTGTAACTAATGTTCAGACACCTCAACTCACCATTGTTACTAATAAGATGTTCAGACCCCTCAACTCACCATTGTTACTAATGTTCAGACACCTCAACTCACCATTGTTACTCATAAGATATCCAGACCCCTCAACTCACCATTGTTACTAATGTTCAGACATCTCAACTCACCATTGTTACTAATAAGAAGTTCAGACCCCTCAACTCACCATTGTAACTAATGTTCAGACACCTCAACTCACCATTGTTACTAATGAGATGTTCAGACCCCTCAACTCACCATTGTTACTAATGAGATGTTCATACCCCTCAACTCGCCATTGTTACTCATAAGATATCCAGACCCCTCAACTCACCATTGTTACTAATGTTCAGACCCCTCAACTCACCATTGTTACTAATGAGATGTTCATACTCCTCAACTCACCATTGTTACTAATGTTCAGACCCCTCAACTCAATATTGTTACTAATGAGATGTTCAGACCCCTCAACTCACCACGTTACTAATGAAATGTTCAGGCCCTTCAACTCACCATTGTTAATAATGTTCAGGCCAATTATCTCACCATTCATACTAATAAGTTGTTCAGACCCCTCAACTCACCATTGTTAATAATGTTCAGACCCCTCAACTCACAATTGTTACTAATGTTCAGACCCCTCAACTCACCATTGTTACTCATAAGATATCCAGACCCCTCAACTCACCATTGTTACTAATGTTCAGACACCTCAACTCACCATTGTTACTCATAAGATATCAAGACCCCTCAACTCACCATTGTTACTAATGTTCAGACCCCTTAACTCAACATTGTTACTAATGAGATGTTCAGACCCCTAAAGTCACCATGTTACTAATGAAATGTTCAGACCCCTCAACTCACCATTGTTACTAATGTGCAGATCCCTCAACTCACCATTGTAACTAATAAGATATCCAGACACCTAACCTCACAATTGTTACTAATGTTCAGACCCCACAACTCGCCATTATTACTAATGAGATGTTCATACTCCTCAACTCACCATTGTTACTCATAAGATATCAAAACCCCTCAACTCACCATTGTTACTAATGTTCAGACCCCTCAACTCAACATTGTTACTAATGAGATGTTCAGACCCCTCAACTCACCACGTTACTAATGTTCAGACACCTCAACTCACCATTGTTACTAATTAGATATTCAGACACCTCAACTCACCATTGTTACTAATAAGATGTTTAGTTATTCATTCTGATGAACTGTAACTCTGTCCCTACTAGTATTACATCAGGATATTCGGCACTCTCCTAATATCAATTTTCCTTACCAAACACCGGTGTTAATGTATACATAGTGGCGCAAACATATTTCCTTGAATCCGCACCATACCCACACAAAACTTTAAAAATATGTATCTGTATGAAATTTTAAATGATACCGAAACATTTTTAATTTGCGTATTCTCTAAATCCAATTTTGTCGGGAAATAGTATCAACATTACCAAGATCACTCCTAAAAATGCTGTAAACCGTCAGCTGGTGTTAATGTAAATCAAAATACATACTAATAATAGCATCAATTTTATCACTAATATTACATATTGTAGCCATGAGGTCGCGATAAAATACATGCTTGTTGGTATATTGTTTTCAGGAACTATCAAGTCTAATTTTCTGTAAAGTATCAAATAAATTTCAAATAACAAGGGTTGTGTTGAGATAAGGGGAGAGACTGTCATAACGTATAACGTAGTACCCATATACTTACCGGTCTATGTTGATAGGAGTTGCGAGTCTCGCCCTTCATCTTGCTGTCTGTCTTATCGTCCGTGTGTGGCGATTCCTGTCCGAGTATGTACTCCTGGTCACTCACGAATTCGGACATGTATATTGTCTGTGGTCAGTATACATGTAGACGTGCTCCACGCTGGTCACTCGCTGACTTACTATGAATTTATAATGAATATCTACACAGGCCTCATTAGCGCTAATGTACAGGTGGGCAAGCCGTAAGAACCAGTGGTAAATAATTAACGAGAAGTGGTGTGTTAGGTATACCGCACAGGTATTATAAAGTGTGTAACCTGGTAACCATGTAAGTAAGCTACACAGGTGTGCACGGGTGTGCAAGCTACGCCCACACCAATGTCCAAACCCCGGTTATACTTGGTCATCTTAATGAAGCATCAAGTCAGGGTACGCTCGATCTAATTTGCCGGACACATCATTTCGAATCTTTCTCATTTGACACGCGATATTTGCACGCGAGGACAGGTACGCGTACGACAAAGAGTTAATTTTGTTAGTGATTACGGGTATACAGGTAGCGCACAACTGTATATAAACTTGCTGCATTGAAGCATTGTAAAGATGGGGAGATTTACATGATACAGAAGGGAGAAAGTTGGGACTGGGTTGGGAGTAGAGAGTGCGAACAAAGTAAATAGACCGGTACTGAAGCTTGTCAGAGAGGGGTGGAGGTTGAGTGAGTTGTAAGGGAGGGGCTGTCTGGATGAGGATGAAAACCATCAGTCACACAGATAAGGGGAGGAGCTACGAGAAATTATAATCAATACATATCACTATATTTGGAAAAGAAAATGAAAATGGAATACGGTCAAAAAAAATATATCCAGTTTTATCTATGACTAATCAATAATTCTACTTTTCATTACATGAACTAATCGATGTTAGGACTTTGAAATGGCAATACCCGACAAGTTCGCCGATAAAACAAACATCAACAGGTGTAATAAAACCTATGAAATATTCATACTAGATTTACGTAGTCGGAAAAGGCCTGACATTAAAGCTGCAAGAAACGATTCGCCCATTTCCGGCTAGTATTTTCATATGGCGGGAAAAAACACGAGTGGTGAATTACAGCATGCAATCAGAAAGTCACGTGACATTTCCAACAAGTGCGAAAAATCCATTCTTTCCAGGATGATTAACGCTGGTCCTTAATTTCCCTCATCAAGTTTTAGAGTAAAACAAAAGTTTAGAGGGCTTTCTTTTAAGATTTTTATTCGAATGAAAATAATCTTCAAATCTGCATTCCTTTAGGGTTTTTTTTATTACCACGACTGATAAAAGAAGATGATATGTACATAATTATTTTGAGCCATCTTGTAATGTATATATGCAATTGTTTTTCTTCTAACGGAAATGGCGTTAACAATGTTATTTTAACTTGTGTTCAATTATTTTGCTTAAAGGTAATAAAATATGTTTAAACTAAATAAAAAAAGATGACGATAATGACGAAGGCGTTTTTTTTTCAACATCAAATCCAAATTTGAGTTCATCGTAAAGAAGTCCATTCGTATACCTTCGTTAAGAAAGATGCTAGCGGGTCATAGTCGTGGAAAGTTAAAGACAAATTATAATTTGGAAGAAGACAACTGATAATGAAAGAACATAAGTAATTAAAACACCAAAGAAAACGTTTTCGGTGAGGGTGGCGAGGGAGGGCTCAATTCTTCTTCAAAATATGCACATCGTAATTAGAAATCTATTTATCACTTTTTGTGTCCAATCTTTTTAAGTGGTTAGGTTAAAGTCTGTTCCAAAAGGATTTTTTAAAACTGGAAATGTATTCTTTCTGTGATCGAGTTTGTGATTGTTTACGAACTGTAACCTTGCCGATATATATGTATAGTGCATTTAACTGCTGATTTTTATCAAATAACTTTTTCTTGTAACTACACATACATTTCTTATTTTTCTACAATAAATTTTCTTATTTTTTAATCAAACAATTCCTCATCTAGAATGTGGCCGAGATAGACCAGTAGACTATTTTCTTCGGAGTGCGACATGCGATTGTTTTCGTTGCGATCACATATACTCTCAGGGTCTAGGGTGCAAAACTATGGAGATTGTATAAAACATTTTTGATATTTTAATTACCACCTTCCATACTACTTGAGGTGGATTTTTTCCCCATTATCGGTGTCCACCAGCCGAAGGGATTATCGAGACACCTAAATTTACACCACCGCTCTCGATTTAGATTTATAACTTTGTATTTGTTTTATGTTCTGTGTATGTGATGTAATTTATGTAATATTTGTGTCTTATTTTATATACAACCTGACCGAAAACAGACATTTTCTTCCAGTAGTGTCCGTCCTAAATTCAAAATCAGAGATGTGTATTCATGTGACCAGAATGTCACAGAATTATTTCCACTCTCGATAGATTTTGCTGGGAATTCCAGACTACTTCTTTGATGTAAAAAGCCTGGACATTTCGGAAATAAGCGTACTAATATAGCACGGTAATGACTTCCTGCAGTCAGAGACGTATATATGTGATATATATGTCTCTGCTGCAGTCCATTGGTAATAGGAAAGATTTTTTTTCGTTTCACTGCGGGCGTCAAATCAATGAAGGTTTGCTTCGTCATTTCCGTGTTTATTGTTTTTGTTGATAATTATTTGTAACTGCATGGTTTCAAAAGGCTATTAAACATATCCGTCATGTTTGACAGTGCTGTGCATTCCACTCCAATGCCGATCGTCCGCTTCATCCGTCAGTATTGTTTTACTGCAGTTCCCTAGAGCGTCACCATGTCTATAGGAAATGGGAAACAGTGTTAACTGCGTTAAATTGTAATTGATTAAAATCGAACACGTTTGATTCACTTTTGTGCCCTGAAGGAATACACTTACAGATTTAACCGCGCAAGATTTTCGGGTTTTGCATTTTTTCGGGCACAATTTGAAAACTAATATTACATTATCACGCAGGGTTCCGGAATTAATCATGACCATATATTGATTTTCTGCAACCTACAGGAAAAAAACTTTGCCCGATATCTTCAGTATTTATTGTTACTTAAATGTCATCTGAACATTCCGTGATTGGACTTCCATGATATGTACTATAGTATTATCGACAGCTACTAGAATCTGACACTATTTTCTCTATCTTTCTTTTGGCTAACTACAGGCACTCAACAATTTATCTTCCTGTGTCTTGATTGCTTATAAGAAAACACAGGAATACCTGTGAATTTTCGTCATAGTGGATGGTTATTGTTAACATTGTAAGGGAGGTAATTCAGAATTTTAGAATAATATATATAAAAAAAAAACAAGATGTATTTATAAAACACTATGCCTCCCGTTGCATCAAAATTCTGAAACGGGACATTAAAATTGTACCATGTAAGGCATGTGCTTATTGCATACACACTTTGTGACACATTTATGCCTCATACTGCAATAACTTAGGACCAATGTGAAAGTTTTTTTTTCAAATGTAGGTCAAAGGTCTCGGTCACGGTCATATGGTCAACAAATTTGGGACCCCCGGAAAGGTCTTGTCACAAGGAAAACATGCCAAATATGAAAGCCCTACCTCTTACGGTGCAACAATTATCGACAAGGTTAAAGTTGACAGCAGACAAACGGACAGCACAAAACAATCTGCCCCTGATCTTGTGATCCGTGGGTATATAAACTTCCGCTCGCACCAACATTTACCAAAATTTGAACAAAAATAGATAAAAAAATAATAAAAAGAACCTACCCTCCAGCGCATATTTTATTATTATTATTTTTCCGAAAAAACTACTTTTCAAATAGGTATGGCCTACGTTGAAATTGCTTTGTGGGATGAAATCGATTAATCATGAAAGTTATATTTTACATTTTGTATATGATCTGTCGATCATCCGAATATAAAGTTACAAAACAGCAAACGTTTGATATATCTATCGATACACAACTAACTACTTCTCTGCAACTCTTGAAATTCAAACTTTTACATTTGATAAGAGAAAAACTGACCAATCACAGGCTGATACGATCCTTTTGAATATTACAAAGGAGCGACACCCAACTTCAAAGCAATTACAATATATCATTATGCGACCTCGAGATTGAGAACACGTCGGTAGTTTAAAAGTGAAACTACAAAATATAAACACGACGGTTGTTGACTGTTTACTCAAGCTTAATCTTTTAAGATGTAACCCATAACATTTATAACCAAATAAACGAATGTATTTTTTTTTGTATTTTCCCGCGAAAGTCTTAACACTTCGTTGTACTTCCGACATTGAAGAGTTCCCTCCTCGACCTTCGATCAAATGGCATGAAACGCGAAGGACTTGGGATTTCCTGTACGAATTGAAAGAGAAACAATGGATCTTCCAGTCACTGAGATAAATCTGGTCAGAGGAACAAGTGGTACGCAATACAAGATTATGTAAACGATGATTGAAAGATTTGTGTCCCAAAGTTTTTGTCTTTCTTTGACACATCACAAAACAAACAACCGGCCGGCTTCCCATGTTGATCGATTCTGTCTGTGAAGTATGAAAGCTCTTTCTATACTAAACCTGTAAAATTCAGTACAGAGCACGAGTTCCGGCAGCCTACCTTTATTACTTTTATGGGACTGTTCTTATAGTGACGAATTGATTTTTTCCGCATGACAAGATAACAATCATTTATTTACTAGTGTATTGAAAATCAGTTTGTAGGAAATCTGATTCCGGCAACCGGGGACGTCCCTGCGGCAACTTAATTAGTCATGTAAATTAGGGTTTCTTACCATAACTGGATATTGTTGTAATGTATATTTTCTGAGTCATTATTAGCAATAATGTCCATGCCAGGTTACAAAAACGCTATAGACTTATAATTATACATGCAAGTCCATATTAGCAACAGGTGTCAACTTAGGGTTTAGAAAATCACGCCGTAAATATTATGTTTTGATATTTACAATTATTTATAGTGTCTTGACATTTAGCCGGCTTTGCTACTGACATTACGACCATTCAGCAATCCACCTTAGCAACAACAACCACAGGAATTGGACTATTTATATGTGTATATATAAATAATGTCGTACTACTAAATTAGCTGGATTCAGGTAAAACAATAGGTATATATTTCATATATGAAACATTCAATTTCTAGCTTTTATATCACTTATAAAACATTCTATTCCTGTGTAACATGTTAAAGTTGTGTGAAGATACAGGTAGAATCTTCAGTTCTGAAGTTAAGGGGCCATGGGCCATGTCTGACTCTCTTTATCACTAGCCCTCCACCAGTGAGTCTACGTTTGACAGTCAATAGGTACTTGATACACATCAGTTTTTTTCGTCAAAATAAATACAGCTTATATTTTAAGCGCCGACCATATGTACGCTATATCTCTCTAATGAACCAGATTTATATAGTTTCTTGTTTAAATGTATCTTTATAATTGTTTTTTATTTACTATCTGTAGGTCTTGGTTTCAACATTCGTGGAGGAGTAGATGCTCCACATATTCAGGGAGATTCTGGGATTTTCGTCACCAAGATTAGAGAAGATGGATCTGCATTTAAAGATGGACAGTTAAAGGAAGGAGACAAAGTGTTAGAGGTAGTATTTAACCCAGGGTCTTAAATATACACACACACACACACACACACACACACACACACACACACATACACACACACACACACACACACAGAACAAGTTAAAGATCATCACATGAACTCTGGAAGAAAAGATACTTTTCATGAAACAACTGTCTTAAGACTATCCATTCCAAAGTAAGATATGTCCAATATTTTACCAAACATGAAGATAGCCTATCAGATTTCTTATGAAATTATATTGGCAGAACCATTATATGTTAAAAAAGAATTTAAACCACATATGCTGTTAGAATATAAAGTAATTTTCCATTTGAAGAATGGGGTAGTGGTTAAAGTTGATGGAGTATATTTTACCAGCTTCTAGCTGTTTGTCAATGTAAATGGTTTAGGAGGATATCTTCACAGCTATTAGTATGTGTTTGAAACCCCAGAGTGTTCCTAAACTGTCTTGAATATTCAATTTGGACATTTTCTATTATTACCAGGTGAATGGATTAGACTTGTCCCAAGTCACACACCAGGAAGCTGTGTCTTGTTTTGTTAATGCGGGAGAAGATGTCAGGATGAAGGTTCAGCAGGGAGCTGAAGCTTTAATCACGGTAAGAACTGATTTAATTTCTATTTGGCTCAATTATGTGTGATAGATTTACACTTCAAACATCTATCTTTACAAAACCCGAAAAAGTAAAATTGCAGGAAATCTTGTCATATTTTGGCATTGGTATTAACTGCATTGTGAAATTTATGGAAGTTATTTCAATTATTGCAAAGAATCTGGTTTGTAACACCTTTTCAATTTGAATTTTGGGTTTTGATATAAGTACTCAGCATTGTCCCACAGACATCGCTGTATCCTTCTTGAAACTCGACAAGTTTTCTACTGGAGGGGAGATGGTAACCCTGTTAAATACTAGCTGCAATATACAGCTCGGCTAGAGAGAACTTGTCTTTAGCTAGATCAGTTGAGCATCAGACTAGTTAGCCAGGGGTCCTGTGTTTGAGTCCTCAGTTACAGTTGTATATTCAACAATATATTTTTTATGACAGAAACGACTAGAAGACTCAATGGCAAAGCAAAGCAAGGGAAAAACTCCAGACGATAAAAGTGGATCGTGGAAACTTCCACTAATGCTCCTCCTTGTTGGTGTAGCTGGTGCAGGCGCCTTCGTGTATTGGAGGAAAGCATTTCGATGATATAAAAACTGTGATACCTTTCAAATGTATTATAAGTTAATGACAGTGGTGTTTAAGTGATAAGACCGTAAGACAATATCCTTTTATGATATATTTCCCATTGGTGGAGAACAGAAAATCTTTTATAAGATGCTTCTGGTTTTGAATAAAATTACCTGAATGTGAAGTAAAATCTCAGTTGTACAGTAATTATATACCTATAAAAGTGTTTGCAAAGATTAAAGTTTGTTACAGAGTACATGGGTAAAATCCACATTATCAGGCATGTAGAGATGATACGCTATGTCTTGTTACAACCAATTGGGGCATATTTAACCCTGGTCACCTTAGTGAAAGTGAATTTTTATGTGATTTGCTGTGCAGCTCAACCATCTGACTTTCCATGTAGTGGTTCAGTACGCATTGCATGTGCAAGTATAATTTTTTCATTTTTTGTTTTATTGTAAGAAAATTGAACAGCTCTGAAATATTTTTTCGCTATTTCAAATACTTGATATATAATATCAGAAAAATGAATTTTAGAAGGAAGTTAGTACTAACCTGTACTCCACCAATGGGGAATAATGCATTGTAAAATGTACAGTTTTGGGCACATGATTATATAATCTTAACAATTCACAACAAGTGTTACCTGTGTGTCTTACATAGTCATATAAGATGTGTATAAAACAACAATGCCTGTCAGAATTTTGTTGGTGCCTTCCATTTCTTATCTTCTGTATTTTAGCAACTAAGTATCTAATATTGATTGGAGCACAATAGGAACATTATTTTTTTTTTGTTTTTTTTTGTTCCACAAAGGTTTGAGAAATGTCAATGATCAAATATACAAAATATTGGGTTGGCAATCGTTTGATGAAACTTAGATTAGAATTTAAATGTTTTCATTTGAAAATTTTTGAAGTATAGAAAAGTACAGTTTTTATTGGCATTTGTTTTCATAGCTCATATTGCTTAAATTAAGGCTTGCTTTTATCTTTTTCTCCGACCTAAAATTAATAATAGTAGTATGAATATTTTCTCAAAATATTTTTTTCTTCAGAACTGTCATCTCATTTGGTGAATCAATATTTTATAAGAAAAAAACTGTTAGTTCTGGTATGGAAAGATTTAAATAAGAACTTTTTAAAAATACAGATTTATAATCAAGTTGTGTTAATTGTGGTTCTAGAACTTGGGGTCTGAATGAGATCTATATATATGTTATTTGAGAATTGTGTTTCGTACAAATAGAATTGAGGATTAAGGGTGCTTCTTTGTAAATCTCCCTTATAATAGGAGATGGATATATACCTTTCCATATTGTTCCAATGGAAAATAATTATGAAATGCAATGTTACCAATATATATATCAATGTGTGCTTGTATTTTGAGATTTTCCTACAGAGAAAAAACTTAAAAACTTCATTTTGGAGACAAATGAAAGTAGGGGAAATGTTTCATCACTAGATTCTATTTTGTTTATCACTAAATTTTGTTTGTGTTGCTGAACGTTATTTTGTTGCTTTCTTTTGCACAGATTAAAGACGGAATGTAAGTGTGTGAGGAAATGGGTACTCAAATGATACTCTTAGCAATGAGAATAATCACTTGGTCACTTTCTATACAGACTTGAGATTTCTCTGTAGTTTCGAATGTTTTGTACCAAGTTATGTGTCAGACAGTGGATAGAAAGTGACTCAAATTAATAGTGAATTTGTTTAATATTGATTAAAAATGTTTATACATTTTTAGATTAAAAGACATTTAAAAGATGCACATCAAAATGGTTAATATAAATTTGTTTGAATTAAAAGGAAGTGATACGTAGTGAAAAAATCTACAGATAATAACCAGATTATCTTAAATTAAGAAAAAATGTTTATGTGAAAACTCTTACAAAATGAATCATATAATTTCTTTGGCTGTGAACATTATTTGGTTTGACCAGATTGTTGAGAGTTGTTTGGTTATAAGTATGGACCTACAGGTCTTATTTTGCTCTCTGATGGTCTTGACAAAGCTTTTTGAGATCTGCATTAACACAGGCAGGTCTGTTGTATCTTATGCCAGAAATGCTACATTTGAAGTGATGACAAACCTGATTGTAGGCAAAGAAATCCACAGTGGTGTTTGGAGATATATTTGCTCTCCATTATGACGTTACCAGGTGACTTTCTTGGATTAGTACTACTAGATAATGTAGAGTATTGTGTGCCATATTTCACAACAAATTGATCTCACCTATTCATTATTCTGGGTAATGAATATATGTGTGCATTTTTTTAATATAAGATGCATAAAAACCATGAAGCACTGTAGCTGTAGGTCATAGTTAATGTGGTACAGGTACAGGCCTGGGACACATTTCAAATGAATAATCTGTACAGGGATTTCACAAGAAAACCATACATTTCTTAATTGAGACCAAAGTTGTTATCTCTTTGTAAAATTGTGATTAACTACAATGTGAATATAAGACGGGATATGTCCAGAGCCTGTCAAATCGTGACAGAATAATGGAGGTTTAACATTGAAGGATGTTATGTGTAATGGACTGGTGTCCACGGCCTGTTGAACTACCATAACCTATGTAATATGTCAAAGTCTACTTAACTTGTGTTGGAGTGAAGTTTCATCGTTTAAAAGCTCAAATGTTTATACATAACAGCAAAAGAGATTTTAATGAATGTTTTCAAATCTTGTTGAAATTTCAGAGAGGTGTACATGTTTTAGCCTGTTCATGAATATAGTGGTAATATGAGGTGATGTAAAATTCCAGTTAAAGAATAAATCAGATTAAGTGAGATTGAATGAGATATTTAGTTAAGGGAATATAACTGAGGTATTATCAGAGCAAATGTGATTTTATGCATACGGTCATTCTGACATGAAATGCAGGCAAGAAATTTCAGCTGTGTATTGAATTTACATGTTTGTCAAAAAAACCTATCTGATATATATTAGTGGAATAGAAGATAGCATGCATTTATACCATACATGTAGCTGTGGTGATACCAACATTTTTTCAGTGTAATGATTTGTAATCCTACATGGGTTTGTGGTGACTGTTTCCTCAACTCGGGAGTGGTGCAGAACTATATTTACAAAAAGACCTTTCATACTCATTTCAACTTTCACTAGATTTTATGTACAGCCTTGATTATTTATGTTGAATGTCTTGACTCGAAAACATATACATACCTGGTAGTCACATTTTCATCATTCCATATCACACACCTTAGTGTAACCTTTTGTCGATCAGAAAAGTATTCTCAACAATAGCTTTGTATGCTGCATTCCCATGTAGCTTTGAATTCAATCATATAGCTTAGGTATTTGACAAGGTCACCAGTGTGCTTATCTAATTTCTTACTTTATATCTTGCTATCCAACATATCCGTATGCAAAATTAAAAAAAAACCAAATCGCTTTTGTTAAAAATTCTAGCAAGCCATCATTGCTTTTAAAATGTGACAGAATTCTGAAAAAAAACCTCTGGATCATTTAAAAAAAAAAAAAAAATATGTATATTTACCACAATGTCTGTAAAAATGTCTGTCTTGATGGAATGTTTGTTTTTTCTGAGGTACTAATTTTGTATGTTTTAAAGTGGTAATTTGTGTTTAGAAAGTATGCATCGAAAACCAGTGTTAACTCCTACACTCTTGTCAGTTGATATTTGTAAGAATGATGAAACCACTAGTTAAGCATGTTTACTTTTAAAGCATTGAGAGTAAAAACTAAAACAGTATTTTAAGTATATGTATGTTTTTCAACTAAAATCGTGTGCAAATACAAATTTACAATATTTCAAATGGGTAAAGTTTGAGTGCTTTGCTTTTTGAAGGAAAGTTTTTATTAACTCTACAGAGTTTGACTGATAGATGTGTCGCACAATTTAAGAGACCCTTCTATACTGAATTTATTTTAGTATGAATACAAAACATGAATTTATGACTTTGATGTATAAATGTGTGTAGTAAATGACACTTTGTAGCGATGAATGTTTTGAATTTTGTCTTCAGTTTGTCTTTGATGTTTTTTTTGTAGTCTGTTTATATGAAATATAACAACAATTTTGTTTTAATATGATTCTGTGTTTAATAAAACCTATCCTGTTACATTACTATTGTTCTAATTATGTAGCATGAATGTTCACAGCTGTGACTAGAATTCTTGAATATCATCTATTTCATATTGAAAACAGAAAATATCTCTAAAAATTATAGACAAGAAAGAGAAGTAATGAGCGTTCATAGCTGAGTAAGGTAATCTTGTGGTAGAAATAATCCCTTCAAGATGATAGCCACAAACTGTTGTTGATGTTAGCGAGATGGTGATCACTGCAAGAGGTGCTGCGTTAGTGAGGCGCACCATCCATCAGGCTGAAATGAAACACTAGGGAAGGAGATTTCTGTACACAATTAAAATGCCAAAAAGCATAGGGCAATAACTTCTGAATCTAACTGCAGGAAAAAAACACTTGATGTTGTGGAGATTATGCCTACAAAATTTGAAAGAACTCAGTTGAAATCAGATTTCCAGACAAAATTAACATCAGGAAAACAAGGGGCAGCAACTCTTCTAAATACAGTAAAATCTAACTGATGTTCAGGATAGCATAACTTGTAAAGTGATAAAGCCTACAAAGGTTAAAGAAATAAGTTGAAACTGAGAGATCTACAGACAAAAGTATATGACAGATACACGGATGATGTTATACTGTAATATGCCCCACCAATGGGTGGTAAGTCAAAATGGCGATAACTTTTTTAATAAACAGGTAATAAGCTACTATGTAGTTATTTGCTGCATTAATGATCATAACTAAAAATTGCACAGAAGCCAATTTCACCTCTGAAGAGAAAACATTCCAGCACCTCTGAAGAGAAGACACTTCAGCTTCTCTTCATACCTTTGAAGAGAAGACACTTCAGCACCTCTGAAGAGAAGACACTTCAGCTTCTCTTCATACCTTTGAAGAGAAGACACTTCAGCACCTCTGAGAAGAGTTGTTGAAGGATGGATTAAAGAAGGTTAATTTGAAAAGTCCATCTTGATAGTGAGCTACAAATGGCAGAAATATGTACCCACATACTAAGATATTTCTATCTTTTTAAGTGTCTTGTACCATTTTTGACCTCGTAAGTGCACTGTGGTCTTAACATATAGGGGTATGCTTTATAAAACTATTTACTGGCAAACATTTCAACATGAAATGAGTTGAAAAAAAACTGTGGTTAAAGAAATCACAATTCAAATTTAAAATGACATTTATTTCAAACATGTATTCCTTTATGGCTGGTATATAAGAGGCCAAGTGCTGAAAGACTGAATATTGTGTAGGCAATTCAGTTCAGTAAGCAATTCTTTAATGGGTGAAGTAAGTGCACCTATCTTCTTTCAAAGAAAAAATGTGAAGTGCATTGAGACAATTTAAACAATGAAAACATAACTAGAGACATCGGAAATAGTTTTTATTTAGAGATTTACTGTACTACACTTTCCACTTTCTCAAAATCATATCACCAATTAGACAAGCACACTATGACATGGGAGGTAAAAATAACACAAATTTCTGATATTCACAAAATAATGTCACTGCAGACTAGAAATTCTTGATGAACAAAATATTGCAGACAATACTTTATTGTTAGCTTAAAAACGACAAAGTAAAAGGGATGTATCGTAAAAAGACTTTCGACTACACCTATGTTGGCAAGTTCTTTCGAATGTAGCCTGAAAAGCAAATGCAAAGTGAGCTGGTAGTAAATTGGATTAAATGTAAAACTTTGGTGCTTGTAAACTAAACACTGACAATGTAACAGAGAAAATATAGAAATCATCTGCAAAGTCTCAATAGTCTTCTCCGGGGGGAAGATCTGCCGATATACTCCAACGGATAAAAAAAAAATCTAACCACATTAGTGTCAAAGCCTTCAGTAATCCAGGAGGCCACTGATCAGCTCATCTATCATTGTAATGATCGTTTAAACAAGATTTCTGTCAAAACTGTATTGTGTAAACATTGTTAAAGCATTTTAAAACATACAAGGAAATAACATCACCATTTTTACTAATTTCCATACAAATTAAGTCTGCAAAATATTGAAAACTTGTTACTTTTAAGAAACGATTTACTTGTAGTGACAAGAAGTGATAGGACTTTATCATCCATTTTGATAACAGAAAACCTAATATTCAACACTTTTGTTCTCTATACAAAATGAAGTGTTCGTGCATCCAACTGTTACAATCACAAAGGTAAACACTTAAATGTCAATAGATGTACAATACATGTACAAAAATATATACTTTGTTAATGCCCAATAAAAGGATCTGTTATCTGACAACTCCTGGTTGTAGTTCTGACAGCTTTCAAGCAGCAATGTTGTAAACATAAATTCCATGCTATCAAAATATGTAGACCATGTTATATACACAGCTGAGCTTCATAAATCCAGTGAAAATAAAATAGTTATATAGCAAATCTAGATGGAAATCCAGGGTCTATATTTACTGTAATTAATTTCCCTCCAGCTGTCACTAATCAAAACCTCTGCAGAACACATTATCTATGTATTGTGAAATGAAATAACATTTATCTCATCTTATATTTCCTTTCCAGTCACCAGAAAGCTGGCTGCTTCAGTTCAGCCACCAATAACCTAGCTACTTCATTATTCTGCCACAACTACCAAACCTGATTGTATAGGCAATTCAGTTCAGTAAGCAATTCTTTAATGGGTGAAGTAAGTGCACCTATCTTCTTTACTGTACTGACCCTTTATCCATTCACTGTGGTTGTCCCAATATACCAGCCACCACTAAACTGGGCGTCCCAATAAACCAGCTACCACTAAACAGGGAATCCCAATAAACCAGATACCACTAAACTGGGAGTCCCAATATACCAGCCACCACTAAACTGGGAATCCCAATAAACCAGCCACCACTAAACTGGGAATCCCAATAAACCAGCCACCACTAAACTGGGAATCCCAATAAACCAGCCACCACTAAACTGGGAATCCCAATATACCAGCCACCACTAAACTGGGAATCCCAATAAACCAGCCACCACTAAACTGGGAATCCCAATAAACCAGCCACCACTAAACTGGGAATCCCAATAAACCAGATACCACTAAACTGAGAATCCCAATAAACCAGATACCACTAAACAGGGAATCCCAATAAACCAGCCACCACTAAACTGGGAATCCCAATAAACCAGCTACCACTAAACAGGGAATCCCAATATACCAGCCACCACTAAACTGGGAATCCCAATAAACCAGCCACCACTAAACTGGGAATCCCAATATAACAGCCACCACTAAACTGGGAATCCCAATATACCAGCCACCACTAAACTGGGAATCCCAATATACCAGCCACCACTAAACTGGGAATCCCAATAAACCAGATACAACTAAACTGAGAATCCCAATAAACCAGCTACCACTAAACAGGGAATCCCAATAAACCAGCCACCACTAAACAGGGAATCCCAATAAACCAGCCACCACTAAACTGGGAATCCCAATAAACCAGCCACCACTAAACAGGGAATCCCAATAAACCAGCCACCACTAAACAGGGAATCCCAATAAACCAGCCACCACTAAACTGGGAATCCCAATATACCAGCCACCACTAAACTGGGAATCCCAATATACCAGCCACCACTAAACTGGGAATCCCAATATAACAGCCACCACTAAACTGGGAATCCCAATATAACAGCCACCACTAAACTGGGAATCCCAATATACCAGCCACCACTAAACTGGGAATCCCAATATACCAGCCACCACTAAACTGGGAATCCCAATATACCAGCCACCACTAAACTGGGAATCCCAATATACCAGCCACCACTAAACTGGGAATCCCAATATACCAGCCACCACTAAACTGGGAATCCCAATATAACAGCCACCACTAAACTGGGAATCCCAATATACCAGCCACCACTAAACTGGGAATCCCAATATACCAGCCACCACTAAACTGGGAATCCCAATATACCAGCCACCACTAAACTGGGAATCCCAATATAACAGCCACCACTAAACTGGGAATCCCAATATACCAGCCACCACTAAACTGGGAATCCCAATATACCAGCCACCACTAAACTGGGAATCCCAATATAACAGCCACCACTAAACTGGGAGTCCCAATATACCAGCCACCACTAAACTGGGAGTCCCAATATACCAGCCACCACTAAACTGGGAATCCCAATATAACAGCTACCACTAAACTGGGAATCCCAATATACCAGCCACCACTAAACTGGGAATCCCAATATAACAGCCACCACTAAACTGGGAATCCCAATAAACCAGCCACCACTAAACTGGGAATCCCAATATACCAGCCACCACTAAACTGGGAATCCCAATATAACAGCCACCACTAAACAGGGAATCCCAATATAACAGCCACCACTAAACTGGGAATCCCAATATAACAGCCACCACTAAACTGGGAATCCCAATATACCAGCCACCACTAAACTGGGAATCCCAATATAACAGCTACCACTAAACTGGGAGTCCCAATATACCAGCCACCACTAAACTGGGAATCCCAATATAACAGCCACCACTAAACTGGGAGTCCAATATAACAGCCACCACTAAACTGGGAGTCCCAATATACCAGCTACCACTAAACTGGGAGTCCAAGTATCCAGTCATCACTAGTTTGGTCATCACAATATACCAGCCACCACTAAACTGGGAATCCCAATATAACAGCCACCACTAAACTGGGAATCCCAATATAACAGCCACCACTAAACTGGGAATCCCAATAAACCAGCTACCACTAAACTGGGAATCCCAATATAACAGCCACCACTAAACTGGGAATCCCAATAAACCAGCTACCACTAAACTGGGAATCCCAATATACCAGCCACCACTAAACTGGGAATCCCAATATAACAGCTACCACTAAACTGGGAATCCCAATATAACAGCCACCACTAAACTGGGAATCCCAATATACCAGCTACCACTAAACTGGGAGTCCAAGTATCCAGTCATCACTAGTTTGGTCATCACAATATACCAGCCACCACTAAACTGGGCATTCCAATATGCAGCCACCACTAAACTGGGCATTCCAATATCTAGATGCCACTTAACTGGGAGTCCCAATATACCAGCCACCACTAAACTGGGAGTCCCAATATACCAGCCACCACTTAACTAGGCGTCCAAGTATCCAGTCATCACTAGTTTGGTCATCCCAATATACCAGCCACCACTAAACTGGGAGTCCCAATATACCAGCCACTACTTAACTAGGCGTCCAAGTATCCAGTCATCACTAGTTTGGTCATCCCAATATACCAGCCACCACTAAACTGGGAGTCCCAATATACCAGCCACTACTTAACTAGGCGTCCAAGTATCCAGTCATCACTAGTTTGATTGTCCCAATATACCAGCCACCACTAAACTGGGAGTCCAAGTATCCAGTCATCACTAGTTTGGTCGTCCCAATATACCAGCCACCACTAAACTGGGCATTCCAATATCTAGATGCCACTTAACTGGGAGTCCCAATATACCAGCCACCACTAAACTGGGTGTCCAAGTATCCAGTCATCACTAATTTGGTTAGCCCTAATATCTAAAATGCCACTTATTTGGTCATCCCAGTATCAACACACCACTAATCTGGTTGCCCACTTTCTTGTCATTCTTTGTCAAGATAGACCTTTTTCCAAGGGAATCATGATAGCTGGATTATTTACTGGGAAGAAAGGTTAATAGCTGGATTATTTATTTCGAACAAAGGTAAGTAGCTGGATTATTTACTGGGAATAAAGGTAAGTAGCTGGATTATTTACCGGGCATAAAGGTAAGTAGCTGGATTATTTACTGAGAATAATGGTAAGTAGCTGGATTATTTACTGGGAATAAAGGTTAATAGCTGGATTATTTACTGAGAATAATGGTAAGTAGCTGGATTATTTACTGAGAATAAAGGTAAGTAGCTGGATTATTTACTGAGAATAAAGGTAAGTAGCTGGATTATTTACTGAGAATAATGGTAAGTAGCTGGATTATTTACCGGGAATAAAGGTAAGTAGCTGGATTATTTACTGGGAATAAAGGTAAGTAGCTGGATTATTTACCGGGAATAAAGGTAAGTAGCTGGATTATTTACCGGGAATAAAGGTAAGTAGCTGGATTATTTACCGGGCATAAAGGTAAGTAACTGGATTGTCTACCAGGCAGTGCTGTTTCTGTAATTTGGGATTTATCTTTCAACATATATGTACCAGTATTTACTTCAACTGAATGAGTCTGAATCAATGACTGGAAAGTACGAAGGCTGCATATCTATAATTATATGACAACCAGGAACACAAAGATGACTGAATTATTTAGTAGGGATGATCTGTTAAGACTGAATAGCTGTACGGTTTCCTGAGAAAGAGATTTGACTGTTTACTGCTAGGAATAAAAGCTACTGACAACTTTGTACTGTTTCCGGGGAATAGAAATGATTATGGAAACTTTAATATCAAATCCAACAACAAACGATAATCAGTTCACAAAGTGTCAGATCTTAAAAATACTTAATATCTCTCTGGCATCAACAGGTTTTCCACTTATAGAAACTGATGATCATGGAATTCTATAACGTAAATATTACATTTACTTCACATTGTATATAAAATATCATTACAACTGATGTTTGTAATCCTCGAGTTAATGCAACTTTCATCCTTCCATACTGTATGATAGTCCTTGTCACAAATTATACCACTAACAATCACACATATATACGTCTAATCCACTATGTTAGTGTGAAATACAATGTATTGAGTATGATGATCTACTTTCATGCTCAAACTTTACCTAACAATGGTACTCCATGACATCTACCTTGATATATATCAAAATCCTAATGAACTTTACCTAATCATACAATCAGTGTAGTACTAAACGACCTTCACCCTCATTCAATTTACCTCCTCATTCTCGTCAAACCTGTCTGACAAGTTGGGTAAAAATCTTAATAGGTCTGCTAAAGGAATCCTATTACAATTGTTCTCCGGTCACATAATAGTTAATTCCATTTCACATAAGCAGAACATAAAACCTGAACTTGCACATAAAACCAGAATATCTAATGGCAATACAGTGAACAAAGTCAACAGCTTTTATCTTTATAATTTAAGAATTGAGCATTACCTTGCTAGCAGTACATCTGTAGGTGAAATGTACAATACCTTTACCTTTATAAGCCAGAAAACTACAAATAATATAGGTACATACATTTATATGTACTTCTTCTGCTCCGTTTTCCATACTTTTTCTGGGAACAAGTACAGAAGTATGCACACTTGTGACCACTTTGATAAAAATAAAAAGAACCACTTGGCAGCATAAAGGTCAAAGTTGACTTTTCAAAGAATAGGTATAAGCCTAACAATTGGTCAGGAATATCTTCTGGGACCAACAAGCTTGCTGTAAGATACTCAAAGGATGAACAGAAGATAGGTGTATTGACATGGCAGTTCTTTGATTTCAAAGATGATCTACTGACTCATAACTCATGTAAACATTACACTGATCAGACACTGACTGGCTCTTTTTTTTTTTACGTAAGATGACCTTGACTTTTATGAACTGGGTGACCCTGATTTTATAAGATGTTATGTATAGATCCTACATCTGTACATTTCATATAGTATGTGTGTTAAGTGATATACATCATACTACCATAGTAAAGAGATCAAAATTCCTAACTGAACCTTTCAACTATGTCAAAGGTCATAAGATCACCTTCTACTTCAAACATGTGTTGCTGAATACTGAAGCACCTATACAACAAATCCACTGGTGTTAGGGTTGTCATGAAGTGGCCTTCTTTCCTAGTCGGCTGAATACACCTGATCCTTTCTTTTCTGCTCCTGTTGCTTTGAGGTTGGTGATCTTAGGAGCAGGCTTTGTACTGGAGGTAACTTTCTGTTCGCCTAGACGTTTCTGAATCCCTGCAATTTCGATAAATATTGACAATGGTATGGCATGGCATTACAAACAACTTTTGTAGCTGAATCGCAAAAAAAAAAAAAAAGAGAGAAAAGAAACCCAAGAAAATAACTGATTATAACAAGAAATACATCTGTATAGAATTTAAAAAAACAATTACAATCACAGCTAATGTACAAGAAAGGACAAAATATTTCTTATTTGAATACTTTACAGCTTTATAACTACCAACCTGATTTCTTTCGGACAGGCTTATCTCCTTCCTCAGATGTCGTACTGGACACAGCACAGCTAACTCCCACCTTCTTACCTAATCGGTCCTGTAGACTCCTTGATGCAACTGCCCCAAAGATTCCCTCAGTTGTGGGAGATTTTACAGCTGTAGGACCAGCTAGGGAGGAAGTAGTATAAATTATTCCAAATCATCAAATACTGGAACTGAAAGACTTACTTTCAAAACAGATACTTTTTCTAGTCTCAAATTATAAATACAGATAAGCAGAGATACTGTGAGGATCTGGTATACTAACACTTGTATGGATTTGAATTATTTGATATTCCAGATTTGTGGTTTTTGATAACACACTTATTATTTTGTAGACACACATTTTAATTATAGCAGCATTCTCTTTCACATAAATGTTTGCCTACCAAGTCAACTTAATATAAGCCATCAATTAAAATTTTTTAAATGCTGTCCCTTACAATGCAATTTGTGCTTCTGACTGGTCAAAAATTACAGAGTATGTAATTATTATATTCATAATACATGTTTGGATTCTGCCTGTTTCAGAGTAACATCATAATATATTTAGAGGTGTTTCAACTAATCAAGAATTTGCTATCTTATGTATTGTTGACCTTTAAATCTCAGATCTGATTACGAATTCCCACCTGAAAACAAAGCCATGCATGAAATCTGAGTTTGCTCTGTACAAGAGAAACTGAATTTCTATTCCTAGCAATAAAGTATCTGACTTTGAAGCCAAGTTTGTCTAAGTAACTATTGGAGTTAAATAGCAGAATCACATTTCCTTTCAACAATTACGAAGAATTTGACCTTTAGATCTGTAATATGTAATGCTGAGACAGAGATCAAATGGAGAGACCTGCATAATTACAATATCCTTTTTTCTTGTCTGGAGAATTAATTTTATAAAGGTTAATTCTGGGAAATACTTCTATACTTTTGGTCACTTTCCATTACTAATAAGTCCTTTACTTCAATATAAAGACGATTAAATCACCAAAAACCAAGATTAATATCATAATACAATATTTATCAAATTCTTGGACCTAACTCAAATCAATTCTCTAAAGATTTGTACCTGTTTTTGTAACGGAGACAGTAGATGTTGTGAGGACAACCTTATTACGTTTAACTGGGGAGGGAGTAGACTTGAGGACTCCAGCGTATCCTAGTGGCTCTCCATCTTCGTCATCGTCCTCCTCATCCATAGATGTTGATGTGGCAGCTCGCTTTACTGCCTTCTTGCCTCCAAGTCGACTGAACACTGAGGACTGCGGTGATAGTATTAACTTATATAGTGTTGAACAAATAATTTTTCAAAAAGTCAAATTGAATATCTGACAGTTGTAAAATAAGGTCGAATTTAAAATCTGACAGTTGTAAAATAAGGTCAAATTAAAAATCTGACAGTTGTAAGATAAGATCAAATTGAAAATCTGACACTTTTAAAATAAGGTCATCTTTCAATGATATAATTGCTTCTATATGTAATTGCTCACATAAAAAACATTTTCTTTTGAATGAAATTGGCTTTTTCACAGAATAAGCTGAATATAGAAAAGGAGGACGAAACGCTACTGACATCTGGCACCTAAGTATAAATACCGGGTTCAGGGATAGCAAGGCTAAACCACAGAAGGACGCAACAGGCCAGTTTAAAACTTAAAGATAAATGCAGAAATTTAGATTTCAAGGCTATAACATCTATCGACCTTGTTTGACCATGAAGATGTTATCTAAATGACAAGTATGACTGACGACATGAGAAAATACTTCTTAAGTACACTGGTAGTGTTTACACCAGAATAAGGGAATCAATAAAGGCATGTAGCAAAAGACAAAAACATGAAATACATAAAAATGCATTACTCAAAAATAACTTTAACACATGTTTTTTCTGTTATCACTATCAGTTTGGTGCAGTTCTTTACCTCAGCACTGGCAGACTTAATGATCATCCCTCCACCTTCTGTAAATGTGGTTGATCTGCCTTTGTTGTCTGCCCCTAGTCTATTGAACACAGAATTTCCCTTGACACTTGACCCTGTTTAAAACAAACATCAATCAGATCACATGACATTTTCTCTTTGTTGACTTTACCGCTGAAAAAAACCCCATATTCATATATTTACTGTAGAAATTATTAGGGTGTTTATTCGACAATAAGCTCATGCCTTGTTGTAAATCCATCAATATCTATCTCAGCAGAATTATCCAGAATCACAAATAAATGTTACTCCATTGTCCTGAGGATAAGTCCATCACTGACTTTGAGGTGATAATGTGTTGACCTTGTAACTATTGCAAGAACTAGGAAATGTCAAATTACATTGCAATGTCTTCATTACCTGGGAAATGTTACGGCCTCTCCTTAAAGGTAAGAATCTAATTACCATTATTATTTAACAGTCAAAGAAAAGATCACTTTATTCAAGAAAATTTTCTCTGAAATCAAAACTGATACAACATGATAATGTTGTTCATATTGAGAATTTAGAGCATATCAACATTTTTTTCTTCATAATTTATGTAATTATACAGCTTTCACTTTTTTTTTAAAATAATGACAAAATTTAGATGAAACTGACCTGATTTCGCTTTTAATATTTTTTGTGTCTTTGCCGTGGTTCCAGCAGGCATAGTAATCTTGTACTTTCCTTCATGTTCAGGGAACACTCGTCGAGATTTTGGCACAGGTACAACTTCCTCAAGTTTTTTAGGGTTCAGCTTAATTTTACTGATATTTCTTGATGTTGGAACTGGAGAGGACCCTGTGTCAAATATCAAAAATTAGCATCATTTCAACATAAAAATTTATCTCCAAGCTTGGAATTATAACAACCATCTTTCAAAGAAATTCTGCTAAAAAAAAACATGTATTTAATAAAGTCTCTTTAAGCAAAGATAGTTTCAGCAAATGTAATTCATTTTGCTCTAAATATATCTTTAGAAATTTTTTCTTGGTATATTTTTTTTTCATTCTTAATTTGACAAATGTATTTTGAATTTAGTGCCTAGATGTTGAACTATTTCCAGTAATCAATAACAATACATGTTCATGTAACTGAGTAGAAGAAGACCCAGGTTTGATAATGAACACATGAAAGACATACTGGCTGATCCTGGTGGTGTTCCAAGCCTTGCTGACAATTCCCTTGATATCTTTGGTACATGTACAACAGGAAGGTTCATTGGGCCTGCATCCGGATCTTTCCCAAGGTAATGATCAACAATCCGACTGGCAGCTGTTACAAACATGAGAATGAAGCAGATTTATGATCAATTAATGTCTATATCATGTAGTCTTTTTTGCTATAGTATGTTATTAATCACAATATGTAATCACAATTCAAACAAACATTTGCAATGAATAATGCGAAGTTTTTGATAAATTTCTTCCTGTAATAGTAGAATTGTATTTTTTACCTGTGGATCTCCTTGGGGTTGGTGAAGGCTGTGAGCCCCTTAATGTTTTCTCCCTTTGCTCCTGAGGAATACAGAAGAAAAAACTGAATTTCATAATGTTTATAGACAGAATGGTATAAGTAAATAAAAACAAATTGCCAAGTTTGATTGTACAGCCTCATCTTGGATATGTAGGAATTGTATAACTTGGAGCTATATGGGTATAAGTTCCTTATTTATGTTAATTCAGATTGTTTGAATATGTGTGACTTTATCCTTTTATTTATTTTAGTTCTCCCTTGTATGAAAGATGTAATACATATTATAGACATAGTCTTTATTTACATATACTTTGTGGTATTAGTGTATTCAGGGGCAACTATGTTCCCCCTCCCAACTTATGTATGTATGTGCTAGTCTGAAGCTCCACCAATTGAGCTAAAGAGAACTTCTCTTTAGCTCATTTGGTTGAGCATCAGACTAGTGAGCCAGGGGTCCTGGGTTCGATTCCTAGTGGAGGCATTGAAATAAATAATGACCGCTGTTACATTCGTGCCAATGTATGGACCCGGAAATAGTACTAGGCATACCCTACCAACATCGCTGTAACATCTGGAAACTTGAGGACAAGTTATTTCCCGGAGGGGAAGTATGTAACCCTGGTAAAATACTAGCCACAATATACCACTCGGCTAGAGAGAACTTCTCTTTAGCTCGATTGGTTGAGCGTCAGACCAGCAAGCCAGGGGTCCCAGGTTCGATTCCTAGCAGAGGCATTGAAATAAATAATGACCTCAGTTACAAGTATAACAGTGACTTTACTGTACATACTATACACCAAGAATTGTATTTCTATCAATAACAAGCACTAATATGGTTTTCACATCACCAATGTACAGCCTACTGTTGTGTAAAGTACATTTTACTAAAACATCTCAGAAATTACAAAAAAAAACCCATTATTATAAGTCAATTTCACATATATCTTCAATTTCAAGTGTATACAAATCATGTTTACCTGTATCTAAATTCAAGTTGTCTGGACAGACATATTTTTACCTGTATGTGTACTGTCTTGGCATGTTTGAGGATGTTGATGACATCGCCCAGGATTGAAATTCCCATACAGTTAAGGTAGTCCTTTGTCAGGTCCTGGAGCATGTCCCGTGTGATTCTGTTGTCTGTAAATGTCACTGCATAGTTGGCAGAGTCTCCAGCTGGTATACCAGCATCCTTAAAGAACTTCATCCAGTATGATGTCTCTGTAAAGGGTAAAAATAAAGCAGTGTCATTTAATACATGCAGCTGACATTTGCCAAAGCATTCTCCACTGATTCTGAAACAAATTCTTCAGGTTGGTGAGTATATATAGAAAAAAAGAAGTTCTAATAACACAAACACAATGGAGTTTTGTACAATGTTTCACTCACTAACACAGTCACATTCAAGAGAAGAATCACCAGTGTGATGTGTATTTAGCACTGATATACACAGTGTGCGAAATGCTAATGAATTGACAAGAATATTATTTTATTATGAATTTCAATTGAATTCTATTTTTTGTCTTGTTTGAAGTCCATCTATTTAAAATAAATGATATCTGATATTTCCATCAACATCATTTCCAACTAGTCAATATCATGTACCATCAACACTAAATTTAACAGATTACCGGGTAGCTAATATCGAGATACAAGTAATGAACGGTGATCAACTCGAACTTAAGAGTTTTGAAAATAAAACAATATAAAAAGCAATATCCTGGTGTTTTCACGGACTTAGATATATCTTAAGTTCGTGTTGATTGGTAATCGGATTGTCAAATCGATCAATTGTCATGATGTGGCTTGCAAGTCCTGGCAAAATAGACAAGTTACTTGTTCACCCTTTTTCAATTTAAATCACTACATGAATCATATTAAGGCACATCAATGTTTAAACTTTTAAAATGTGTTGCTTCATTCTTGTCTTTTTGATCAATAATCATTACACACAACTTGAAAAGTAATCGTAGAATTTTGTGGTCACATTACCTGGGAAAGCCATCTTTGACTGTTACGCCAATGTCAAAACCCGAGGAGTACCAAACGTAAAGGCAAGGTCGATGAAATGTTTCCCGATATGATAATAATAACATGAAAGGTATTCCGAGTGGAAAAATCTTGACATTTCGAACGCTTAATGTAAAGAAAAAAGTAACTTTCTAAACCAGTTATGAATTCTGTTCCAACCTGGGATCAACTCATAAGAGGTACAAAACGATAAACGATATTGTAGATATATTTTACTAAGTTTTGGACGTGTAATGTGATAGATATTCTGTCATTCTGTGAGTAAGGTTCATTGTCTTGTTTTGTTTGATATACAATAATACATTTGTTTTAACACGATCGCGGTAGATCTTTCTAAGCTTGCAGGATCTGTCATCCATACATCTACAACATAAAGCCTAACAAAGACAGTCAAAATTAAAACTGAACCAAACCGTGACAAGATAATTCATCTCTTGAAATATGACTGAATGATATGTTTGTTATGCAGAAAAGTTTACTTGAAGAGACACATAGCAAACAATTACTTTAATCGACATGACATAAATCATTCACTGCTGACATGCTCAGCTGTTTGTGTAAGTCAGAGACATATATAACACGATATAACGTGATATATACGTCTCTGTGTAAGTTGACTAATTCTAAAGGTTAGATGTGCCATGCCCTCTTTGATTCCATATCATACTGTGTATCCGAATGGTTTGTTTCAGATCAGCTGTTGAGGCATAATTTAGTGAGTGGAGTACTCCTCTTGACTAGACATGGTCAACCTGCATATACTTATGGAGAACTTGACATCGACCCTACTGTGGTAAAGACGCATACATCCAACCTGCATGTTTCCATTTTACTCTGTTTTTCAATTAGTGTGACACCCTTTTTTCCAACATATGTTGTAACAAATAGAATGCTTGATAAATCACTTGGTTATGTCCTCTGCAATTTGGAAAGGATCATTCTGGATAATATGTGATGGGATTCCTGTATGAGGTTCAGCAAGGTATTCTTCAGCTTACTTTCTATAGGAGACCAGTCTCAAAATGATCCTGGCTGATGATGAGTTAATAAACCTAGCAACCAAACAAGATAATAGAAACAAGAACAATGTACTGACTGATACACTGTGCCACAATGAAGGGATTGTCCGTGTTAACTTGTATGATAACACTGTTAACATAATTAGATACTTACATTGTGTGTGTTTCTACTGCATAATTGACCCATTTACATCTTCAATGTAGCTACAGGTGTCTATATTACCTTCTGCATTTTGACTATTAAAAAATGAAATTTGAATACTTATATAAAAAAATGAATACATCTTATAAAATCTAAATACTCTTGTTCATGTGACCCATTAGCACTGTAGTCTATATATAATTAGGAATTTTCCAGAGGAACAATATTCACTATAAAACTTTTATTTTGCAGGAGGAATCAAAACATTTTGTTCAGGCATTCCGACAAATACAATCACAACAGGCAACCCAGAATGACACCCTTACCATTCAGTTTAAAAATAGACAGAAAGTCAATTTTACAGTCTACAAAAGGTCTCACTGCAGGTAATAATTTCTGATATTCATACACAACAAATTAAGAAGTTTGCTTCAAGAACAAATAAGATATATGTTTTCATGAATGTTTAAATGAAATGGGCCCATGTCACCTTTTCTGTAGAACATATTTATTTTTTAATCATGTGCTTTTTCTGTCCATCACCTGTTTGTTATTATTGCTTGTAATATCAGCTGTTATCATATTTCAGATACTATTTATTGTGCCACTCAGTACAAGTACAGAAAAGTACATACATTTGTTTGCTTGATATAGTTAAAGTTCTTGTTATCTGAATTTTATATCATGAGCTTATTAAGGAAACAATCAACAGCATCATTTTTATTGTTATTATATACACACAACTAAGCTTGTGTGAGGTTTCTGGAATCTACATGTTCTTTCCTCTACATTTTGATTTTGTCTGGCTATTATGCATTCATTTATAATCAAGTCTTTTCAAATTTTTTATGTAATGCCGTCACCTAATGTATTTGTACCCTTGTACATGACTTTTCATTTTGACCCGTCTGCAAAGAAGTTATGGAACTCTGTTGAAATTGATAACAATGACTCCTGCATTCTTTTTTTTTCTGTTTTCAGTATCTATGCCACATCAGGTGGAAACAGGGATGGTCTTATGATCTGTAACCTTCCCCATGGAGTAATGCTGTGTACATACCATCTTCCCACCCAATCTGGGAAAGTCATCCCTATGGTGGAACACTTTTGTGACATGCTAAGGGCATGAAGACCAACAGAGCACCTACTAAAGTGTTATTGAAGTAGATGGTGTCTGACCGAGGAACACCTGTCTCATCAAACAGTCTACTGGGGAGATAAGCCAGGCAAGAGGCATAGTGGTTGCTTGATATTGGAACCCAAAAGACAACCAAGTAAAAAGCAAAGATAGATGAATTATGCCTGTTTGATGATCACTACGCATTTAAATGCATGTGCCCCACCAAGCAAGACTTCCACAGAGATCATGTTTAGGTCTGTGCACCAAGTTAATCAACTCAATAAAGAAAGATAAATGGAAGGGGAACCATTGTGAGACAGTGAATGCATGGTGCAATCTGAATTGCTGATGGATCACTACAACAGGACCATAAGGCAAAGCATGTTTCACATCGGTATGGAAGAGAGATTGATGATCACAAGGAAAAGCAGCTGTCACAGTGATATGAAAGGGAGATTGATGATAACAAGCAAAGCAGCTTTCACAATGATATGGAGGAGAGATAAATGATCACCAGCAAAGCAGCTGTCACAGTGATATGGAAGAGAGATTGATGATCACAAGGAAAAGCAGCTGTCACAGTGATATGGAAGAGAGATTGATGATCACCAGCAAAGCAGCTGTCACAGTGATTTGGAAGAGAGATTGATGATCACAAGGAAAAGCAGCTGTCACAGTGATATGGAAGAGAGATTGATGATCACCAGCAAAGCAGCTGTCGCCATGATATGAAGTGTGAACGGATGCTGTATGATGGATAATCACCAGGCAATACAGGTGTCACAGATAGAGAAGGGTTAATTGATGCTGGGTATTCGAGGACCATCAAGGAAGACAACTTACAGAAATAAGTGCATCATAATCAAATTAAACATTGTGCAAATTTAAGCCTAACTTTATTAAGTTCTTCAACAATGATGCTAACTACAACACATTTACCAGCCTGTTTAACCTATCTGATGCAGGATCTCTGCAGTCCAGGTCATGTACTTAAGATATCATGGTAATCTGGTGTTTGAGAAATCACTGTATTTCAATATCAATATGTGATCGTAATTGTGAATTAAATAGTTGTGGAAATAGACATCTATGTTTCTTGTTTATGCAGGTTGTTGTGATGTTCGTATATGAGTTTCTTTTCATGTAGGATTTTTTATGCTCCCAGAAGGGAGATTATATAGTCACTGCTTCGTCTATTTCTCCATCTGTGTGTCCGTCTGTCTGTCTGTTTGTCCACACATCTGTCGTAATTTTCTCTGGAGCATAACACAAAAACTAAGTGGTATCAACATAAAACTTTAAAAGAAGATAGATCTCAACAAGGAGAAGTGCACTTCATGGATCTTGCTCAAATTTAATATATAGGTTCCCCTTGATCCCTAGTTATGACTGTTTGATTTTTGGACCGAGCAGAAAAATGAAATGGCCGACAGGCGGCGGTCTTGAATTTGGCAGTTTAAGGTTATTATACCCTCTGCAACAATGTTTGGAGGGGTATATTGGAATCACCCTGTTTGACTGTCTGACTAGCCGACAGTCTGTCTGTCCAGTATATTGTGCCAAGGGTATCTAAAGTACTGAAGCAATATTTCTTAAACTTGGCATGCTACATTCCTTTGAAATTCAGTTGTGCCCTTTCGCATTTCTAAAGCCTATAATTTGACATATAAGATGTTCCAAAACCATTACTTTGGAAACACTTTGAAGGCTTCTGTTTGGTTAAAATTAAGCTATCTGATTCAGTTGAAAATTGCTATAAAACGGTTTAGGGGGATGACAAAAAAACAATGATACTGTTTTCGAAAAAAATTAAAAATTGTTTCCATTTGGTTGCAATGGTGACCAAATGAAGACATCTAGGAGGAATCTTGTTGGCACACCACTCTAAAACTATTGTTGATTGGGGAGCATAGGGTATTAGTTGGCCATCCTGGTGACAGTTCTAGTTATTGCTATTTCTGCAAAGGATTAATGTTCAAATTTCATATCATTTGGAGCAGAAGAGAAGAGAAAAGAAGTAGAAAAATCCAAAGTACAAATAAAGATCAAGGAATGGTGGGCACCTATAACATCTCTTTGTTTTTCTATAAATTTGCTTCTGAAAATTGTGTCAGCTTACTGTATCATGAAAATATCTAACAATATTGTGTATATGATATACCTTGAACTATAATAGAATTAATACTTTAATGAGAAAATATTACATATTAAAGGTTTTGGCTGCAATTTTTTCGTAACACCATATTTCAGATTTAAATGGCACACTGCAAGGGACAAAACACTCATTTATAACACAGAAAATGCAGAGGGGAGATAACTTGCATCAAATACATGTATAAGGTACACAAGAACTTTGAAAGTATATATAAAATATAAGTAAATAACTTGCATTGATGTATCAGATACACTTTGTAAGGGAGATAACTTTTATAATTTTTATATAAGAGAAATAACAAAACATCAACATGTATAATGTTGAACGAGTAGGATAATTTAATCATCAAATGTACTGTGCAAGGGAGATAATCTATACAATGTAAGGGAAATCATTGACATGAATTAAAGACTGAATGTATGACGAAGACAAAATGCAGTTATGGCGTATACCAAAGTAATGGAGATATCTTTCATCAGTGGATTCCTTCCATGTATTTGGGCAAGTTAACTCACATAAATTATGTTATGTGTGGATAGAGTATGCCTTTAGCTTACATAAATCATTTCGATATATTTAAGAAATTTCCTTTTATGTATACTGTGTAAGGGAGATAATTTATCACAGGATTACCGAGTACAGAAGAGGACTTACCCTTGTCAGAAATAAACTAAAAAAAAAGAGGGCTTGCACCTCTAAGTGTCAACAGGTAATTAAAATGAGATAACTTCAACTCGTACATATACAATGTAATCAAGAAAACTTACTAAAAGAGATAATGATACTGTATAAGGGAGATAACTTGCACTCGTCGCAAATATACTATATAATGAAGATAACTCTTATACTCTATGATACACAGTATTAGAAATATAATTCATACTTATCACAGGTAAATATGCACTACTGTAAACAAGATTATTTCAGATAAACGAATGTATATAACGTAAGGAAGATGATTTCAATAATCTTAATTTATTGATGTTAGGGAAATAACTATACTTATAGTTCAAGTACATTGAATGATGTGAAATCAGATAGTGACGTCCCTGAGTACACGAACTGTATAAATTTTAACATTTTGGCATAATAGGTAAAATCAGTGATTTGTTCCTTGCAATATGTGCAAGGAAGATAATTTATACAGAACAACCATTTATTGTATAGCGTAAGGTAGAAAAATATATTTTTCACGGAAATATACAGTAAGGGAGGATGTATAAACTTCTACGTTATTTTCGGTAATTCATTATCTGAAACTTTTTAATCTTTTCTATATTTCCGTCACCTTTACAATACGTTCCGGTTATTAGTTGTACCTCGACGCAGTAACTGTGCGCATGTGCAACATTACTACTTCCGGTCTTCTTTCGGTTTGGGTTCGTGACATGCGATCGCTGCTCACAAAAAACTAGTGGATAAAGATGCCACCAACGGTTCAGAAGCCTTCGCATGACCGAGATCGGAAGAGAGGGTCTGGAGAAAGAAGGTGAATTGTCAAATAATAACGTTTCGTCCATTATCATGATAAACCGGGTGTTGTTCGAGTAGGATTTGCTATGCTGCTTGCGAATTTTATCAGCTTATTGTTATTGCATATGGGCATTCCTTAATGACGATAAAATCAAATTGATCGTTATCTAATTGTATGCTTGTGTAAAGGTTCCATACGATTTTACACACATTGTTTTTGTAACGTGCCCCTGTGTTTTAAATGCATAAACCTATTGCGAATGAATTTACCTCACTATGACATTTCCTATTTCGAAGATGCTGTTTCATGTTCTTGTTTACAGGGAATCGCTTTTATCAAATATTGTCATATGTAATGCTCCTATCGCAGTATATATATGTATACTTCTACGATATATATAATGCCATAATAGGGGTAGGACCATAATTATTTCTTTATTATAAACCGGCTGCTGCCATAGTTCAAAATATCGGTCAATTACATGCTTAGTAAATAGTGAAAAAAGGAAGATTTTTTTTCTATTTCAGATCTGAATTGGTGTGTCGAGTGAAGTACAACAACACATTGCCTGATATTCCGTTTGATCCAAAGTTTATTACATATCCCTTTGAGACTAACAGGTTTGTAGAAAGCTGATTATTTACAGTACCCATGTAAGATACCATACACAAAGGAAGCAGTATCAGTTTGTTTCACAGATCAGAAGATTTTTTTAAGTGAATACAATTTAAGAGGAGTTTGTTATGCTGCCATCAGATTAGTTCTTTGAAAGAAAATAAATTTGGAGCGAAATACAATGTTACTTTTCTAAATGATTCAGTTGAACATTAGTGCAAGTGTTGTATTAGTGAATCACATGTATGGCTGACCTTTTATTTTATTTCTCTGTTTTTAACTTTCACAGGTTTATAAATTACAAACCAACATCACTGGAAAGAACCTACAAGTATGATCTCCTTACAGAGCATGACCTTGGTGTTACTATTGATCTTATCAACCCTGACACGTACAAAATCGACCCAACAGGTTTGTTTACCAGTCAAGATGCTGAATTTCTAACTATATCAAACCATATTATTCGTAAAATTATAGAAAGAGTTGTGACTTAAACAGAAATGTAAATTCCTTCCGCTTAGCTAGTTGGCACAATTTAGACATAGAATTTCTTTCATAACAAAGATTTTATTATATAAATGCATGATCCGATTTTCACTTTCGGTCTCAGTTTTCATTTCAGGTTATATTAAATGTCAGAGATATTTACTGTCACCTGAAAATTAAAACCAATATTGAGGATACTGTAGTAATATTGTTCTCTACCAGTAAGAAAAAGACTTAATTCAGGATACATGCAGTTAGCCATTTACATAGTATGTGACTTAAACAGTCATCCCATAGCAGATGCAAAGTTTGCATTAGATTATTAACATTAATGGTTATGTATCAATAACATTATCAGAAACATGTTTGTTACAAGGTATTATTTCTTATTACTTTTATGTATGTATGAGCTTGTAAATTGCTTGTGTAATCCAGAATTAAGGGTTGTTATGAAAAAAATAGTTTTTCATTTGCAGTGGAGAAAAAAAGAAGCAAGTATCAACCTGTTATTTATGTGTTTCCTGAATTGTTTGTTTGTATATGAATTCAAAACATTTTGTTGACAGTTTTGTTTTCAGCTCAACATTATTAGATTAAAAAAAATAAATTTCTCAGGCCTAATTGAATATAAATATTGTTTGGCTAATTTCATACTTGTATAAATATGTAAAGAGCACTTAGCTATTTGTTAAGGAAATCTAGGCAGAGTCAGCAAGGGAAGGTAATCCTGTCAGCAAGTTAATTCTGTTGACAAAGGAAACCTAGAAATAATAAAATGTTCTACTTGTTCAAAGGTTTATGTTTTCACAATATTATGAACTCACTATATCTTGATCACAAGTTGTTAAATCATAAATCAACTTTGTTCATTGTTCACATAAAGATGGAGGTTAAAACATTTCTCTATAGTAGGGATGAAGTTAAACAATTTGAAAAGCTCAATATTTGAATTTAAAAAAAAATGTAGTTTATTTCAGACTTTAAGCCAATGGTCAAATTAGTCAATATACAGATTAGATTTAAACCTGAAAATCAAATAATGAGAAATGTTCATACAATGAAATATTCAGAAGTCTATATAAACTCACTGACAATGATATCGTGCAGATTTAATTTATGTGTGATGCATGTTGAATTGTAAATCTCATATTTCAATTCTATGACAGTTTTTATTTTTCTGAATTTTCAGAGGAAGATCCGGGTAAATCATGTTCATTGTTTATTGTTAATGTTGGTTATAGTTATAAAAGGAAGTTAAAATAGAAAATTGACATAAAAGATATCACTAGTTTTGTTTTGAAGTTATTGTTACTGATTCTTGGATTTTTGTTCAGATTATCTTTTTATGCAATATTAGAAATCTTTGTCACTTTACATGTGACTGATTTATAATATGTGATGATGTCGTAGTAGAACTTGACTTTTGATTGACGATGTTCAGGCTATTTGTATTTATTCTAATCAGAGTGTAAAATATGATTTGAGAGAATAATGAAGTGTTACGAATGGCCATGAAAACTGCAGATAATGAACACTGGAACACAACTATATTTTGTTGTCTAACATCAAGTAATTTGAACCTTGTTCTTATTGTTCAATAAACTCAACCAAATTTTTAGAAAAGTTATTTCATCAATATTCAATAAACTTACACCTTGACTTTGAGGTCACTTGGCTTAATACAGCTGGTATATAACACATGAAACAATTATAAAATTGCTGTTCTACTTATAGCTGCACATGTCTTATGCATTGTTCTTACTGATTTTAATGAATTGTTTCTCAAAGGCAAAGCAGTACATATCCAAGTTGTGACAAAAACATCAAGTCAACATGGATTCCATTGTATTTATAGTTTTATGAATGTCACTCTTTTGATATTTGATATGGAAATATTAAGACACATTTATTCTGTTTTACAGACTACAAGGACCCAGAAGATGAGCGACTTTTGGAAGAAGATCTGAATACACCTGCTGATTCTAAAAGGTACTGATATTTAAACTTTGTCACCTGTTGCTCTTTGGTAAAATGTTATTCATTACATCCATACAGCACATATATCTAATATCTCCCACCCCTTATCTCTGTTAAGGAAAGGAAATTTTAAAAACCTTTGTGTACAGGGTCATTAAAAGTGACTGGTATCTTGAATTCTGTCTGTCTTATTACAGATCTAGACATCACAATGCGAATGTGTCATGGCTTCGGAAAACAGAATACATCTCCACAGAATACAACAGATTCACACAGAAGTCGGATAACTCTGAACGAAAGTAAGTCTACGTATCACTCATAAAAACCAGTGTTATAGGCCACTTGTTTGATAGAGTTGTATCAAGTCTTAAACTCCTACATAATTTACAACCATTATATGAACATTTCACTTGTAAGTATTTACTGGAAACCATACCTGTAAAAAGTCATTGAGAAGAATACTGGTATTACTGTGCGATTAGACAGGTAACTAACAACTTAAAAAGGTGAGATATCAGTTGACCATTGAACTGACAAATGAGGTGGTCAGCTTACGATTTCCTGAAAAAACTAAGGTGACCTGACCAATGGTTTATCTAATTATAGAGTGGGTTTCAAGATAAAACAGATTATGAAGGATGAAGATGTGTACAAGGACCGAGATAGCCAGATTGCAGCCATTGAGAAAACATTTGCTAAAGCCAAAGAACCGGTATGTGATATCTTTGCTATATAGAAGACTGCAAAAGATAGAATTTGTGTTTACTATGTAAATCTTCATAGGGAGACTTCACTCTGATCCACTTCTGCAATGTCATGAAGTATATTTTTGTGTACAGGTAAAGGTGCTAATTAATGTAAATTGTATTTGATGAAGACAAAATTAATGTAAATGTTGCCACCTTTGTATTACAAAATAGTGATTCTAGAGATAGAAAACAAAGAGTGATAAAATATTGTATAAAACATTAAAATATATGGAGGATTGTTTAAAAGACAAACAACTCAATGCTAATTTTTTACAGTTAGACACAGTAGAACCAAATATAGGACTGGTCTGTGATGACACTGACCTACATTGTGAGGTCTAGGATGGGAGTGAGGAAATTCAAAGTGATCAAAAAAAATCTATGTTTTTTTTTTTTTTTTTGGGTGGGGGGGTTGTGTTCATTAACTCTACAACATATCAGAGAAATTGATTTTTGACACTTTGTGTGGTATATGTTATTACCTTTGATTTGTATTTGTTTCAGATTACAAAACACTACAGTAAACCAGGTGTGGTTCCTGTGGACATTTTACCAATGTACCCAGACTTTATGGTAAGTTAACCTACATCCTTATAGTTTGAGTGAGATTTTACTTCAATTAAAGTAAATGAATATACTAAATAGAGTGTTTGATTTAAAACTTTTAGTGGTTGATATACTTCAGCTGTGTTAATCTACATATGCAACAGGCATAATAATGATTTTGTTATAATCTTGATCTCTCCTCTGTTTTACAGTTATGGAAACATCCCTTTGCACAAGTTATCTTCGACTCTGATCCTGCTCCCAGGGCTGGCTCTGTTCCTGCTCAAACAGAGGAAATGTCTCAAGCCATGATCAGGTGTGTTGAGGAGTTTTCTCCCCTTTATTTGAATGTTACTACTACAGATAAAATCCCTATGCAAATACAAAGAAAATTAATGGAAAAGAGTGATATTCATTTATCTTGCTATAACTGGATTCACTGTTATTACACCCAGCCTTAAAATGGGGTGTTTGATATTAATATTTATCGATTTGGAAATTCTGGATATGCCATGTTGGCTTTTCATGTTATTGTGACAGTGTATGGTGCAACTATTGCATATGGCCAATTTGTCAGTCTGTCAATCTGTCCTTTTGTGTATGGACCATAACTTTGCCAACAAGGTAAGCAAGGATGGTGAAACATAATCACAAGGTGGCAATCAATGTGCAGTGTACCAAATCTGGACCCAACCCCTTAATTGCAGAGTTATTGCCCTTTGCTAATAATTTGTGTCTATCGTATAAGTTAAGCAGGATAATTAAGATAAAACTTGCAGTACATGTTGGCCATTCAAAGACAATATTTTATGCACCAAAGTCAGAGTGTTTTGGGAGCCTTCATCAGTTTCACTGATGCTCTTGGTTTTATCAGCATTGTTGATCATAGTTTAAGGATACCACTGGTTGACTGTCTTCAGCATTCTGTTGATTGATATGTTGAATACAATGTAATAGTTGTTCTGATGTTTTCATCTGTTATATACCAGGTTAAAGTAATTACAATTGTATTACATGGAAGTGAGGAGAATGGATCAGACAATTCTACTTATTTATTTACAGAAAAGACTGTAAAATCCTATATTAATGATATGCCACAGATGTCTGAAAAGTGAAATCCAAAATTTTTAAATTACTAAAGAAATTCATTGTGATTTTATACTCTCATTGAAACAGCTCCAGTATCAATTTTTAAGAGCTAGATTCACTGAAATGCCATGGTGTGTTTGTTCACAGAGGAGCCATAGATGAGAGTGGTGAACAGTTTGTAGCTTACTTCCTACCGACAGAGGAAACCCTTGGAAAACGCAAGCGAGACGCAGAGGAGGGTATTGATTACAATCCTGAGGAAGAGTAAGTTGACTTCTTATTATCAATATAAGTCAGTAGGTAAATCCTAGAGTTATGGTTGTTACACATCAGGCAGTCGTCATCTTTATTACCTATTTTTTTCAGTAGGAGTAAAGGAGTATTTTACAGATCTATTTAGTTCAGGAGTAGACCTAGAAATGATTGCTATAGTGTGGATTTACAGGACATTATAGACAACCTTCTAAAATGTGTATGATATTCTGATTTTTTCATGGCTGTTTACAGGTATGACTATCTGCTGGCCAGACAGTACAACTGGAATGTCAAGAACAAGTTATCACGGGGATATGAGGAAACCTACTTCTTCGTATTCAGGGAGGATGGTGTATACTATGATGAACTGGAAACCAGGTAATTTTAAAATTTGAAGTTATGCCTGTTTTTTGGTGTCCTCTCATCAGAGGTTATTCTTCCCATCTCTTCATCTGGTCTGCTGGTTCACTCCCTTGTACACAGACTATGGAAACCTAGAGTGTAGGTTGCTACAGCAACACAGCAGGTTTACTTCATAAGAGACTTATAATAGATGAAACGAACCAGAAATCCCTTAATCACTTAGGTCCAGAATATCATTCATTTATTTTATTAATAGGTGAGCTCTGTTTACTACAGATATGTAGTATAAGCAGGCATGCATACAAACATACTGGAAACATAATGGCCAGAATTAAGATCTTATCAATTTGTAAGTTTGTAGCATACAGCCTTAAAACTCCATGCCACTATAAGGTAAAGCATTACATTACATACAACAGTATATATTTATATGTAACTTTTGTACAGGGTGAGACTGAGTAAGAGACGTAAGACAGCTGGTACCCAGGTCGCCAAGTCCAGGCTTGTGGTGAAACACAGGGAGCTGGCAGAGAGAGAAGTTGGAGCTCAGGTACAAAAACTGGTTTACATCTGCTTCAATTTGAACATTCAGACTTTCAGTGAAAGCTTTCAATGAGCAAAGAGTTCGTTTTATCTTCAGAATTTATCTAGGCTGGTTAATTGTTTATTTGGGAAAAGGGGTCTCTCAGTATCAGTTTCAAATTTATATGCTTATCATCATGTCCCATAAAGTTGTATTAGCAACATACAAATTTTTTCAGTCTCTGTATGATTGCTTTGATCAATACTCAGTCTTATTCAAATTGCCGTATTCAAATGAAACTTCATAGGAGCAAAAAGTGCATTGGACTTGTCCATTATACATCCATGGCCTTGAACATACAGCAGTCAATCACCATTTATTATGGCAGGATGTTATAGATAATGTTCATTTTGTAGGATGTACGAATGATGATGTTGGAGTTGGCTCAGGAGGATGAGGAAGAAGAGCAACAGGAAGAGATGCAGAACTCAGGTAAGTTTAACCCCTCAATGACTCATAATGGACCCTTTATAAAGGAGTAAAAATGCTTAATTTGAAAGTGTTCTTCCTGGAATTCAGAAAAGATTGTACTTGGAAATTTTATATTTCACAATCATTGCCTAGAAAAGTAATTCCACAAAAAATATACATATATAATAATATCAATACAAAAATGTATAAAAGGCAATATGAAGACAAAGTTTAGATAATTTCAAGACAAAACTGGTGATATATATCCAGTTAGCTTGTTAAAGTGATAATTGTAACTCTATTGTTCCTGTCTTTTTTCTGAGGACAACAGTGATTTAGATTTTAACAGGCAGTGATTTCCCTATCTTTATTTACCTAGTATTCTCTTATGGTTTGTTCACAAAAACCCTTGACAATGGTGTTTCAATGGTTTTTTTCAGGATTAGAAGATTTCCCCAGTGGCAGTGAGGCAGGGGATGCAAGCGGAGCAGAGGATGACAAGGCCAGTAACAGGTCACGAGGTAGCAGTCGCAGTAGGAGTAGGTCATCCAGCCGCAGTCGAAGCCGTAGTTCTAGCCGTAGTAGGAGCCGCAGCCGAAGTCGAAGTCGTAGTGGCTCAAGATCCAGAAGTGGCAGTGAACATAGTGGCAGTGAGAGTGAAAGTGAAGCTGAAAATGTACAAGGAAAGAAGGATGAGGAAGAAATCTTCGGTTCATCTAGCAGTTCTGAAGAAGATTAATGATGTACAGTGGAGATTCCAGAGACTTATCTATGTGAGGGAGGTTTAAGTCAGGTTGGTAACTTTGATAAGTGGGAAGGGTTTTGGGGCGGGGACTTTTTAAGGATGGTTTGGGATGGGTGTTTGAGAAAGCTTAGATTTAGGGAAAGTTTGGGTTGGTCTATATAGGAGGATGTAGGGTAAGGACTAGGTAGGGAAAGTTTGGGATAGGTCTGTATAGAAGGATTTGTGGGAAGGGGCGATTTAGGGAAATTTTGGGGTAGGTCTTTACAGAAAGGATTTGGGGGAGGGGCTATTTAGGGAAAATTTGGGGTAGGTCTTTAGGGGAGGATTTGGGGGAGGGGCTATTAAGGGAAAATTTGGGGTAGGTCTTTAGAGGAGGATTTGGGGGAGGGGCTATGAAGGGAAAATTTGGGGTAGGTCTTTGCAGGAGGATTTGGGGGAGGGACTATTTAGGGCAAATTTGAGGTGGGTCTGTATAGGAGGGTTCTGGGTAGTGACTAGGTAGGGAAAGTTTGGGGTGGAACATATAGTAGGATTCATGGGAGGGGCTTTGTAGGGAATGTTTGATACACAATTAAGGACATTGTTTCCAGTTGTTGTTTTGGAAGTGAGTACCAACTGAAGTTTGTGAAACCAAGACCACACATTGTGTGCACCACCTGTAGTTTTGTATGCTGGGGAGACTTATTTGTGCCTATGTTATATGATGAGAAAGTATAATGATTAAGTGTAATAACAGATCAGTTTCATGTTCAAATTGCAGTGACTTTATCAAAAATAATTTCAGTTTAATTAAAGTCTCTAATCCTGACATATATACCATCCTGTTTGGAATATGCTAATGATTTTGTTTGAAAGATGAATGTGTGCGAGTGTGACACAAGTGTAAATGTTTACCCAGTTTAGGGAATCTCACACCATTCTATCATACACATAATAACTCAATTTAACTCAATTTGATGTTGTATATATAATATCATGAATTCATCAGATTAAAATGCTTCTGAGTTATGTGCTGGGTCGCTGTTTTTTAGCTCACCTGGCCCAAAGGGCCAAATGAGCTTATGCCATAGTGCGGCATCCGTCAACTTTTCATTTAAACAACTTCTTCTGAAATACCGAAAGGCCTAGAATCATTGTGTATGGCTGAAAGGATCCATTGATGAAGCCAAACAAAGTTTGCAAAAAGAAAAGACCTTGACCACTATTCAAGGTCACAGAGGTCAAATGTGTTAAAACCTTTCAACGACTTATTCCAAAATACAAGGAGGCCTAGAATCATTATATTTGGCTGGATAGTGCTTTTGATGAAGCCCAACAAAGTTTGCCAAAAAAATAACCTTGACCCATATTCAAGGTCACATAGGTCAAATGTGTTGAAAACTTTAAGTGACTTCTTTCAACTACTGTTAAAGATTACAGGGGCAGTAAGTGTTTCAAGTCTGTGTTGAAATCAAGATGTTTTATCAAGTTTTTCCTGTATGAAAGACATAGATATTTTTGATCAAACTTACCTGTATAGAAAACAAAGTTTTACCTGTGTGGAGGACAGAAACGATGTGGTCAAAATGTAAACCGAGGAAGTTAAAAGAAAGTTTGGTTGAAAGCGGTTTGAATTTTCATTAGTTTGATGGCTGACAGTAACTTTCTCTTTCTAAGTTGTACTGACTTCCATGGTGCAGTTATTCTCTTCCTCATATTTACCCTTAGAAATTACTACGACTTTCTTTGGGAAGTCTGGTAATTAAGAGACCACTTACAGACCAAATGATTTAAATTTAAGTGTCCCGCAGCATCTCTTCCGATCACGAGTCGGCAATGGAAAATTGGTTTGAGCCAGGTTGATGGTTATAGTCATGACCATATTTCCTGATCGACCTTTTCTTCATCAGCCCATTAGCAAGACCTTTCATTTGGTTATCAGTGCCTCGATTCTCATTTATGGAGGCGTTACATTTCATGGATTCGGCCAAGGTTTGTTTGACGTGTGTTGCTGAAGCAGAATTCATCCGGCCGTTACGTATATAATGTAGCCATATTCAGTTGTTATACCCCGAAATCTTAATTCATTTATATTTTCAACTAGCTTCGCCGATTTTTACTTCTGTTTCTTGTACTGTAGACACAGTAACCTCCATTTTTCGTGAATTTATAACGTTACCTTCTTGCTGGAGACTTGAAATCTCGCTATTAGCAATTCAATATTTATTAATAATCTCTGTTGTAAATTTCATAGGCATCTACAAACGTACGACGTAATGCTACTATCAGACGTGAAACTGGCGTCGAGTGATCAGATGATTCTCGGTAACGAACACGGTTTACCGAAAACGCAATCCATATGAGCATTCTTGTCGATCTTGTAAGCCACCAACAAAATTATCAAATAATCGGTTTGTGTATTTTCAGCAAAAAGGAATATAAATAATGAAATAAATAATCCGCATGAGGAGGTAAGCTTAGTGCCATTTTTACACCTTGTAGTGAAAGTGGGACAATAAATCCGCTTGTTTGTCTATTGATCGAACCGTCCAGACAACACCGGAGTGTCCGTGGTGGGAGACGGAAACACGTGTGGCAAGGCTAATCGGGTCCCTGTGTGTACAAAAGTAATGGACAGATAATTAAAGAAACTACCTCGCCATTTAAATCCCTATTGATCACACTCGGCGTATACCTCAAGAATCACGTGACCAGATCGTCACCAAGGACGCATATTGAGTATTACGTGTACTCGATATGAGGACGTGAATATCAATATATACACAAGGGTATTGGGAACTAAAATGGTCGTCCATAAGGGGTCCACGGCCCTTACCCCGGTACTAGAGAGCCGGGACCGAACCAGCTCAACACTGACGGGACAAAAAAGGGTCTCCGTGAAACTCACGCCAGACAAGGGAACATCGCCTGCATACAAACACCCATGGAAGGTAGGTACCACGGCTATCTTTCTAGCGAGTGCAGAATGGTAAAATAATGATACGGAAATGAATTGATTCCTATTAATCATTGTTTCATTTAATATTTATTGGTGTCTACTTTCTTAGGGGAGACAAGATTCCGTGTAAAAATACATGTACACTTAATGTATATGTATACCGTATTGTAACAGTAATACCAGTGGCCTTTTAAAGTTTGACAGTTGGGTTCCTTGTCTGTGATAATGGGTTTAAATACATTTCTATACAGTTACACGTGTGTATATATACACGAATACATACAGCCTTTTAAATCGTCATGTACTATCGTCGTGTAATTTTTTGAGCTTTCCCAAGTAAATTCGAGACATGAGAGAATGTTATGTATTTTCAAGGTCTTCTATCGCCGTCTCATTTAAAATAAAAATTCATATCGTGCGAGTGTTTCAGTTTTCAGATATCCCGCTAGGGCTGTAAACAGAGTCGATTTAGTCGAGGTATTTTCTGACTGCAGTCAAACAATAGTCGATCTAACTTGTATTATGAGATGGGAGTTTTAAAAAGTCCTTTTTAAGTAAGACAAAACTTTATATTTATTTATGTGAATACACATTGCAGTTCACGGAAGCATGACTCTTTGTTTACCTGTAAACTTCGATATAATTTTACACAAATGGTTACGTTTGTGTTAAGCCAGTCAGAAATAAACTTTTATGAAAGCTTTTCAATACCCGGTACGGACCACTGGGTATAATTTAACGTTACAGCGGAGTGCTAATTCCACTCAATGACTAAGTATAATTTATTCATTAAAATCACATGCCTGTCAACTTAACGGTTTTAATTAGTCAAACAGAAATCTGTAATGTTGACAGGACTTAAGTGATTAAAGTCTGCCCTGTGTAGTAGATAGTATCTACATGTACTTGTTGTAGACATTGAATAATTTAGATATCTTAACCAAACACACTTCACATTTCACCTGGTTGCCCCAATATTTTATCCCACCACTTTCGTCAGTATTCCCTTCTTGTAATCCATCTCTTGGTCCCTTAGTGCCACTTGGCAGTGTCCATCGTCCATTGCCCATTCGTTGTCTGTCTCATTTAAGACAAGGATAAGTTTTTTCCCAATAATTCCTACTGAATTATAACTTGCTTGCAGATTAACGGCTCTCAAGTTTGGTTCATGAGAATTATCTAAACCCACTTTCAAGATCACGGGTGAAGGACTCGAGAGACACTGTTTTTAACACATGAGATAGTTTTCTGTTAATTTCGTTTGTGTTTTTAGGACAATTAAATACTTGGATGAGTGCTGGTGGAGAGGTGCGATGGTCCAAAAGGAAATGGGATGTTTTAAAAATGTTACAATTTCAAACTTTAGTCGCTGTTTAGTTTAATTTTCCGATACAAGAATTCTCTGAGCCTACTTTGTAAACCCATTTCTTACCTGGTTTTTGTTTAACGTCAATATTTAATCTAGATATTTTATTCAAACGTTTATATAAGACATCTACTGAAGTTTCTTAAAAAAAATATTTTAACGCCAATTAAAACAACTGTAGACAGGAGTTAAGGATAGGGCTGAAGTGTATAAATGATGTTTGGATTTACTAATTCTAAATATATATATATATATATATATATATATATATATCTATATAACAAATATTTTCAAAATGCATTCGATCAATGGTTATTGATCGTCATTTTATGACCCCTAATGTTTGCCAATGGCACCAGTATCGCCTGGTGCGTTTAATTAATATGATTTATCAATATATCATTAACAGTCTTTATCTTAGATTTCCGTGTATAATGGTTATCACCACAATTATATAAAATATCGATTTTCATATAAACAAGGGAAAACGGGACGAGATACGGGGAGGGAGGGATGGAGTGCGGAGGTGTGAAACGCGCCGTGCCTATTTCTGCCCTCGGCAAAACAATAAATTTGTTCTCCGGCGATCAAATTTTATTGTTTAATTTACGTTTGGAATGATCGTTTAGCTGTGCACTTGATTTATTATCAAATCATTATACATAAAATATCTTTGTTAAGAACCGGAAGGCACTTAGCGAGGACTACGATGGACCAATTTCTGGCCGAGAGGGATGGTGGCGCACCTACATCCGGGTACGTAAGCGATTAATTTAATTCAATTTTTGTTTTGAAACCTTAACACACCTGATCTATGTAGAAACGGTAAACCAAGCACTTTAGTTGACAGGTAATTGACTTTCGTATTTAAATTAAGCTTTTAAAGTCGCGTTTAAAGCGACACTGGAAGATCAAACATTTTTAGTTGGTCTGAGGTGCCAGATATCTTCATATATGCATTATTTCCCGGTCCCTGTGACTGCAATAAAACATGTTTGGTTGTCATGGTTACAGGAAACACCACTGCCTGGTTCATACGAGACCGAAGACTTTTTAGTAGACTTAGAAAAACGGCCACACACCTACAGATTTAAGTCGGACGGTCGGAAGATCGACGCCCATCCCCACGGGAAGGGAGCGTTACTTCTACCCGGGGCCTACGAGATACAACCTTTCACAAAGAGGTCAGTTGATAAAGTGTAAAATATAGCTGTTGTCCGTTTTTATAAAGGAATTGACTACATTTGTGGTGAAGTGCTAGGTTACCACGGTTAATAGAGGATATCGGAAATCTATTAAGCATTACGAATAAAGGTACTCGGTGAACACGTGATCAATGTGACACAGAAAGACTTCAAATCGTTTGTAGAGTTTTAAATTTAGATACAAATATTTGAAAATGTTTATATTGATATTTTATTTCGAGAGCATTTACATATTTAAAAGATTTATTTTCCTTCAATTTATTAGGTTTATCGCGTTAAATGACATTTTATGTGCTGTGTATTTTATCACTGTGACATGTTAACCAGACCGTCAATCTATTTTCGTTTCAGACTGGAACAACTGCCGGCGACTTACAATTTCAAAGCAATAGACAGAGGACAGCGCGATTTTAATTTCGGACGGAAAGACAAGGTATAGAATAGAAACAAATCGTAGTAGTATTTGTGATAGAAGACAAAGTATATGGTATTTCTTAAATTAAAGAAACAGCATTATGGACGAAACCTCTCTGATAGATGGTCAAAATAATTCTGGACAATACAATATCCAACCTCTATTATTTCAATTATTTTACAGAAAAAAAATTCTGTTTAATTCTATTGTAACGTAATACATTGTTTGTGTATATCTGTTTCAGGACATCAACGTTAGTCCAAATGCCTACGAGATGGACAAATATTTAACAGTAGCAGTAGATAAACAGCCCTCAAAGTAAGTATATATTATCCTTGTGTTGATAAATTTTCCTTATAACATAACCCGAGTGTGTTGATAAATCTTCCTTATAACTTAACCCGAGTGTGTTGATAAACCTTCCTTATAACATAACCCGAGTGTGTTGATAAACCTTCCTTATAACATAACCCGAGTGTGTTGATAAACCTTCCTTATAGATAACCCAAGTGTGTTGATAAACCTTCCTTATAGATAACCCAAGTGTGTTGATAAACCTTCCTTATAACATAACCCGAGTGTGTTGATAAACCTTCCTTATAGATAACCCAAGTGTGTTGATAAACCTTCCTTATAGATAACCCAAGTGTGTTGATAAACCTTCCTTATAGATAACCCAAGTGTGTTGATAAACCTTCCTTATAACATAACCCGAGTGTGTTGATAAACCTTCCTTATAGATAACCCAAGTGTGTTGATAAACCTTCCTTATAACATAACCCGAGTGTGTTGATAAATCTTCCTTATAACATAACCCAAGTGTGTTGATAAATCTTCCTTATAACATAACCCGAGTGTGTTGATAAACCTTCCTTATAACATAACCCAAGTGTGTTGATAAACTTTCCTTATAGATAACCCGAGTGTGTTGATAAATCTTCCTTATAGATAACCCAAGTGTGTTGATAAACCTTCCTTATAACATAACCCGAGTGTGTTGATAAATCTTCCTTATAACATAACCCGAGTGTGTTGATAAACCTTCCTTATAACTTAACACAAGTGTGTTGATAAACCTTCCTTATAGATAACCCAAGTGTATTGATAAATCTTCCTTATGACTTAATCCGAGTGTGTTGATAAACCTTCCTTATAACTTAACCCGAGTGTGTTGATAAACCTTCCTTATAACATAACCCGAGTGTGTTGATAAACATTCCTGATAACATAACCCGAGTGCTTTGATACACACACACACACACACACACACACACACACACATACACATTTTTTTTTACACCAACAACAGATCTTGACCATTACTTTATCACGACGGATACATATGGCTTACTACTATCTCTTATCGTGATAATTTGATTTTTATATTTCAGACGTTTAATTTCTTGAGTGGAAAATCCTTCGATTTTTATGTCACTATTTCAGTCATTCATTTTCTGCGTTTCTTCGTCGTTTTGATCTCGATAAATCGAGATCACTGTACCTCGGGGGTTTCCGGTACTTTTTGTTTCATAACTTCTGTTTAAATGTTTATTATTATTATTTCCAGACATTCTATGTTCAAATCACAAGCGAAACGATTTCCAACGATGCCATTTAAACCGGTGAGTGTTCGGTCAAACTGAATGTGCTATACATAAATTATACCATAGATACTCTACTTAAGTGTTGTAGACTCTATCGAAATTACATCTGGATATTTCGTTCCGCATCATCTTCGGAACGCTCCGTAACTTCATTTCGTATCATATGAAAAAAATGACTTTACAGATTGTAAAATAGGTGGATAACAATATTTTATACAAAAAGACACGGTAAAACAAAACAATTACATATGCTATTTAACTGTATCACACAGCTGTCTCGTAGAGATTGATGTGTATCCGATTGTTGTTGATAGGGAATGGAAATGTTTTGCAGAAGATTTTTTGTATAAAGTTTTAAAGTTTGATTTGACTTTTTTGATGACAGAGAACAGGTCCCGGTCCTGGTAACTATGAATATTCACCAGAGCTGCCACTACATCCGGTGTCGTCCAGCTTCAAGTCAAAAACACCACGATTCTCAAGTTCACACACGGTAGGTAGTCACTTTCGTGGTGATAGACACGTCATTATTACATGTGGTGTGCTAAATACCAGTATATTGAAATCGACATGACATATCAAGTTATTTTCATGTACACAATCAGACACTGCTCAGTGATTGAGGATCATTCATAACATTATTTTCTTGTAATAGTAAATGTTTTTTTCTCACAGAAATGTAAAATTTCACGGAAAACGTTACATATATGTAACCGAAAACACAAAGCTCTTCCTAGAACACGCGTCTCTCGGTGCAGGTATCGCGGTACCGAAAAATAACAAAACAAAAAAACAAACAGACAAAAAAAAAACAAAAAACAAAAAAAAAAAAACGAACAAACAGACAGACAAAAAATGCTTCCCGACACGGAAAGTGAAGTTTGAGTGGTTTCCTGTGAACAGTTCTGATTAGCGTTATTTCGTGTTCCAAACTCACCAAAGGTTTGATTGTCCTTGATAAGTTACGATAAAAAAACTTGTCATTTTATCTTGTTATTGCAATGTACAGTATCTGTGTAATCTGTGTAATCTGTGTAAACAAATATGTTTAGAAAAACTGCCTAAAATCTAACGGCATCGCAAATAAAAAAAAAAATCATGTGTTCAATTGATAAAGACGTTATAACATTTGGTGAGATTGGACACTTATTTGGTGTGGGAACTCTTCTGAAGATTTTCCAGCACGATGAGATGGGCACAGAATTTCCGCCTGTTTTTCACAATACACGTTTAAATCAGCCTTTATTTCTTTATGGAACGGTTGAATATCTTGACACACTTCAGACATTTCATTTTCATTTTAAAAAGGAAGCTTATCTTCCATGAATTTGTTATGCGGTGAATGTCGCCTTCTGTGGATTCTTCAGGAAATGTGTATTGTATCAACACAGTCGTAATTACGAAGATTTAATTAGTTGTTCAGATTTTCATTGAAAATATAAATGAATGAAAAAAAAAAATAAAAATGAACATAACATTTATTGGACAATATTTCTGAATCAAACGATTCATTTGAACTGTTAAGTCTTCGTACTTCACATTTTCATTCCCGGGCGCTTGACAATATTTCACAGTTGATAAATGTTCCAGTATTAAACCAGATATAATGATTTATCTTCTTACTAAATAACCTTGATATTTTCGAATTGAAGTAAGTGGTATAAAGGTCAAACATTTGATAATATGAATATTTTCAAGCGCTCTTGTCTACATTCCATAGCTGTGAATTTTTTTTATTTGTGCCATGCATTTATTTTGCATACACAGCGAAAGGCAAGTTGGATCGATTCAATCGCTTCTGGGAACCGGTTTTTGCTGAATTCCTACTTATAGGGTTAGGGATATCTAACAACTGTGGAGGGGTCAAACCTGCTGTGGTCACTCATGTAGAAGTTACCACTGCCTGACCATTATTTAGACTTTACTAAACCCGCCACTTCCGGTTTAGACAATCCAGACTGGCAGAATTTTTATCTAACATTTTAGTGTCATAGCAGGAGCGTATTAATTGTATTTTCTTATAGTTCGAAAAATTGGTCAGTGGTCACATTCTTATTAGCTAATTATCCTTATCAGTGGTGTAATATCTTTAAGAGGTCATATTCCCTTACAGGACGATAAGTGAATATTAGATCCGAATCTTGTGTTACTTCTAGTAACTTTGACGATGTTCATTTGGGAATGGGACGAAAATGCTAATACTGAGTGTCATATTCATTCGCCTAGATTATGACGTCATCAATTAAATAAAAGTGCCATTTAGTGGTAGATTTATATTTAGTCACGTTTGCGTCATTTTATTCATTATTCCGTGTCGTGGTGACAGCTGAAGTTTGTTTTCCATATGTGCTGTTTGTCAACAAAAATGACGTGGTGTGGGTTGGTGAAAGGCTGTTTAATTAGGCTATTGGGATGAGATGCATCCATTTTCGCGTATGGTATTGTGTACCCCTGCATTATGGGCAAAGAAAATAATATTTGTCTCCATATTGTTTATTGATTGCTTGGTGGTGGTCCAACTTTAATGATGTGAACATTGAATTATAAGGTGAAAAGTAATTATCATTGTTAATACATTAAGAATAAAAAATCTTTGAAACAAATGGATACAGACTCAATATTGGAGAACAAATCGGATATCTGAAGACTATTCATATGCTGCGATCCGGAAACACAGGGACTTGGCACGAATTCCCAACCCACGGTGCATATTATATCAAATCCCTGTGACCGGAAGGCATGAAGACATCCGGTTTCGTAGTCTATAAACCTTCGGGTTGCTTTGAACTGAATTGTTCCGAATGTCACTGTTTTTCTAATTAGGTATTGGGTATTTGCGTAATTGTGCAGGGAGAGATTTGTTTTCGATATGATTCATTGCAACCGATGAAAGAATAAAAAGGTTTCAAGTGATAGAAACGCATTCAGTTTTCATATGTATAAATTTATAGATATTGAGATGTTAAGACGAATCAGATAAGAAGTACTACAATACTACTACCACTTTGGTTTTAAGTCATTATTCGTGTTTATTTCAGTATCTTCGTTTAAGTACCATTAAATATGTACATAATATATATGGATCGGTTGTACTAGCGTTTGAAGTTGTGGCGTCATATCGTCATTAAATGACAAAGATTTTACCATTAAATATATACATTATCTAAATGGGTTAGTTGTACCTGTGTTAGAAGTTGTGACGTCATATCATCGTTATATGTCAAAGATTTCACCTGGAAGTGCTGCCTATGTAAGTCATTTTCGGTATTTTAGTTGCTTATATATCTGTAACACAACCTTAAACTGAATTTTAGAATCATCGAAAGCATGCAGGTCGTTTTCCTAAAAATAGATAATTGTGGTCATGTAGTAACTTTTAAACTAACCAACATGCAGTCTAACATTCAAACTGATATTTAAAAAATATTCATATCGCTCTATGTTTAAAGTTAGCTCAGAATCAAAGCTGTTTTTCTCACTTAGCTGTACAATCTCACAATCAAACTGAATTTTAAAACTCCTTTAAAGCATGCATATTTTACAATTAAGATGTAAACTAATTTTAGTCTCATAGTCACTGAACTAACGTAATTAATCTTTTATCGAAAAGGGACTCGATGTTATCATCGTAACTTGAAAACTATGTATCTGGTTAATGGGTAACAAATGGAATACTGGGGAGGAAAGGAGGGAGTTGATAGTATTCACTGTCAGTCTTATAATGATCACAAAAACATAAACCGAATGAAAAGGTTGAACGCACATGCTGTACAGGCATTTATTTTCGTGGGGGATTTATTTTCATTGAATTCGTAGGTCCTCTTTCAAATTCACGTGTCTACGTAATAATCAGTTTAAGTACATATATAGACTTCATAGCAGTATCAATTCACTAAGTCACGATATTTGTCGAGAAACCACGAAATTGGAGTCCCATGAAAAGATATCATTTTACAAAAGTTATTTACTACTTTGGTAACGATCAAATCAAGAATATCTTACCCGGTGTTCATGTTACAAATTTCAGAATTACATTTCTTATACGCTTGGCTCTCAAAATATTGATCTTGACCAGAGATGTTACATACGTCTCTGTCTTGACGTTGTTTTTTTAGACAACGCAACATCAGAACAATTGAAAGTTTATTATGTGAGATTTTGAAATACCTCGGTACCATTTCAAGGTAGTAAAGACTCTGTTGTTAGCTTTTTCTTAGTATTGAAAAACATAATGTTATTTATATGAATGGTTGTGTGACAGTTCAGCCTGTACCTTTCTACCTTCTGACCAGTATAGGTTTCTGCCTCTCCCTCTCGATTTCTGTCTATCCTTTTTAACAATCCTAATCGGAAAATCTTTCTATATTTCAGTATCGTTTAAAATGCAATAAATACCCTACTTTGTAGAAGCTAGCTCTGTAGTATTATCACTGTACCTGGAATACTGTGTCATATACTCGTTATACATTACACCATGTAGTAAAGTTAGTATCAAATCAAAATACCTTACGTGTTTCACTACCTTTTGTATTACATAAAACAGGTGTTTAATACCATACTTCAGGAGATCAGATTATAGATTTATTCAATCCATCATTTATCATGTATCAGTAAATTCAATTTTTAATCCGATTCATCTTTTGATTACTTTAACTTTTACATTTCAGTGCCGTATTTTTTTCTTCGGAGATATTTAAAAATGTTATCAAAAGATTTTGATTATTTATGTATGAGCATTTCGTTAGATGCCAATAATTCTTACGTACACTTCATCTTAAATGCTAGATAAATTTATTGTTAAAGAAAAATAGATTTTGAAAATATTCGATTATGGAGAAGAAATGATTGTACAAGTATTGTGATGTTTACAGATATTGTTAGCTATTGTTAACAAAACGATAGTTTGGTTAAATATCAAATACCAATTCTAATATTAACTCAATTAAGGCTGTATATATTATTGTATCAAAATGTATTAACATCTATGTTATATTTCGACAAACTGGTTAATTGAAATACCTGGTTTTTCATCGTCATGTCAGAAGTATTACCTCAGAAATGTATCTAACGTTGACCTTTTACCTTATTGAATGACCTTTAAACTTTGCTTTTCTCTGCCAACAGAGAGTACCTGGACCTGGAACATATGCCAAAACACATCAGTACCCAATGAACAAGAACATCTCGAATATGGGAAGACAACACGGACTTTTCTTTACAAGTGCCTTCCAGGCCTAAAAAAGGGCCAGGGTCATCGTTCGAACTCTGACCTGATTTCCATCTTAGAAATCAAGCTGTTATTATCTTGATACTGTATATCTCCTCTTCATCCTGTTACCAATCTCTGTCAGGCTGTGAGAGATTGCTTTGTAACATGTTATCATGGTTAGGAAAACTTGCCTTGGTAGGAAGCTGTTTTGGAAGCGTCCACACTTTTGATCTCTTTGATAACTATAAAAGGAACCACATATTAGCATCATCGGACTTGTTGCTGATCAATTTTTATTCTGGAAACTTTGAACTGGAAAGATGCATGACTTGAGACTATACGTACCAACGGATCGCTATCGACCTCTTTTTTTTTATCTGTGATAACATTCCCAATTTTTTTCTATACACTCAGAATACTGTTCCAAAGTTTTATCCCAAGATTTATCTGTGATAACATTCCCAATTTTTTTCTATACACTCAGAATACTGTTCCAAAGTTTTATCCCAAGATTTATCTGTGATAACATTCCCAATTTTTTTCTATACACTCAGAATACTGTTCCAAAGTTTTATCCCAAGATTTATCTGTGATAACATTCCCAATTTTTTTCTATACACTCAGAATACTGTTCCAAAGTTTTATCCCAAGATTTATCTGTGATAACATTCCCAATTTTTTTCTATACACTCAGAATACTGTTCCATAGTTTTATCCCAAGATTTATCTGTGATAACATTCCCAATTTTTTTCTATACACTCAGAATACTGTTCCAAAGTTTTATCCCAAGATTTATCTGTGATAACATTCCCAATTTTTTTCTATACACTCAGAATACTGTTCCAAAGTTTTATCCCAAGATTTATCTGTGATAACATTCCCAATTTTTTTCTATACACTCAGAATACTGTTCCAAAGTTTTATCCCAAGATTTATCTGTGATAACATTCCCAATTTTTTTCTATACACTCAGAATACTGTTCCAAAGTTTTATCCCAAGATTTATCTGTGATAACATTCCCAATTTTTTTCTATACACTCAGAATACTGTTCCAAAGTTTTATCCCAAGATTTATCTGTGATAACATTCCCAATTTTTTTCTATACACTCAGAATACTGTTCCAAAGTTTTATCCCAAGATTTATCTGTGATAACATTCCCAATTTTTTTATATACACTCAGAATACTGTTCCAAAGTTTTATCCCAAGATTTATCTGTGATAACATTCCCAATTTTTTTCTATACACTCAGAATACTGTTCCAAAGTTTTATCCCAAGATTTATCTGTGATAACATTCCCAATTTTTTTCTATACACTCAGAATACTGTTCCAAAGTTTTATCCCAAGATTTATCTGTGATAACATTCCCAATTTTTTTCTATACACTCAGAATACTGTTCCAAAGTTTTATCCCAAGATTTATCTGTGATAACATTCCCAATTTTTTTCTATACACTCAGAATACTGTTCCAAAGTTTTATCCCAAGATTTATCTGTGATAACATTCCCAATTTTTTTCTATACACTCAGAATACTGTTCCATTTTATCCCAAGATTTATCTGTGATAACATTCCCAATTTTTTTCTATACACTCAGAATACTGTTCCAAAGTTTTATCCCAAGATTTATCTGTGATAACATTCCCAATTTTTTTCTATACACTCAGAATACTGTTCCAAAGTTTTATCCCAAGATTTATCTGTGATAACATTCCCAATTTTTTTCTATACACTCAGAATACTGTTCCAAAGTTTTATCCCAAGATTTATCTGTGATAACATTCCCAATTTTTTTCTATACACTCAGAATACTGTTCCAAAGTTTTATCCCAAGATTTATCTGTGATAACATTCCCAATTTTTTTCTATACACTCAGAATACTGTTCCAAAGTTTTATCCCAAGATTTATCTGTGAAAGATTTATCTGTGATAACATTCCCAATTTTTTTCTATACACTCAGAATACTGTTCCAAAGTTTTATCCCAAGATTTATCTGTGATAACATTCCCAATTTTTTTCTATACACTCAGAATACTGTTCCAAAGTTTTATCCCAAGATTTATCTGTGATAACATTCCCAATTTTTTTCTATACACTCAGAATACTGTTCCAAAGTTTTATCCCAAGATTTATCTGTGATAACATTCCCAATTTTTTTCTATACACTCAGAATACTGTTCCAAAGTTTTATCCCAAGATTTATCTGTGATAACATTCCCAATTTTTTTATATACACTCAGAATACTATTCCAAAGTTTTATCCCAAGATTTATCTGTGATAACATTCCCAATTTTTTTCTATACACTCAGAATACTGTTCCAAAGTTTTATCCCAAGATTTATCTGTGATAACATTCCCAATTTTTTTCTATACACTCAGAATACTGTTCCAAAGTTTTATCGCAAGATTTATCTGTGATAACATTCCCAATTATTTTCTATACACTCAGAATACTGTTCCAAAGTTTTATCCCAAGATTTTGCTACGACTATAGCCGTTACTAAAAGATGTCAGAAGTAGAATGCTTTATAATATACAACAGTCGCGTGCTCTAAAGTATATTACCTTAAGAAGCACATTAGATAAAACGATTACACGTAAGGAATGGTTTGAATGAGGCGGATGGACTTGCACAGATTTCCGCAGCGAGAGTGGAAAAGTCCAATCTTAGATACAATTCTCACTTAAAGACGTCATTCTGACGAGATAACGTCATTGATGTGTTATTAATCCACAAATAGTGATAGAGTTTAATATGTAATGCGGGATGATAAAAAAACCAAAAATAAAAAAAACGGGACGGTGAGGCCACAATATTTATTCTACAATTAACAGCATTCTAGTCCTATTTATAGCACAAGTTTTCTAATACAAAAGATAACCAGTCTCTATCAGAGTTGTCGTTCCTACATTATATAGGATCCGGAATGCACTCTGGGAGAGATTGACAGGTAGTAGGTAGCATTTTGTCACGTGGTTAATGGACAGTTTTTTTTTTAAATTCAAAAGTTCCAGTTGAAGTTCCTCTCGTGATATTTTTTTCAAATATAATGTAAAAGGAATTTCATACTGAAATTATTTCCAGGTGTTGAAAGAATTTTATTCGTTCATATTGCATTTTCTACGTCAAGGGAGATAAATCAGGTACGTTTATCCGGGATCAGTGTGTACATTTAGAGGTGTCTGGATACATTATATCCTGGGGAAACGATACACTCAGGAAAAAAGGTCATAAATAAGTTGTTGTGATAATATCAAGGGTAGCGTATATTTGTTACGTATCAGTATTATGTTGTTCGAACTATTATATTTATTAATTTATAGGATTCACATGCACCATTATATCATTGTTTTGTGTGCTCAAGTATGACTACATACATGTCCTGTTTATCAGAGATAAACTATTTTTATCGTCTACTGTGTTTGTTTATGATTTAATTTTCATTTTGTCGTTACTAAGTCGGCGAGGAACTCTGCTTTGACCTAACAGGATTTTTATGTTCTCACATGTACATGGTTTTATCATTCCGTCATATTTCTTTCACTCTCTGAAGTATACAAATATCGAACTGTAATGAGGTATAGTTGTAAAATAATGATAGGCAGTTCAAGCTCTGACCTTATTATGGTCGATTACATATTTTGTTTCCATAGTTACTGTCATTTACAAACAACTCGGAAGAATTTTGATAGGGAATTTCACAAAAATGGTTAAACCAATACTTGAAAGCCGAAAACTTCAGATTTCAGATTATTTACCTTGCAATCTGAATTTTCACAACGAGGTTGTCTTTCAGTTTTTTGGACGGTTAGGGTCCGTGGTAGGACTGTGTACGATGGAAGGGGGATAACTGTACATAACTTACATGCTTGTGATTTTTTTAGATATTACCCGTGATACAGGTCTGTAGTTTTCTGTCCGAAGTTTATCCTTCTTTCTGGATAAATGAATAACTTAATTATCCAACTTTATGGATAAATTTAACAGAAACTCTTCTGAATTAATTGAAGATGAAACTTGATACTTTTCGGGTTTCTCTTAGTATGAAATTCAGTAAACAACTTTGAATTATAATGATACAAACCTTGATATGATGGAAGTTTTCCTATCAGTTCATTGGCAAAAGAAGTAATGTTAAAATTGTTGGCTATATTAATGTTGATGCGACAGTTAAATGATACTCGTCTGGAGGGCAATTGGTATTTCGCGTCTGGAGAACTTTTGAGGATTCTCGGCTAGAGACGTTTTGATGGTACTCATCTGAAAGACTATTGATGTACTCGTCTAGAGAAGTTTTGATGGTACTCGTCTGGAGGACTGTCTATGATAAAAAGGTGAGGGGAATAAGCGACCCGCGCTCGGATCGACGTTCAAACGATAACTGTGGAAAGAAATGGATCGAAACGCATATTCCAGTTCAGGATGATTGCTATGTTTCGATTACCACAATATCACTTGATATGTTTCGTACCGTGGTGAATACTAGACAGACTTCCATTCTCACCATTTTAGGACAACAATGAAATAATGATGAGAACAGCTTGACATTGTCAGAAACATATATACGTCTCAGACATTGTGAAGTGTGATGACTGCACATTGGGAAATACAGCATTGACTTTCGTAAACAATATTATTTGACATCAAAATAACAGATATATACAAGAGATTCCAACATCATGTGATCTTTACTTGCTCAGGAGAAGTGTTCCTGTCTTCTCTCTGTTTCCGCTGTGTTTTACTCTTTCTTGATACTTTATCGAATATTTCTCGTAAGAAACATTTATAAAAAAATATTTTACTATCAAATCTAACATGGCCGCATGTCAGCCATTTGCTTTCTGATCAGTCCAAAAATCAAATGGACACAACTAGAGACCAAGGGAAGCTACAGAAAAGATCCTCATGAGATACTTAGATGGTTAGTCATTTTGCTTTTTGTTCTTTTTATATTTCCTTTCATAATTCCAAAATCAAAAGAGAACAAGACAAGATCTAATAGGAAATTTGAGAAAAGCGTGTATGGATACTGAGTACTAATATAATATGATTAGATATATACATTTTTTGTATTCCGGATACAATATCTCAAAAAGACTAATTTTATATTAAGTTCTTCCGGCGAGTCTCGATTTCACATCGGGGGAAATACAACTTCCGTTAAATCCATGAACGAAAAGGAAGAGGAGTTGTTTACAATTATAATTTAGTAGTTGGTACTTGTCGTACTCGAATCGAAATATGACGACATGAAGAAAAGGTCTGTCAGTGGCAATGAGACGTCACCAACAATTCGCCGTAAGACTAGGGCAAGCACCAGTTCTAAACAGACACATCATGTTGAACACGAAAAAGAGAAAATCCTGCACAAACGTCACAAAGTTCGACTCGCCGATATACAGGAATCTCCAACTAAGAAGTCACCTGAGATAAATTCGAAGAATAGTAAGATATTGATAAAAGTCTGTCGAAAGCTTGGAATTTATTGTAAATGATTCTAATTGTCTAATAATAATTAAATTGTATCGGCACCAACAGTTAACTCTTTCAAAAATAGATTAGATGAACTCTGGGCAAATCAAGAACTGGTATATAATTATAAAGCAGAAATTCTGTAGTTCCTGGATCTGACGTCTCAAATGACAATAATTATAAACATTATCATTGTATCACTGAGACCGGTATAGAAGATCGTAACGATCCTGCACTGGTAATAAACTAAACTAAATTGCAATATCGGGGATTCTTGATGACGTATGTTGCTATGTTCTCAGTGGTTCTGCATTCATTTTACTGTTGTGTATCGGTTGATTGGCAATTATCAATACAATTCGTATTGATTTGACTAGAATATTTATTAAACTGGAATAGATCCTTCAATAGGGAACACCAGGACTCAGCTGAGCTTCGGGAATTTTGGCTAATGTATGGTGTCAATTAACAATAACATTAAAAATCTAGTATGCCCATTCTGAGACCTTATAAAATTTGGAGTATCGGTATAGATACATTTTACTCAGAATTTTGCAACAGAACCTATGTGCAGAAAACACTTCTGGGACTTCCCACTTCAGTTTAACAACAGACAGTGCTGGTGCACTTAATTATTAATTTTTGCTTGGCATGCGTTATCTTTTGGGCTTCCTTGTTAGGTGGCTCAAGTAATATTGGCCATCTAAAACAAGAACAAGATAGTAATGTTTTGTATCTCCATCTCCATATTCTACATCAAATACATAATATTATCAGATATCTCTCTGTGGATAGAATACCATGGCCCTCTATTGTAATACTCCAGTTTCAATACCTTAATAGTAGCAGGTCAGTGTAAAATTAGTCTTTGTCTGATGGATCATTCTTCTTTGGCTCTGTTGATTCAACTCTTGGTGAGGTGCTCCTAAACTGAAGTACATGTATCTGCATTTAAAATACTGAATCAAAAGTTAAATTCAACTTCTGAAGAATTGTGTATAGTCCACATTATCATCCTAGATGAGATTTGGACCTAAGCTGTTTTTAAGTGGCCACCATACAATATGCCTGTAATTTTGAAAATCACATTACTCCTGATAGAAAAGTTGTATCAATAAATATAATGCTAATAATGACATGTAGCTGGTCCACAAATTCTCCTTACTGTTTGGATGTATGGGCAGTAAAGATGGCTGTCAAAGTCACTATCTTGAAAATCTCTATATCTTCTTCCCAAGCAAATTGTTGCATTAAGACAGAACTTTTATCACCTAATGTTGTGAAAATGTCTTGTGAAATCAGAAAAAAAACAAGGAAAAAAATATATAGTCATGTAGCAATATGAAAAGTCTTGACACCAGTAAATCACCAGTTGCATCTGAAACTATTTTGTTTTTTTTCCCCATCTAATTTGTCCTCGGAAATTTGTATGATTTACAAGTCATATATGCATGCATTTTGTTGGAAGCAATGTTTGGTCAGTTTTATCCATGGGGAGTGGTTTTATTTGCAATAAAATATGGTATTGACTACAGAGCATTTAACTTTAGTCTATGTAATGGTACTTATGTACTTAAAGTGTACACTGAGAGTAATTTTATATTTAGATATAATGTTCAGAATGCCGTAAAAATAATAATAACGAAAACCCTGTCAAAATCCGTCGCCCCAGTGTCGAGTTATTAAAGCTCAAAGTTGTCGATTTTCACCTGTCCGCCCAGACCTAATCAGCCGAATCGTCATTTCCGCGGAATCGAGGCTCTTCTACTCGTGACGTCATAAGTTCAACAGAAATGGCAGTCAACATAACTGACAGTGACAACGACACCGCAACTGAGAGCGATTTAAACATGAGTTTTGAGGAGTTTGATTATGGTGTGGATGATATTTCTGAAGACGGAATCCAGCCCTACCGATTTGAACTGGAATTACATGACGATGTATCCAGTGAAGAGGAAAATGACCCTTCGAAAAGAGACGATCGCTTGGGCAACATAGATTGGCACGTACTTCACTGGGTCTTAAAAGTAGTCGTGAAAGTAGTCGAACAGTGAATCGTCGTTTCAAAGAAACAAAATAAAATTAGGTTTGGTTTTGGACTAATTTTACTATCTTCAAGTCTCGATCAACAATTTCTGACGTCGGGAAATCGCGTTTGTGCAAGACTATGCATACATTCACGAGGTGTCGGGAATTTTCGTACCGAAGAAGTTTCGTCCGAGGGGAATTTTCTTTCCAGGGAATTTTCGTAGCACTATGGATATATATAGATAGGGTGTCAACAACCAATTATAACACCCTCCGCTGTGTTGACAATAAAAATTTGATGTTTTAGAAGTTTATACAATTATTTGACTGGTTTTTACCCTAGCACTGGTACGCGTCTGTTGTTAGCCGACAGGCGTGTCGCCTCACAGATGTCACAGTTGTTTTTTCCAGCCACAGAGGTGCTAATTACCTAACCTGGCACAGGTGTGATTATGAGTTTAGATGACATCTCTACACTGTGAACTGTGTTTACAAATCAAGATTGGTGATCTTATTGTTATTTTTACGATCGCAAAATGGCTAACTAAACAACATCGTCTGCTGGAAGATCTAAAAACCAAGTAAACCTTATACAAACAACATACACACATAACCTATTCTATAAATTCTAATAATTCTATTCTATACTATATAGTAGTAGTATGAAAATTCTCGGGATGAAAATTCCCATGACCCATTCATGACTAGGCCTTCTCCGTGTATTAGGCATTCACGATTACAAAGGAATAATATTCCAACGACCGCCCAAGTCATAGGCTAGCCTATCAATTTAAAATGTTTAGTTGTAGAATTAATAACAAAATATCAACCTAACAAATATACTTTTATTTAATCAACAATCAGTTTTATTTATCGACGTCATGCATCGACACCCCATCTGTGTTAGTGTTAGGACAACCATACACACCGCTTCCCTCCTCGATAGGAAGCCATTTTAGCGGATTTAAGTGCTAATTCACCGACCCCTCGTTCACTACCTTAGATATTGCGAAGATGTGAAGTACTTTCACGTAAATAAACAAAGAAATTACCACGGAAAATCCCAAAATAGATCACAATCACATGTAGCACAGTAAAGACAATATGGCTGCATCAACAAAAGCGTTGAACTTATGATGTCACAGGTTTGGGTGCCCAAAAACGAGGTCAACGCCTCTCAGCCAAAGGTGTGTTTTTCAGAAAAGTCGCAATTTCTCAGTAACGGAACATTCCATGGCATTCGCGTTTTCGGCATAGTGTATTTTATGTGAAAAACTATTTTGCAAGGTCAACATAGCTGACCTCTCAGGGTACACTTTAATTACATGAGAAAATGTTTTTCTCATAATGAATTAAAGTTATTTGGGCTACTTCTCCCAATGAAATAAAGTCACTAGGACTACTTCTCCCAATGAAATAAAGTCACTAGGACTACTTCTCCCAATGAAATAAAGTCACTAGGACTACTTCTCCCAATGAAATAAAGTCACTAGGACTACTTCTCCCAATGAAATAAAGTCACTAGGACTACTTCTCATATTGAAATAAATTAATAAATTAATGGTTTTGAATGAAGAGTTATTGGTTTCCTTAATTCTATGTTTGTAAAACATACCATGTGTCATAATTTCATTCCTATTTTCAGGACAGGACACTTTGAAATCAGATGCAAGATTTGAAACACCGAAGTCCAAAAAGAGTTCTTACTTACTTGATAACACTCCATTTAAAGATGACTTGCTGTTGGCATCACAAGGTTATGATGCTCAGTGTGATGTGAGATGGGATTGCACATCACCAGATGCACTCAGATATATAAGGAAAAGTAAGTTTCAGATACAGAGTTTAAAGGCTCTGATTAGGCAAACTAACATGTTTAGTTCCCAGGCTTTGAGTAGCTTCCAAAGCTATTTTTGTGCCTACCCAAAACTCTTTTTGACAAATTTCAAGAGATCAAAACACTTATAATGTCACAATCACCCCCCTCCCTCTACACGTATTTGATCTTTTAAAAAAACTGCCAAGTATTTAAAAAATACTTACCCACAGTGTGTACTTACCCTTTTGTTTTCAAATATGTAAGAGGAGCAGCATGTTACTTTGTTTGGTTAAACAACACCTGTATTATTGTATAAAGACTGCTAACAGAAGAGTAACTGACAGAAAAACGATATTGCAGAGTTGAGTGTAATTTCAAGGTTTAATGTAAAAAAAATTGTTTCTTACAGACAGACAACGCCATCATTCCAGTGATGTTGCAGGCATTGTCCAGCTTCTTATACCAGAGGAGGTAAATATCCTTGTTTGTGTTTTTATCAGAGAATAAACATGTATATTAGAACATCAACAGAATACTGAAATTTCAACAAAATCATTATTCAAACTCAAAACTGATTTAATGACAGAAAATTATGATCAAAGAAAATTATGATCAAACGACATACTAAATGGAAACCCTTGCAAAGATACAAGGATATCAGGTGTTCTAGAGAGATAAGGGTCTGCTTTATTGATGATATGTAAAATTATATCAATCAAAGTGATGTCAACTTCTCAAATGAGGAAAAGATGCATAACATCTCACCCACTGCTACCCAGATCATTGGAACTTCACTCAAATGCTTGTATTATAGGTAGGGCTGTCATGAACCCTGACCCATACTCGGTTACCTGCAAGTTTTAGTAACGTGATCACCACAACTTACATAGTAGTATAGACATTATCAACTCTGTAAAACCTCTCCATACTGGAAACAAGGCCTTGAATATCAAATCAGCTGTGACATGTAAACAAAATATGTTGGGGATGCAGAGTAAGTAAATGAGGACTATCTATATATAACATGTTAAAGTTATAGTTTGTTACTTTCAGTCTCGGGAGGAGGATGCAGCTCCGTCCACAAACACTCCACCCCTTCTTGGATTGTGGATGAATTCGTCAAACCGACCTACACATGCAAGCAAAGAAGATAAATCCAGTGACAGGGCACTCGCTGCACACTCTAGCAAGCTTGTTCGGTAAGGTTGATACCTAGAGTATTCAACTTGATCAAAACATCTGCTGAAATAAGGATATTCCCATTGGTGTTAAAAGAGAAATTGAATGTTGTCAAAAAAATCTACATTTCATCCCATTCTGGATTTAAGTTTCCAGAGTTATCCAGTTTGGTTTGCAGCTAATGCATTAAAAATATAGCCTTTTTACCAGATTCTCCAATGAGAAGTGTTTCAGATCAGTGTCTGCTGGCACAAGGATCGCTCAAGTCTTTATCTTATCTTTCAAGAGTTTGATACTCTTTCATTAAAGTGAGTTTAAGGATGAGGGTATGAAAAGATGTGTAGATTTGTTCATGGAACATATTTGTTATGCAAGTTATGTGTGAAAATATCTTATAGATAAAGACAGCTTTCTTATTGAAGACACAAGAAGCTGTTTGATATATATATACTAAACAAAAAAAGAAAGGTAACACTACTTTATTCTGTGATTAATTAATTAACCCCTTCATAAATCCTTACCAATCATGTACGAATAAAGTAATTGATCAATTCTGATAAAACTGCAGTCATGGTTTATTATAAAGCTTTGCGTTCAGTTGATTTTATTCGACTGTAAAGGACGTTGGGGTCAATTTCAAAGGTAACACCATTAGTAACGGGTATGGCCACTGTTTGCGAAGTAAACAGCATTGCAGCGCCGTCGCATGGAACTCGTAAACCGGCAGATAATTCAAGGAGAGATGTTGTTCCATTCAGCGATGAAGGCATTGGCCAGCTCCTGCAAGTTTGACAGCTGATTTTGACGTTCTCTCACGCGTCGCCCAAGAAAGTCCCAGACATGCTCAATCGGTGACAAATCAGGTGATTTAGATGGCCAATCTAACACCTGTACCTTATTCTGCTGCAAGAAAGTTCTGCTGACATGACTGGTGTGCGCTGGGGCGTTATCCTATTAAAAAAAATGATGCCAACGCCATGGTGTCTTAAGAATGGCAGAACCACTGGTCTTAAAATTTCATCCCGATATTGATGCCATTTAACACAACAAGCCTGGTACGAGTCCCCCCACAAATACCACCCCAAACCATTACACTTCCGCCGCTAGAGCGGTCCCGTTCTGCAACGCAGCAGTTCGCAAAACGCTCCCCTCGTCGCCTCCACACTCTGCGCCTTCCGTCACCGTGTTGCAGACAAAACCTGGACTCATCTGAAAACAGAACATTGTTCCATTGTCGTAAGGCCCAACAACGGTGAACACGGGTCCAGTTACGCCGATTTTTACGGTGATGTTGCAACAAATTGGGTCCATAGTGCGACGCAGCGCTTTCAATTGGTAGGCTCTCAACCTGTTGCGGACTGTTTGGGGAGACACATGAATCGATTGCGCAAGTGTATCAATCGTATACGACGGTCATCCCTGGCGGATGTTGACCCAGTTTGGTTTAAACGACTTACCAACTGGCAAATCGTCTTAACACTGCAACCAAAATGCTGTGCAACTCGACGGCGAGACTCCCCAGCCTGGATCATGCCTACAGCCTTTCTCTCTGTACTTGTGACAGCCGGGGCATAATGATAAAGTTAATAGATAGCAAGATTCGGTGATTTCTAAGTCCTAAGGATCTAAGGAACAGTTGTCAGTTTGAATGTTTATGAAATTCAAGTGAAGATACAAGTCGCAGAAAACCTCGTGCAGCTCTTTCGCTAATACAGACTTTCACGCTTGAATGATTATGGTAACCCCCTTGGATTTTGTAATGTAAAACATTACCAATTTCTAATATTGCACAAACGTCATTTTGTTTTCACTCATTTACAGGTATTCGCCAAGGAAACATGTTAACCTTCCTTTTTTTGTTGAGTATATATATATACACAAGTGTTCATGTTCAAAACGAAGTGATTTGCTTACCTTCATATTAAAATATAAGATTTTGCACCAAAAAACAAGAAAGTAACAGGATGTTAATTATATATAAAATGTTTAATTTCCCTATTTTAATGGGACAATTAATCAAGGTTAAACAAGTGATATTTGACATGGGACTTTGTGTAGATTAATTACCTGAAGTGCACTTTCCATGTTTTTCTATGAAGATCATCTTGTATTAATCAGCATTGATTAAATTAATATACTTGTATGACAGTTCTGTAATGTAAGTACATACCACATTTATTACTGAAATTGAGACTGAGCAGGAAAATACAATGATTACATTTCTCATACTTAGATTAGTTTACAACAGATGTAGGGCTTTGTTAGTTTACCTGAAGTATTGATAAAACTTTGATGTATCCATATTTATCTCCAGATTCAGGAAAAAGGAGAAATCCCATTCAAATACTGGGCGGGATACAAAGATACCATCAGAATGGTTGGAAAAACTGAAGCTGGCTGTAGAAAGATGTAAGCAAGATATATACAGAGTACATACTACCTGAGTAAGGATGGTAGACTATGTAGTCTAAATGTAGAATTTCTACCAGAGATTGTTTAAGACCAGTCAAAGGGTGATGGTAATACTTTTAAATTTATACCTGAGGGTACTGGGTTATTTTGTTCTCTTTTCTTACCATTGAATTTTCCCTACAGAGAATCTTATTTCCTTCTCTTTAACATAGATTATTCCATGAAAGATAATTCCTGTTTTCAAATAATGAAATGTGAGAAGTGAATAGACTCGTCCATTAAATCTTTAGTTATCACTTTTTCTATCCTGCTGATAGTTTGTTGTGTTGATATGATGGAAGATCTTGAATAAGGCTTGCATGTTACATAGAATTAGTGATATGTAATACTAGGTGTATGAGTGACACACACATGCTATCTCAATGCTAGCTTGATTTTATTCCCTACTGGATATGAGAAATTAAAGGTTACCTGCCCAAGCACATACTGGATTTCCCCCCAGTGCTTCCATTTTGTCCAGCGACAGTGATTAATAGAAATTAGTAATACTAATTATTGTAAAATATATAATATTTACATTGTATATGACAAGCTGTGTTTAATCAATTGATGTTTGTTGTGCAGGTGATGAGGATTCTACCATATCAACAGAAGAGACTGAAATTGATAAGTATGATATCAGCATTTTTTCAAACTTCAGTATAATTTCTTTTAAAGCAAATAGTTTTATACATTTTTCATTAAAGCTGATAAGCTTTGATGACTTCTTTTAATGCATAAATTTAGTTTCTGTTTCTTGATTGGGGCAGTAAAAATTTCCTTCAAATTAATTACAATTAAGAACTGTCAATAAGTTTAACCGAAAAGAACGTGTGTATCTGTGTTACTGAAGGATTAGGAGAATTGTATGTATTGACTTATTGAAATTGCATGAGTTCTATTGCTGGACACTTGGAGAGATCAATGAAATAAAGGCTTTCACTGGTCCATACATTCTGTAATGAATCAAAGTCTACATAGCTGGTCATTAGCCAGTTAAAAGTCTTTAGGTCACCTATTTGTCAAGTGACATACTGCAATTGTCTTTTGTCCATTGTCACTTGAAGTTTGTCATGCATCTGTAAACATTTGATATTTTAGACATTCCTTCACAAAGCCCTGAACCAATTTTGATCAAATTTTGCAGAAACATTTGATGGCCAAAGGTCAACCACAATTACGAATTATATGGTCCCAATCCCCCCAAGAGCCTGAGAATGGGGTCAAATAGACTAAAACTTTAAGAACATTTTTCTCAGAACTCATACCAGTATGGTAGAATTAAATACTTTTTATAGATGAAAAAGTTATAAGGTGGGAAATAAAATTGAATTTCATGAACCCAGAGTCTCGAATTTTCCTCTGGGGAGGTGTATATATTCCTTACAATGAATGTTGTCATAGGTAGCATAACACTTATCCTCGCAGCACTCATGGAGCTTCACTCTGTAAAGAATTTTGAGGAGACATAACAAACTTATAAAAGACCATTGTATCCAGGACTAGTTCATATTTTAGGATTCTAGATTCAAGGTCACTGTTGCTATTTTAGAAAATCTTTGTCTCTACATCTTCATTTCTTGATTTTCATCATTGAGATGATTTCTACAACAGGTATTACAACAAAAAGAGCAGATTTTGTAGAACTCAGGTGACTATTTAAACTTGTGGATCCCTTACATGAAACAACTAAGACTTCAGATAAACAAATATGTTGCCTGGTTGGGTCAAGGAAAGAAATATTTCTCCTGGGGACAATGTGCACTTATGCAGGACCATAAAGTCAAAGTAAGGATGACCATGTTGAAAAATAGCTCTCAAAATTTGTCTTTGACATGAAATGACATTCCATGGATTCTATTTACAGGTGTACTAAAAAGGATGCAAGTTCAGGTTTAGATCAATCAAAGGACTTGTTTGCGGATGCTGATGCCACTGCTTCTGGTGTTAAGAGGGGGAACACTTCCCCAGGTTGTCAGAATGCTAGAGTAGTTGACAGTGAGGACGGTGATCACAATTCTGATCTGAATTGGAGTGATGATGAAATGTTCCAAGATGACTCTTTACTGATGAAGGCTACACAGGACCCGGTCATAGAGACAAAGGGGACTCTATCAGACAAAAGGGGCAACAAACGCAAGTCTCGCGAAACGGAGGAATCTCAGTGTAAGATAAGCAAGGTGTGCTTAGATTCCCGTCAAGAGCTTCACAGAAACCCAATTGATAATAGAAAACAAAGAGCAGGAGTGATTCCTAACAAAATGCTACAAGGGAGTAAGGGGAAATCACCGTCACCATTCCGGAAAGTGAAGAGTTTTAATGACATTGATCTCATGCAAACAAAACATGCCCACGATCTGAGCCATAATAAGAGTCGTAAATGTCTGTCACTTTGGAACTCTGACAATGTGACAAAAACACAATCTGTTCCAAGTGTATCCACTTCAAATCTGATGAGCAGGATTACAGTCACTCAGGGTAAAAGCGTTTCTTGCAATCAAGCTTCTAAACCTACAAACATGTTGGCAACTGATAAAAAACAATATCCAGTTCAAGGTGATCCTCAAGTGGACACAAGAACATCTGTTGATTCAAGTAGTGGTTTAAAAGTTATGAAGCATGTGTCTTCAACCACTACAAAGAGATTTCATGTTACTGGTGGCAGCAATTCTTCTTCCACTACCAACAGAGTTTCCACACTTCAGTCAGGACTTGGTGATGCATGCTGCTCAGGACCAAACAAAGTCTCTGGGAAAGGGAATTCTGCTCCTGTGTATACAACAAGCCAAAATCTGAAGTGTCAAGTCAACATATCTAGTAGAACATATATTGTTGCTAAATCTCAAAATACAAATTCCTGTGTTGTGAATAATCATGAAAATACTGGAGTCTCTAATCAGAACTCTGCTGTTAGTAAAAGTGAATCCAATAAAAGCTCTGGATTACAGTGCACAGACTCAGCTGTTACAATCACTTCCACGACCTCAACTTGTAGACGTCGCTCCAGTGGAATGTTTGACACCAGTTTGTCTGATGATCTCCTGTGCCAGCTGGCAGAACCAGATGAGCTTTTAGACAGCCAGGCTAGTCCAACACCTAAAAACAGTGGACATAATAAAAAATCTCTGAGTATAGGCACTTTGCCACACCAAGGGAAAGTGCTGCCAGGAGCACCACTGCAGGGAGTTTGTGTGGCAAAATCGTGTGATAGCCCAAAGTCAAGTACATTGTTAACCAAGGACTGTGATAGACTCAAATCTGATGCATTGTTACCCGAGTGTTCGAAAGACTGTATGACAATAGAATCAAAGACTGTGCCACAAAGTTCTAATGTCATTGGAACTGGAGGTGCTAATCAGAAGTCTTCTCATTTGAAACAGTCTGGTGTCAGCTGTGGCAGTAAGCCAGTCTTTGTTCAAAGTAGTGCTAACACTGTGATATCTTCAAGTCAAGTCTCATCCACACAGAGGAGTAAATTCAAATTTAAATCCAAATCTGCAAACAGTGGAATGGTTGTGACATCAGCATCTACTCTTACTTCAAAAATGTCCTCAGATCAGCCCAGGTCTACCAGTCCACACATGACTAACAAAGTCACTGCTGTTGCTTCAAAGTCATCAGGTAAAATACTTTTCCATTGTAGTATAAACTAAATCCAAACACTAGTGTTGATGTAAAAAGTCAATGCAATACAATAACTCTTAGCTTAGGATTTTCTGACTATTTAAATTATAGAGAAAGTTCTGGGTTTTTTTTTCTTCTTTTCTATGAGTTGATTGGAGCAGGTAACAAGTCTACTATTTAAATCAGTGCAACAACTACACAAGTACTATGACATACAGATAAAACAGATGGATATAGAGTCAGGGGTCATCAATCCAGCCATTACTGACCGGTCATTACCTTTACACAGTCAAAATTGTTCCCGTAACCATCTAATCTTACACTGGTGTATGATGGGCTCTGCATTAATTTATGAAGTGTATAATTGATGTGTCTGTATCTTTAGGTCCATCTCCGGTAGACAACAGTGAAGATCTATTTACCTCTGATGAGGACGAACTGTCTGAACAGCAGATCTTGGCCATGTTGGACACAGTGGAGAGTAAGTGATACATATATTATGAGAAAGTTTTCATATAAATTTCTGAAATGAAAAAGTCTTGAAATTGTGGCATAAATCTCTCAAGGAAATATAGATATATTTTAAATGTAAAATCCTCTTTGTATAAATTTGAAAAAATTCAAACCCAGGACTGGGTTTCATTTTGGTGCATATAAATACACTTGTAGTGTAATAAACTAGGGTGTCTTTGGTGTATATGATTATCATATGTTGCTGATAAATACAAATAAATAAATTTCAGTCTGACTTGGCTGTATTTTTGTAGGTTTTGAAACAAGTAGTTGATCTTGAAAAATCGCTAGGGGAATAAATTCAATATATGCTGTATATCATGCTGCTAAAACTGAAAAAATAACCTGTTCAAAGTTGATAACTACTTCAGGTCAGGATATCCTTCATAACCTTACTGATGATTCAGATACCACTTTAGCTGTTGGTTAATGGTTTTAGCACAAGAGTTTAATAAATGCATTAAATCTATGAATGATGTTGTTGAGGTTGCTTCTCATCAATGCATATCAATTTTGTACCAAAATCTTGCAAAATATAAATTATAATCACTTTCCTATTTCCAGTGGAAGCTTCACAGATGCCTCCAGTACCACAAAGTCAGCAGTGTCAAAAGACAAGTCCAAGTGCTTTCACTAGCAAATGCTCTATAAATGAAATTGAGCAGAAAAAGGATGCAGCAAAAGCCAAACTACAAAAGAAAAATGTCACAGCTGTGTCTCCAGAAAGTATGTTAGTGAATGAAAATTCCATCAAATTAAGTCCAACAAAATATATGCAAGAAGAAATTGAAAGGAAAAAACAAGCTGCCCTAGAAAAAAGACGAATTAAAAGTAAGGAAACTTTATCTGAAAGTTCAAGCGTGACCAAGAAATATAAACAAGATTGTGTGATCAGAAAACCACAGAATATTGTCGCAGAAAGTGCCAGTGCAGTACAGGTTAACTCTACTGGAAGCCCTGTAAAGTATCAGCAGGATGATATAGAAAGAAAGCGCCAGGCCGCTGTGGAAAGACTTAAACTTAGGGAAGAAAAGAATAAATGCGTAACTGGTGGTGTTTCAAGTGATAGAAATAGTGTTAGTCCTGGAAAATGTACACCAGATGAAATAGAGCGAAAAAAACTGGCAGCATTGGAAAGAAAAAAACATTTGTCAGGGGAGGTAACCAAGCCCCGTCATCAGTCAGATTCTAGTCCAGGCTTCTCCAGCAGTCAAAGTGCAGAGAGTAGTCCCTTTAAATGCACACCAGAGGAAATTGAGAAAAAGAAATTAGCTGCTTTAGCAAAATTAAAGATAAAGAAAAACTTATGTAGCCAGTTGTCTGGTAAAGGGAATTAGTCAAGGAGACATACATACAAATACAATAGCAACCCGAAGATAAATATATATTATATACCAGGTAGTATTGGGGTATACCATGTACACAGTCAGTAAAATTGTATGACTTTGAATGTTTGTTAAAAGAAGGAAAAAATTTACAAGTTAAGGCTTCAAACTGAATTTATAAATATAAACAGGTGAAAATGGTAATAATCTCACTTCAAAAATAAAGGTGAAGAACTCCTTTCTTACTTTTTTGTGTGAGATGACTAGTGATTTAAGAAAATCTTGTATTCCAATTATGATACATGGAAAGTCTGTCTATTGTTTTGTCTTGATATTTATCTATAGGGACATATAATAACATTTTATAATGTGGTCATTACTGTACTATAGATTTTCTGGATCAGTCTTTTTAAGACTATGAGGATCAAAGTTGTTTAAGATTTGAAATGTTTATAAATTTACTCAAAATGGAAATAATATTTAAGAAGTATTTCAATCTAAATTACTTTCCTCACTAACATTTGTTAAAGAAATGTATACTGTACATTTCAGAATTGGATAAATCTGTTGAAGTTCTAAACAAAATTCTTTGAGATGATTAATTGACAGATCAGGATGCATATTAGATGTATATTGTAGATCATATATTGACATTCCAAATGTCAACAAGATTGGAGTTCACCAATAGTCTTCTGTGTACCAAGTACTTGAGAAGAAATAAGTGTTATATTGTGTACTTCCTGGCATCAAACAATTGATCATTGTTCAGAAAATTTACTGCAGGCAGTATTATTTACATACCTTAATAGCTTAGATTTATGCACGGTTTTAAGTTGTGAAAGTCAGTACTTATTATTTATTATTTTCGAAACCAGAGTGTTAAGTTGACAAGTCAACCTTGAGTGTAACCAATTATTTTTTTCCAGCTGTATTTTTCCTGTCATTTATTTTTTAATCGGTAAATCAATTTACTTGATATTGACTTTCTTGTTGATGGTTTTCTAACTTGTTTTTGTCTGAGTAAGTAATTATTAAAGATCCTGGAGCAAAACTGATGCTTTTCAGAAATGTTTTTTTTAAATAATTGGAACAGTTTCTTGACTGAAATACATGACAGTGACGGCATGTTTTGTTGAATCTATCATAGAGAAAAATGATAATTTCCTGGCAATGAATTAATAAAAAAGAATGAGAAAGTATTTGTTTTATTTTATTTTCATTCATTAGGAAATTCAAAGCAAGCACTTCTTAGTAATGTTAATGTACATCTTTTGGTGGAAATCATACTTTAATTGCCTTTTGTGATTGTGTTTCTGTATATTGTTTCTATGATATTCGCTACCAATTTCAGTGTACAAATCTGTTCAAATCAGAAAGGCATTAAAAATTTGATTGTACTAAAATATCTGCATTTCCAATATCAACAGGCCAAATTTGAAACTTTGAAGTGGTAATTAAGACAATTTAGATTGTCTGTTTGAGAGGGCTTACAGTGAGGTTTACTACTTTTTATATATAAAAATACCCAGGTCAATATAATTTTTTCCTCCATAAGATTACTGTATCTTCAGCAAAATACCAGAATGCAACATTAGTTCTGTGTAGCAGTAAAAATGCCTAATTCATTGTGAAAAGGATGTTTAATTTCATATTAAGTTTAGTGGTGTTTAGTACAATTCTACACAGCAAAATAAAATTACATTACCTACTGTGAACAAAAGCCATTTTACAATTGTTCCAGAATTACATAAACATGTACAAACTTGGTAAATGGTAAATGGAGAGGTAAGGGTCCAAAAGAAGACAATGAAAAATACATGTACCAACTCTCTAGTGTCTTTATCTCTTTATTTATTAATACTTGAACATGTTTTAACTATACATGAACGAGTGAAATGATGGGAAGGACCTACTATCACATATTCTGATTTAAAACAATGTTTTGTTATACTAGCAGCTACTTTTTGTGGTCATGAACAAACAATACGGGCCATTGATGTGTATTTGGTACTCGGATAATGGGAAGAACACATTTAAAACATTTTAACTAATTTTATGGAAAATTGGCAAAGTATTGATAAATCTCTGTCAAAACTCAAATTAGGTTGCTTTCCTGTTAGCAGTTGAACAGTTGGACATGCGAAACCTGCAATTATAATGTTATGTACAGATCAGGACTGAAGCTGGAGTACGGAATATTTCTGCAGTTAGAAGGGCCCAGCCATACATGTCTGAACCTAACTTGCTTAATATCATTAATTTTCAGAATTTTAGCATAAAGCAGGGTTGGTGAATGCAAATATATAAGGAAATATCATGCTATTATCTTATATTTGGCAGAAAATTCTGAAACAGTGCATTATGAGCTTTACATATATCAGTTCCAACATCCTGCACAGGAGCGTTCCTTTATCATGGAATTTTTACATGCTGTCTGAACTGCTTTAACAGAGTTATGAAAAAAAGATCTTAATAAAAATAACAATATATCTATTAAATAACCCATTGTATCTGCTATTGTATGATAATTATAAACTGAAATCAAATCAAATTTGTTTACATAAATATTGTAATAAAATATATTGTAGGGGATTGGTGTAATAGGGGTAATGGAATCCATTAATATGCATGACTCTCTTCATAATTTTCACAATTTGTACTCTGTTGGGATTAGAATTAAACAGATATGTCAATGTCACTTACATAGTATATCTCTGAGGGAGAATTGGTCTCAGTATCAACAAAGCTTCAAACAATGTTTTAGTCTAGATATTGCATAAACCTGACACAATCAAATTTGTCATGCTGGTAGGAGATCTACTTTCTGACCCTGATAAAGTGTAATAAACAAACTAGAAAATGTCTGTAAGACATGAATGCCCCCCCCCCCCCCCCCCCCCCCCCCCCCCCCATGTGAAATAATAGTGAAAGGTCCGAAAGAGATGATTTTAATTTGTATGCAAATATGTACAACTTAAGTTTCATACTTAAATTGACAAGTTGATTTAACTAAATGAATTTGGAATTTTGTTCTCTGGAAAAAATGAGGGAGTATATTAGTTCCTTATGCCTTAAAACCCACAAGTACCAAATTATGTAGAAATAAGATGATGTTCCTCTTTTTAGAGTTATCTCCCCCTGGTGGCCATCTTTATTTAGAATGCCGAGAAATTCAACACTGCATGAGGGCTTTCCATACTTGATATTTGTATGAAGTTTCATGAAAATTGTCTTCCGAATGAAGTTGTTAGGTGGTATATACTGATTTAGGACGGGACGCGACGGGATGGGACGGACGGACATGGGCAACGCTATATGCCCCTGGCCATAAATGGCGGGGGCATGAAAATAACATTTTTCAAAATTCTATACCAGCAATCAGATTCTGTTCTTAAATTTTAAGTTTTTAAATAGCCCATGACTTTATAACAATTTAACATAACTATGTAGTGAGTAAAACCTATCTTGTAAACAATTTTGGTCTCGATATTTTAACAATTGTAAAAAAACTATTAATTGTAAAAGTTTAATCACAGACGTAGCAATATATACATCAAGTTCTTCTTTTCAATTGTACAACTGGTGACAATTTGATGCTAAACAGAACACTGTTGTAACTTGTACATGATGAAAGTCAATACAGTCTTCCTTGTTAACTCCACAGTCAAAATATCCAACTGCAAACTGTTCATGTATATATTCATATATTCTTGAAGATTTCCACTTGGCCAATCTTTGCTCACCACTAGAACTAATCACAATTTAGCTGTTGTCTAGAAATATTTAACATTTTGTTTAGTCTTTCTCTGGCTCTGCAACATAAAAAATGAGGTGTTTTCTACGTGTAATAAGATGACATCGCCAAGATTTACATACCTTATTACAACTCTTAGAGAAAAGAACTTCCTGATAAACAGTATACTGTTAAAACTACTGATCCCATGAATACTGAAATATATATTAGTATGAAAAATACCAAAATATTACTGCAGTATACAGATTTACCATGTTTGTGTATATAAAGAAATGTCAGTGTATACAGAGCACAAAGATTCTACATATATATTTACTAATATGAGGCTTTTGTCAAATTGTATACATTGAAATATTTCCAGTGTTTTTACCATGAAAAACCAATGCAAAAATTTAATAATGTAAATTCTCAAAAATAATTTATGGGTTTTGCACTAAGAAAAGTATCTTTAAATTAAGGAAGTTTTGACTATAGGCTGTTTTATACAGTAATAATTTCTTGAAGATTCTTGAAAATATGCTTCACTTCATGTGCAATTAAAAATCTTTTGAATGTAATACAGTCTTGTGAGTAAGCCATCAAATCCGCACAGAAATGCATTTAAAAGCCATCACTTATCTTCAAGGTTTTGGGACCTGAATATCCTAGCTGTGACATTAAAAAACGTACCCGCCTGAGACCAATAGATTGCTTATTGAAAGACTCCTTTCTTTTTTGTCTCCTTTGTCGATCTCTCTCTTTTTTTTGTTTCTTGTAGACTAGAGATTCTTCGTAACATACAGGTTTTGCATGTCTGCACTTTCTTTTTGTAATCAGCTTATCTGGACTGTTCTGAAATGAGAGATAAAATGAAAAGCTATGTTTATGTGTCTAAATAATAAAGGACAGTACAGACATATATATTGTAAAATTTTCGAGGCAGTTGAATGTTGAAGGCCCTTTAAAAGCAGTGAAAAACCATCTTCAGTGACAGCCATACTGCCAAAGGGATTATCTGATCTGCTTGGTCCAAATCTCTGTGTGAAACAAGTTTAGACCTGTTTATTAGATTGTAGTATGTAACCCTGTTTTTTTTTACTCTATCTACTCGGTCAATAGGCTTCTTTATATATAAAAATGATACTTTAACTAACTTTCTGTTCTTGTGGAACTTGTGCTATTGAGTTTATGTTGCTTGAATAGTCTTCTGCGATATCCAAAAGATAATCAGCCACATTAAGGTCGCTCAGCGTCACATCTGTATATCTGTGTAGCTCTTTATCCATTGACTCTACAGGTTTGGTATCATCATCTGAAACAACATAAACACATTTGTAATTAATTAATGTTGATGATCTTGATTGATTTGATGTCTAATTGACTTTCATTTTTCTTTACTTTATATAGAATTGCAAGCAATCTCAGTAGTAGGTAAAATCATAAGGGTACTAAAAAATTCCTATTGTGTTTGATATTATCCTTTCCAAATAAAAAAGATGTGACAAGTATACCACATAAACAATGTCAGAGTAGTAATTCGTGAATGTCTTCAATGCTTCTCAAATGAAGAATTCAAAATGGCTGCTGGTAGCCATCTTAAAAATCAAATAAAACTCAAAATGTGAGGTGTACAATTATGACCTACACTTAATATATTCATGACATTTTAAGGAGATGGCTAAAGTAGTTCTTCAGGTAGTAATAAACTTAAATTTTTGCATGACAGATGGGAAGGCTAACAGATGGCTGAAACATGTTGAATCATGCTTTAAAAAATCTGTCTAATGATAGCAGACTGGAAATAGGTCGATGAAATCCCAAAACCTGTCGAATGAAAATGTCATAGTCACAAACCCAGCTATCTTAACTTTACATGTCTTGCAGAAATTGGTAAAAAACTGGAAAGGAGTCTTTTGTTTAGATTTAAAATTTTAAAGGCTGATAGCCATTCCAAAAATTGTCAAATCATGATACCTTAGAGGAAAACACAACATTGGTAGTAAAAAAAAATCAAAGAGATTAAAGTTAATTGAAAACTGAAGCAGGAGATCTCTGGACAAATTATGGAAATGAAAAAGGCAATAACTATTCCTAATGTAGCTGAATCAATCCGCTGTTCAGAAAATTACATGTAATTGTTATGGATTTTCGGTCTTACCAAATTCAAAGAAATTAATTGAAGACTTGAAACAGGAGATCTCTGTATTAAAAAAATTACCATGCACTTCCAGTATACATGTAGTATGTAAATTTCAAAACTTTAGACAGATGTACAAAAATCTTACCAATTATCTGAAGAATATCAAGAGGAAAGATATCTTGACTTTCAGTTTTTGACTCAAATACATTTAATGGATCATTTAACAGGGGTGTGAGAGGTATATCCATGTTCTGCATAGATGGCCTGAAAAAATAGAGATCATTGTTGCTTGTTAGTCATATACACCTTATCACACCTATTAAACTTGAGGTAAAATATTCATAGAAAAAATTATGAACATGTATGAATTGTAACAGATTTTCAATTCAATGTCTACACATGTTTTTGTTGTAGTTTTTGGAAAAAAATCAAAATCTTTTCAATTTCCTTGGTGAACTGTATTCTAAACTTGTATGAAGTTTCTGAAGTCATTGATGATAACATAAATCCCGATTCTAGTGCATCATCTTGAAATTCAGTTTAGCTCAAATTTGTCATATACTTTCCCCAAAAAGCATCAAAGTAACTTTATTAAAGTTATTTGGTTGATTTCTATATTAAGTAAATTTGACCTACATCTGGAATGCATGCCCTCAAAGTTCAACTTGAAGTTGGAATTTGATACAATGGAAATCCAAGGACTGTTTCACAGAAGTCCACTAAGGACTTAAATTGTGCTGAGGAAGATGCAAACATTGTAAAAGCTGAATAAAAATTCTGATGCATCATGATTGTAAAAAGCCTTAGCTATACATGTTGGTTGGGAAAAACAATATTTCCTGTCACATTAAACAAGTGATCTGTTTTGAAATATACTTTACCTAGTATTACCTACCAATTTACATTTCTATTCACGAAGCTTGGTGTCTGATTTGGCATTTGCTTTGATAGGTTGATGCCGATTTTTGGAGTTGAAGGTTGACTGTAGCTCATGTTAATCAACTTGATATTCTTTAATCTGGGTGTTTGTAGTAATGATCGAGTGTATTTTCTGAAACCGGGACCGTCTGTTCCTGATGTGTTCAATGCACATATAAAAGGTTCAAAATGCCTTACTGGGGATTGATGCTTTTGAACAGGTGATGATCCAGTTGGTGAAGCTGGCTTTTTGAAAGTTTGGCAAAGAGGTGTTCTTGGCACAAATGTAGCTATTTTCTGGGAAGTTTGCTTTGTTTGGAAATCTAGTTGTCTCATTATTTGTGCACGTTTCCTTTTCATCTCCTGTTCATATATTTCCTGAATAGATATAAAGTTCTTTGTTTGGTGTACAGTACAATCACAACTTTGAATTATTTGTCAAAAGGTAAAAATTATAAAATAACAATAAATTGGAAAGGCACCATCATTTTGTTTATACACAGTTCAAAATGAACATTTTATTTATTACCATTGAAGTATCTGATGGTTATCCAAAATTGTATTGATATAAGTAGATCTATGACACAACTTATTTCTTTTGTCTAAAAAAGAAAACATTGTCATTGCATGCGTCATTTCTTAAAATACTTAAACTCATAGATAATTGATTGTAAAATAAGTAATCTATGTAGGGAACAATATGTACCCTTCTCAACCCCACCTGAACTGCCATTTGTCATTCATGCAGTTTGTATCCTATCGTCCTCATCCTACTATCCTACAGTTATATCCAAAACTTGGGAAGACCAAATTGTCAACTGCAATTGACTTCTCATTGAAATATTTCTACTATTGTTATTACCTGGAAAGCATTATCGATATCCTTCCCTGTGAATGTTTCCAATTCGTTATTAGAAAGAGTATTTAAGTAATACTTAGGTGGATGAGTCTTCATCGTCAACAAATGACAACTTGCCAACTTGGTGCGTCGTCTGCAAACGCAGAATGCACTTCCGGTTACAAAAGAAACGATTGCGCGAATATTTAAATACTTTTAGAAAAAGTGGCGTGGATTCCATATTTAAAGCAATGAATTATCTAAATAATCCTTAACTAAAACATTTTAAAATGTGCATGCTCGCTTAGATCAGTAAAGATATTTGTTTTCTTCTGCAGACGAATGTCAATCTTTGTACATTTTAACAAGTGCGTAATCTCCGGCGTTGGTTTTATTGTTACTGGCCTTAGTGTGACTTCCGTTTCCAGCAAACTGAGGTACTTTTGCTTTTGGTTTCGATGTTGTTGTCTCTGTTTTCGGGCTATCGGTCGTGTTAGGTGTCGTAATCTTGCAATGACAAAGATTTTTTCTTAAATCTTTCTGACTTCTTAGAAAGCTTCACCAATTGTGACTGCCTTTTGTAGCAAATTCCGTTGCGTGTTACTTACCGTAGACAGTGTCACTCTGTCAGTTTTGTTCATCTTTAAGATGGTTTTATTTCTTGATATCAACAAAAGTGAGAAATCTATAATGGAAATACATATGTATGTGTGTTGAGAAATACCATTAGAGATTGATTTTTAAAGAGTACCTATTACGAAGTGTTGTACATTTGAAGTCTATATATCTTCTTCCTGTATTGAGTCGATCTCTTTTATATAGAGATAAATTATATAGACGAACCTTTTTGGTTGTTTCATAACATTTGCTCCAAATAAAGATGGCGGAAATCGTTTGGTATACCTTGGTTTAAACAACATAAGCTATGGTAAAAATGATTATGCTCGCCAGATTTTTATAATGGTATTCGTAAATATATAATACGATTTAGGCTGATAATGGTATTATAATGAAGCGGCTAATTAATGAGTGAATATAGAGCATTTTGTAAGCTAAATACAAATTTATGACAGATCCTATCTGATGTAAGTCGATGAATCCATACACAGTCTTGTTGTGATGATTATGATCAACTACATGATAATCACATCATTTAGATAAATACACTTCTATAAATATTTTATATATATGTATAAAAGTTTCCTTTGTACTGTCGCGGAATTTTTGGAATATTAATATTCCAAACATCATGCCCTATCTATCTCTGTTGGAAAATCAAAGTTAGTGTGGATGTGTTTGTAAATAAATCATAAAAATGAGGCAATTGAAAAAAAAGAAAAAAAAACAAGAATAAGATTATTGGATGTCACAGATTCATTTGGCTTACAAAGGTTATCCCAACTTTGAGAAGTGTCCAACTTACACATAAATCTTTTAATCTTGGCAAATCTAGATCAAAGAGAACTTCTGTTAAATTGCATGATTATAAGATACATCTCTTTCATTTTATCTTATAACAATTTGATATTTTGTTAGCACGATTTCTATGAATATCTCAGATAGGTTTGAAAACCTATGGGTAATTTGAAATTTGAAATACTTGCATATTCCCCCCATCCCCCTCCCCCAACCCCCCAACCACCCCCCCCCAAAAAAAAAAAAAATAATTGCACCAGATAATAAAAGTTTTTACAAATATTTCACCACAGAAGAGAAATATAAGAAGTTATAAATGAAAGCTCAAAAACAGAAGAATGCCAAACAACAGAAAAGGAATACTAGCAGTACCAATGTACAGAATGGAAAGGATGACAAACATTCAGAGAACAGGTATTTCTTAGCAGCAATGCATGAATATACATCACAAGTTCTATTCATGAGATTGTCAAAGTTGTATGACTTGCTTAATATTTATGTAGTTACAGAATCATGACATCTTTTATCAGTTTTCAAAGATTATTCTCCTAGAAATGACCTAAGGTTCATGGCTATATATTTCGCATATATATAAATTTTTTGTTGTCGTTTAGTATAGAGTGATTGAATTGTCAAGCGAGGATAGGAAAGAATGATCTATCCAAAATTACAACATATTCCTGGACAAAAATTATGTTTCAGGAGTGACTTGAGAAAGGCATACGACTTGGAACTTAGTCTGATCCTTGGACTAGTGACATTTAGTGTTTATTATACAACCCTGTATCCATCCCTGCCTGGAGGAGACTCGGGTAGGTTTCTGCTGTAAACATGACTATTTTTGTGGGAAGTTAATTTAGAGATTTCAATTGGCAAATTGTATGCACTAAGATTTTTTTTTGCTGTCAACGTACCTTCCCACCAGGTTTAATGTATATTTCAATATGTATGCAATATGTCAAAAATTATACATCACAAAATCATACACATGGGTGAAAGTTATGCAGCCAAGTGACTTTCATGTATCTCCCACACGTAATCCCTCGCACACAGTGATGCTATCACCATATAATTCTCAACAAAGGTTTAATTAAGGGAAAGAAATTATTCAAAGCAAAATGCATTGGAAAGATTTTGAAGATATAATGATACAAATTACCTTTTTTCTAGAAATTATTAACTGAATATTTTTTCAAAAGGAAAATAATCTATATTCATTGTGGTTGTGTATGGATGTGAATTCATCCTCTATAAAATGTTTTTAAATTGGTATATATAGATTTTATTTATTTAAGTATAATGTATTGTCTAAACTGAAATTATCTCTCTAAATCATATTTACATTCAAATCTTATTCAATTATTTTTCATAATTAAAATTTTGAAAATATTTGTCTGAACATTGCAACAAGCTTGTTTTATTTCTACAGGAGAACTTATTGCTGCTGCACAAGAACTTGGGGTAGGTACTTGACGGGCAGTTTATTAAATTTATGTATGTTTATTTTTTATTTGATTGGGGTTTTTTTTGTTTATTTATAGGAAATTGACAGAATTACTTCAACTGTGTGTAGTTTTTTTCAAATGCTTGTCTATTAGAGTGACAGGTCTGTATGATTGAATATTTAGAATTTTTTCAGTAACTAGGAATTACAATCAAAGAAATGTTACGATATACAGTAGAAGTGACTGTAGTTCTATATTTCTGTATTATTGTTTTGTGTTTTTATTTTTTCACTTACACTCATGCCAGTGAAAACAGTTATTTGGTTGCTCATTATAGTAGTTCGAAATGGGTATAAATCAACAATTTAACTAGCAGTCTTTATAGTTTTCTTATACATGTCATCGATTTGAAATTTTGTAAATTTATGTGATTCATGAAAGTTTAAGCTGTAACAAGTAATGAATATTTATTTGTCATCTTGGTAAAAAATGTAGCCATTTTATCAACTTAACAAGGAATAATTTCTCTGAAGGCTAGTAAAGCAAATTTCCTGAGTGTAATCAGTGGTCAGACCTTTAGAAAATAACAAAGCAAGCAAACAGGAAAAAATCATACTTATAGCAATACAAGCGCTTGTAGTTGTAACTCTGATTATAAGGGGGACATTGATGGCATCTCAGTTAAGAATGTCAGGATCTTTGATCATAATTGCTGATATTTTAAGTCTTCTGGGTGTAAAGTAGACCCTTGATAATCTAGATGCTGATGGCCTGCAGAACTCACAAATGGTAAAACAGTGTCACAAATGGAAATGTTGGGAAGCAAATTTCCCTAATGTAAATTGTCCCATTCTAACTCCACAAATAAGTTTTGGGAACAAAATTGGCTTTTCATATTAATATTCCTGCAATAGTGTCTTCTTTTCCCCCCTTCTCCTATGGCACAGATGAGCATCATGCTGCTAGACATATTTTATATATTGTTTTAACCATCTGGCTGCCCTCTCTTTACCCTGCTGGCCAGTAGTATATAACATATTTTGGTATACATCTTGTACAGGTTGCCCATCCTCCTGGCTACCCTCTCTTTACCTTGCTTGCCTGGATGGCAATACATCTGGTACCTGGCAGCAGTGTGGCATGGCGCGTTAATCTACAGACCTCCATGTTTGGAGGGGTAGCCATTGTGTTTCTAGCACTCACCATTCTAAGGTACAATTATTTTCAGGTTTGGAATCATCAATTATTATATGAAACAGGGAAAATTTCCTGCTTTTTTAACAGAATATGGGTATTTGATGCAAATTTTGAATTTTTTCCATAGTAATTATCAAACAATAAGCCAATATCATTACCAATTATATTATATAAATTTTACTCTGTCAAAAAATAATTAAAGACAGGGCCTTTGATTTCATACAATGATCCATACTGTACAATAAATGGCTAATGAATAAAGGGTATTTTGAGGAGGATGGTTGAAATACTGTCATGAGGTTGAAATACTAAAATGATAAAATCATGCTTGGAGGTTGACCAGTCGCCCATCAGCAGCTGTGTTAGCAGTGGGAATGTGGGGATGGTGCAAGCTGACATGGGCATGGTCCATCACAGCCGAAGTCTTCGCCCTAAACAACATGTTTGTGGCCCTGCTCATGTTCATCGCTCTGCAGTTTGAGGATGCTGATAACGAAAAGAAGATCAAGGTAGTGTGTTGTTTCTGTATTGTAAAATGTTGTCAGTATATTTTGTTTAAAATTGAGATTAGAAATCTTCATCCAGAATTGAGAAGACATATGAAAGTAGGAAAAGGCAATACTGTCAGAATGCAGTATGTTAAGAGGTGGGAGTCGATAGGATATCAGACTACAAAAAGATTTGATTAGATGTGATATCAAACTACTAACAGTCCTGACTAGACAGGTTCTAGGATTACTGAGATGTCAGATAAGACAGGAGTCACTGTAATCTTTTGTACTTAATTTCAGATGTCGTTTTTGGGATCTTTTGTATGCGCACTTTCCCTGTGTAACCAGCATACCATGGTCGTCTATGTGTTTTGTATGGCAGTGTGGGTCCTTTACATTCTTTACAAAAAACAGGTAAAATACTTTGTTTTATTGTCATTGTCATCCAAGATGATGCATACTAATCATGGAGATTTTTCTCTTCACACTTACTGATATACACCTGGTATGTAGACATTCGGGTTAGATATTGGATGTTTCAGTCATCACATAGATTACATGGAATTATGTTCAGAGCCACTGCAAAGTCTCAATTGTGACCAGAATTTACACTTACAAATGCAGAATTTGTATTCAGAGCCTCAGCAAAGTCTCAGTTCTGACCAGAATTTTGCCTGCTGTCAGGATGATTGCCACCATGTTTATATACAACTTTTTAACAGGAACACCTTCAGGAGGCTATCTTTGATAATTTTTCAGATTTTGACGTTTACTGTCTTGTTGAGGATTGGCCTGTCCTTCCTGGCAGGACTTCTGCCATATATATATCTGCCTCTGTCCAGCTGGTCTTTACAGTCAAATTGGACATGGGGTGACCAGAGGTCTGTGGCTGGACTGCTTACACACCTTCTGAGGAGGGAATATGGCACATTTGATCTGGTAAGCAGACTGAAGTATCGTGACATGTAACTTTGTTATGACATCCAATTTAGTATTTGATAGTAAAGTGATGCTTATATCGGACATGATATTAACAGTAGTCAACACTGTAAACAACATTTGAGTGTGGAAGCAAGATAAAACATTGTGGAAGGTTGATATATAAAGTCTGGATTTCTTTATTGAGTTCATCTAGGTAAATAGATGAAAAGGAGAACTTTTAACACTTGACAGATGATTAAGAATGGGGCTTTAAGAACAATTTTAACAAGCAAAAATCAAATTTAGCTATTTTTTCTTTAAAATGCTCATGTAAAATGTTTTTTTTATTGACCACACTGTTCAAACTTTTTGGATTCAGAACCAGCACTATATCTGTGTTTACAGGGTAAAGAAGAGATGGGACAAGGGTTGCTTTTTGGTCTAAGGTAAGACGATGACAGGAAAAATTTGTTTACATTGTTGTGTTTCTAAGGATGAACAGACATTACGTATTTAAAAGAAAAGTCAAAGATGTAAACCACAAATTATATGTAACATGTGACATGCCTCTTGCATGTTGTTTTGTGAGGATGTCTGCAACTACTGCAAGGAGATTCTGCCTCAAAATAGGTCTGACTGTTGATAGGGCACTAACCCCAGCAAATGTATATCTCATTACCTGAAGATTGTGTTTTGACCAAATGTGTTTATTCTCGACCAGAACTGACCACATACATTTATTTTTTTACCAGGGCATACCTTGACCACATTCTGAGTGACCTGACAATAGTTATATGTGTCCTTTTCCTCCTGGGACTAGTCACCATTACTTATAGGTAATCATAGTATTCAACAGCCAGTCAAAACAATTGATACTTCCTCTGTTCATAAACTGTGCTTGAAAGTTCTCACAGTTAACATGTCACAGTGGTCTATTGTGGACTATTGCAAGGGATTTATTCTATTATGTAATTCAGAATTTTTCACCAGAGAATTATAATTACATATAATATACATGTTAAAGATGTAAATTGATTTTTTTTTCATTTAATAAGAAAAATAATGGCTTTCATCAAAATATATTTAGAAACAATTACCAGATATACTGATGTGATTCCACTTAATGAGTCTTGTAGTACACGATTCTGTCACTTCAGGCACCTAAAAACCAGAGACAGAGCTCTGACTGTATTCTTCATCATGATGACCATATACATGTTGTTTTTCTCCTGGAGAGCAAACCTTGATCTAAAAAACCCTTTATACTTAGGGGTGGTAAGTCTGTAAAATATATACCAATACTTATGATATGATTACCAGGGAGTTGTAAGTCCAAAAAGTATACATTTAGAGGTTATTATGTGACTATTTTGATATCACACCCCTTATAAGCTCAAGAGTCCTGATGAGTCAGGATACAAGGGCTGATTAGGGGTGTGATATCAAAATGGTCATATAGTAGTCACATTTTTTTTTCTTTCAACTCACCCAACTGGACAATTTTTGTCGCAAGTTCTTCTAAAATTGCCTCGCCATTATTAGTCCTCGTTGGCCATGCCTAGCTCTTTAGCTCTGCAGACAACACTAAAGAGAAAACCAATCCAGAAACGGCATCATCCAGAAAAATTGAGTGGGATTCTAAATTATTTTTCATTAGAAAAACAAAATGCTTTTCTTTCAGGCCAACAATATTTATGTTCAAATCAGAAGCTGCAAAATATACAAATTTTAGAGGGGGTATGAAATCATTTTCTAGGGGGTGTGATATCATGTTCAAGGGAGCTTGATATCACTTCACGTGGTGTGATATCACTTCACGTGGTGTGATATCACTTCACGTGGTGTGATTTCACCTGGGCTGATATCAACTTGTGGAAACTTCAGACTTATCACACATACAAAAACGCTGTTATCAGTAGGAAACATGATAACAATAATATCTATATCCAGGGGTTGTATGTCCTGAATGTATATATTGATACTGATGATATCTAGTCATTTTATAAATATGTACTTCTAAGTTTTGTGAGGTGAATTTGGCCTCATCCAATGGTGAATTAATGCATTACATATTAGATAAATATCTACATCTTTCTTGGATATAAACGATATAAACAGTTGTAATTAACAGAGCCTGGCTATGGTGTATTTGACTTAATGTTCACCTCAATCACTTGATTCATATTTCTCTCTTTCTAATTGACCATCATGTTATCAGTAAATTTTCTGCTTTTAAAATATTCAATAAACATAGTTGCACATAGAATTATTATTTAGAAATCCATAGCTCACTGGTCATATTTCGTATGTCATAGCTTTGAAAACTAGGAATAACTTTTTAAAAACAGTTCTATATTTTCATCACAGGTGGAAAGATTCTGGATGCAGAGTGATCTGATTGTCATAACTATTGCAGCAGTAGCATACAGTGATGTCATTAAGTATGTTATATCTATGCAATAATAGATTATTGTTTCTTTACCTCCTATTAACAAACTGGCAGTATACATACAGTACTTACTCATATTAAAATAAAAATATGAACTTTTTTTTTTAAAATTGTTTAACAACAAAAATATAATTATAGACATATTCACCTTTCCTAGTGAAGCGCATTGAAAAGTATATATGGTTTATTTTTTTGCTTCAGCTACTTTTTCTGGTTTACAAAGATGAACAAAGCCTTCTTTGAGAACACAAGACCAGACTTACTTGTAGCTCTTCTGTTGTCTGTTTTCCAGTTGGTAAGTCAAACTGCTTAGGATATTGTCCTTGTGGATTGTTTTGGTGTATTTTTTATAAATATGTAGAGCAACATAATTAAAATATCACAGAAGAACATATACTTCAACCTTCCAATCTAGATACCTTCTATCCAGAGCTTAAAGAAAAAATAGAAATATTAATTTACTAAATTAAGGATGTTTGATTTTTCTGCGAAAATAAAATATTATTTATTGTATATTCTATACTGTTTTTACATATAGCAAACCACAAATAAACTAATTTTATGAAAGCATGTTTGATATCAGGCAACAAATCTAAAGATGTGAAATACTTATTGTCAATCACTACAACATAGTGTCATTTTCCAGTTAGTGGAAACTAGGACCGATTTCAGTGTTTTGATTCATGAATATGAGTTCTGATTCTGATCAATGTTGACTTATCTCCTGTGTACAGTACTTCACTTATTGTCAATATGCTTAATATCATATTCTGCTTAATGTAATGTTGTCTTTTAACAATAAATCACAGTGCTTAATCTCAGCTCATATAAAATTTATGCAATGATGATAAGTTTGAAGTTCATGATGCATTTATTAATACTTTTTATGGATAACGAAACTGTTTATATATCATCACTATAGCAACGTCATTATCATGTGAGTGACCAAAGTGGGAACTGGGTCATTCATGAGTTTGGAGAAGATATCCTGACGAACATGCCTCCAAATGCCATTATACTTACCAAGGGGGACTTGCCTTCAAATACTTTCAGGTAGATCATGTGTTGATGGACCACTTAATATTCCGACAAAGCATTGATGTAGGCTAAACATGTGTCATGATGATTTAGAATGGTTGTCGGGGTGATGTAGTAAGTGATCACACATCATATATAGAGAAAATGTTTCAGCAATATAAGTAATGACAAAATTAAGCAATAAAATAAAACTGATTTATATGTACCTGCACTATAGCAGATGAAAAATTCAGGCTCTTGTAATGTAATCCAGTGATATACCAGTGGAGGTGATCTGATGTGTATCATTTCATCTAAGATTATGATCAGAATATATATAGAAGCACATATGCTGGTGTGCAGAATAGATTGAAGTGTGAAACTAAGCTCTTTTTTTGGGTATGTATGATGTCTCATCTTTAACCTTTAATATAATTGTTTCTTTTCTTTTTCCTTTCCAGATATTTACGTTTGTGTGAAAACATAAGGCATGACATTCAAATATTTGATCAGGAGGTAATATGTTTTTATAATTTGGAAGTTAATTTTAATTCAAATATAAAAAATTTGATAAAAAAAATGTGATCTTCCCCCATAGATAATATGACAATCTAGTTCACAGTAACTCATTGCTAAGATTATCTCCTTAACTCATTACTTCCTGCTTTAGACAAAAGTTTCAGTATATGAGAGTTTATATTCCTTGACTTATCCTTTACAGATCTTGACTTACGAATGGTCAGTTCCCATGCTAGGATGGACAATGCCTGGGATCACATTTCCTGGGGACATGTTTCATTTGACCAACAGCAGGAGAAAGGATGGCAGAATTTCTTTTACATTCCAGAGATTTCTTGATGTCAATTACAATCAGTAGGTATCAGAGTCAATGTACTTATGTAAGTTATATCAAAATGTTCCCCATTCAGTGCTTATTTTCAGTTCATTCAATACTAATGTAAATCACTTAGATTTCTTGAATTTACCTCTTCAGACATTACTGTATACCGTGAAATGTTTATCCTCATTAATTATTCACCTTTTTGTCTGTGGAGTGGGACAGTGAATTTAAGATTGAAGCGAAAATTTGTTACATTTATAAAACACCTTTATATAAGCCTCAATGGGCAAAATGAGCATCAAAGGAATTCATGTATAATAAGACTGGAGTGAAAATAACTTGGAGGGAGAATTTACCATTATGCAGTATCTCTTCAGTCATATTCCCAAATTCATGATTTGACAAATGCTGTGTATGTTAATATGTTTCTACTCATTTCTGATGAAGTTTTTGTATTTCTCCCCTCTGTAGAGCCCCAATATTCGCCTGTATTGGAGTCCAGGACCACGAGACCTCCTGGCAAGCTGGTTACACTTTGGTACCCTATGGTGTGTGCAGTAAGCTTGTGAGGAAAGGGGCAACATTTGACCTGGCAGCACACATCACATCTGCTAGGAAAATCGCACAGAACTGGACTCACCCACCTGGCGGGTATGAAAATTATTTATGAGAATACCATAATTTGAGCACTTTCTTATGTACATTGAGTAAGGTGAGACTTATGACTTGTATTTGATTATGTCCTTTTGGATCCCTGAACCTTGTATGAGAAAGTAAATTTTTATTCAGTGTTGAAATGGTGGTTTTGATCTTAGTTCTGTGGTTTAAATCAATATTTTCATTAAGATATTTCTTTTTAACTTTTAATGGAGAATTATGATTTTGAAATTTTCACGGTAGTCAATAATCTCAGATTAAACAAAAGTCAGATTTGAAGTAAATTTGAATATTTTATTTTGCAGATTTTTGGAAACCTCTTGGGAACGTGTGGCAACTGATGAGATGTGGAATGCCAAGTAAGTCTGCTGTGTGATATGGTAGAAATAGAAATAAATAGATGCTAAGTGTGGGAGACTGAGATGTTCTAACTTCGAGGGTAAGTAATTCAGTTTCCTGTGTTCACCTTGTCCATTAAACTTCATGATGTTGCTGGAATCTCTAAAACAGGTCTTAATACACAGGTTTTTGGATAGTAAAAAGTTCAACAGTCACTTTGCACAGATTTTGGAAATGTATAAATCTGTTTGAGGTTGTGATACTCAGATATCTCTCATTACAGAATCAGCACGGCATATTTCCTTTATGACAGATCCCAGGCCTTAGATAATGAAAAAGAAAGAAATGAAGCACTCCTTTCCTCCTACCAGGTAAAATAAATACACTGGTGTTTATTCGTTTTTTTTTTGTGGAATATCCAACTCAAAGTCTAATTTGACACATGACCAGACAGAACCACTCTGTAACTGGAAAGGTATAATAGACCTAAATGTAAACATTGTATTAGTCTGAGTAGAAGTATCTCAAAAAAGTGAAAAGTTTTCATGTGTAATTTTCATTTTTCTGCCTCACAGTTGTACACAGAAGCCATGGATAACAGCCCTGGTTTCCCAGCCTACTGGCACAAGAACTATGCTCTGGCCTGTGAAAAAATGCTACATATATCCCATGACTACAATAAAAGGGACCTAACCCGTAAAGTTGTTCATCACTTTGAGACGTTCCTGAAACGTGACCCCAATGATTCAGACAAACAAGCCATTCTACAAATCATTGAAATGCTCAAGCAGAGACTTCATTCTTGACAAGGGTAGATAATTAATACTAGCATAATAATTTGTTTTGTCATAATATATACAGTGTGTTAAACATATCCATATTTACATATTTCTGTTTTATTTGGGTAATCCTTATATATACAAATAATTGTCTTTTTCTGCCACCATTATTTATACTGAACCAGATATTTCTGTATTTACAAACATCTTTGTATTTAATGGTACATCGTGTAAATATAAAAGTTATGTTTTGTTCTATTTAAGTAGTGTTTTAGTGTGTTGACATCATCAGGTAATGTTTTTTTTATGATTAACATGTTAAAAAAATTGTTCTGTTACCACCATTAGATACTTGAAACAAGTGTCATTTCTGTTAATCCTTTGTAATTGGCAGCTTTCAAAGTCTTTGAGATTTTTTAGTTTAACCAAACGAATATCATGGAGACTGTGATGTAAAATGAATTTTAAAATGAGCCTCTGCTATGATGTGTGATGTTCCATACATTGGATTTGAAAATTTCATTGGTGATCCTCGACTTCTTTTATCTGTTTGATAATTGACAAAGTGTGATTAAGTGGGAAAACTGGAACTTTGCCAGATATTAATAGAGGTTACACAATGAATGGTTGTGGTATTTGATATTGCTTTCCTTTGAGTGAGTTATTTTTTTTAGAAGTTATGCAAAAACAGGCTTTAGCAAGTGTTTTTGAAGTTTTTAAAATAAGAGTGAGAGAAATACCATACATAACAACCATGAGTTTGTGTGATGTGTTGCTACCACAATGGAAATGCTATCCCAAGGTTAAATTAACCTGTTTTGTACCCATGTTTTGTTAAGCATCAGTTAGGCTGAAATGATATGAAGGGTGAAATGTTATGACCTTTAGTGAAATGCTGCTAATTGTACATGGAGATGTAAGTGATGAATTACAACTAGAAATAAATTGGTGTATTATTTTCATTATTAAGAGAGAAAAAAGGATAGAAATCCATGTAAAGTCAAATTATTACAAAAAGAATTGTGAACCACTTATTGTGTTTTCTAACTTCCATAAGAGTGTGAAGTGCCCTTTCAATAAAGTTCATCCTGTCAGCCAAAGTATGCTGAAGTGTTAAACCATGTGTGGTATATCATGTTTTTACAACAGTTTGGATTATTTTTTGATACCCTGGAAGCTGAATGATACCTACTGAGGTATAGAAACAAGGTTCTGTCCCTGAACCATGCTCCACTCTAGTCATTATTACCTCAACCTAAAAATCTTCTGAAACTTCAGACGTGGGTCATAATACTAACAATTTTTCAGCATGACTCACACCATTGAATGTAGACTTGTGAAAATGTTACAAAAATGTGGACGTGAGGAAGAGATATTCTGTAAATAAAAAATAGCATGAAGTTTCAAGAGTTGGAATGTACATTTCTGCAATATTTAATCTCATTTTTAGATTTTTATTCGCAAACTATTGATTCATACTTAATGCCTATGTGCCTTATTATAAAATGACAGACTGATGTACAGTCGAAATTTGTTATTTCAAAGTCGGCAGGACCATTAGAAAACTTCGAGTTATCCATGTATTTGATTTAAGTGAGATAAAATGTTCAGTGAAAAGTCTGTGTGGAACAGAAGAAATACTTGGAGTTGTAGGAGTTTGAGATAGCGAAGTTAAACTGTATTTGTCAAATTCCTTGACATGAACCAAATTGTATATTTATTTGCTCCATCTCCATTTAAAAATTTGCACAAATTTTGTTTTCTCAGGATATTAATGAAATTCTGTAGTTATTTTTTGTTTTCATACAATTAATTTTTGTACTGTTGGAAACATTTTGGGAATTATACATCATACATATTTCGCTGGAAACATGACGGCAAGTAAATCAATAGATATGTAGTCGTTTATGACTGTATTTATGATTATGTGTGTAGCTTGAACTTTGAGTGTTATTTTTACTGAACTGTGGCACAATAATCAAACATAATTATCAGTATCTGTATTTATTGTTGCATTTATTTTTCTAAATTGTTGATATTACAAACTAAGTTAAGGTCTCAAACATTTACATACCTGTAAAGTCAGAACAGGTCAATTTTACATGTGATGATAAATACAGAATAGACCTGTTTGTGGTAAAACCACTAAGGTTCAATCGTGCCATGTAGAAGAAAACGGACAGTAATGCAGGTTATGTTAAAAGTGTTGTACATGTTAAAAGAGGCAAGTCCAAACACTAGTTTACTTCCAATAAAGAGTTCTAATGTCATCAATAGCTGTGACATTTGAAAGATTTCTATTACAGTTCTATGACAGCTAGTATACTCAATTTATTCCTCGTAAAAGAGGAAACTACAAACTATCCAATGTGCTACTGTGACATTTGTGCACTTCTGTAGTACCGGTAACAATATAAAAAAACTGCCATGTATTTTCTTTGTATTAAAGTCAATATAAATCTTCGTGGTAAATCTCTACACTAAAATTCTATTGAAAAAAAGCTGGAACCTCAACTTGAAGTATCATATAAACAACAAACACATGTCGTCTGGTGTAAATGTCATGTTGTCTAATGTTATTGTCATGTCCTTTTTGACATAGAAGTAGCAGAAATATCATGTTAACTGTGTGCCATACTTCAATATAACTTAAGGCTTGGAATAAATTAAAGACTACCACATGCATTAACCAGGCAATCTTTGTTTTTCTTTTCATAAAATGAGGAATATGGTAAATAGAAGAAAACTTTAATCAGTAGGACATCTTAAACCTGTCCAGAGGACGTTCTTCGTGGTCTTCAGAACATCTTTTCTGTCTCCAGGATATCTTATCCAACCTCCAGATATCCTTCCTTGTCTCAATGAAATATTTTCTGGTCTCTACGACATCTTACACTGACTCAAGGCCATTTTAGCCTGGTCACTTTGACCTCAATTTAGGTCTCAAGGACATCTTCCCTGCTCTCTGAAGAACACCTTAACTAGTTTTTAGGACAGGCTTGCTGCTATCAAAGTCATTTTACCCATTCTCCAGGACATAATTCCAGGTCCTGAGAACAACTTCGCCAATCTCAAGGACACCTTGCCAGTCTCCAGGACATCCTTCTAGGTCCCGAGAACATCTTGATCAATCTAAAGGACAACTTTCCCAATCTTCATGACAGGTTGCCTCATCTCTAGGACAACATTCCAAGTCCTGACAACATCTTAATCAATCTTAAGGACACATTGCCCAGTCTTCAGGACATCATTCCAGGTCCCGAGAACATCTTAATTAATTTAAGGACACCTTGCCCACTCTCCAGGACATTATTTCAGATCCTGACAACATCTTCATTAATCTAAAGGACACATTCCAGTCTCTAGGACACATTACCCAGTCTCCAGGACACCATTCCAGGTCCTGAGAACATCTTATTTAGTCTAAAGGATGCCATGACTAGTCTCCAGGACAAGTTGCCCAGTCTCCAGGACATCATTCCAGGTCCTGAGAACATCTTAATCAATCTTAAGGACACCTTGCCCAGTCTCCAGGACATCATTCCAGGTCCTGAGAACATCTTAATCAATCTTAAGGACACCTTGCCCAGTCTCCAGGACATCATTCCAGGTCCTGAGAACATTTTAATCAATCTTAAGGACACCTTGCCCAGTCTTTAGGTCTCAAGGACATCTTAAGCAATCATATTTGTTTGGATGTGTTATTTATTCCCAATGTGTCAACATGATCTGAATTTAAGTGATGTTTAGTTGGATGCGATGAAGAGAAATACATGAACACAAGAAAAATCTTTATATATAAAAACAACAAATAACTTGATTTTGAGGATAATATATTTCCATCAATGAGAACATAGTTTTTCATGTTGGATTAGGCAAGTTAAAGCACATATAGAGACCTGTCACCTGACATTTGACTTGAACAAGGATGTTACCTGGTATATGGATATAAAACATCTGTAGATATCACAGGGACAAATTCTAACCCACTATCCATATATCAAAATGTATGTGTTTTACAATACATGTATCATATATATATGAATTATTACATATATACGGACAGTAGGTTGGGAATTCATGCCAAGTCTCTGTGGTATAGATTTTTATTTTTCATAATGTTCAGACAGTGATACACAAATAAATTTACAGAGGATAAATCTCTGATGATCTACATAACATATGTACAATATGAAACTCATAGATTTACTTTGAATTAAAGTTTATGGCAAAACATATATGCTGGTCAAGATAACCTGAAATTGCTCATAATGTTTTGAAACAAAAAGATCTGTGTATTAAAACTGAAATGTAGTTTGTGAACACAAAAATGTCAACAATGTGTAACCTGCACCAAAACAAATCAAGAGGAATCTGTTGTACAGTGGCTACCCACAACCTATGTGGAAACAAAATTAATGATGAGAAATAAAATTAATTCCACACCAAACTAATACATTCTTGTATCAAAACACAATAAATTAGGTGTATAAAAGTTACAGAGCAAATCAGCTTACAAAAGTAAAACATGTCGTGATAATGAAGCAGTTGAAGTGTTACATACATGATTGAAATGTGAGAAGGCAGTCCCCTGGACAAGACTGAAACATCGGACAAAAAAAACAAACAAAATGAAACAAAACTTCTTGCAAATTGATATAAGGAAGGATAACTAAAATTAAAGCAATGCAAGTTTCAGAAATCAGTTAAAAATGAGATTTGCAAGAGAATGTCAACATTATATTGTTACCACACCATGGCATTTAATGATATTCCAATTATTTTAATCCATTTAGATTCTTGGACCAAATGTTAGATTCTTTCAATTTCACACTGTTAAAGGTGAATCGCAGTAAACCCTTGATTTTGTTAATGATTGTACACGTTTTTTATACTTCTATTTATGTTTCTATACTATCCCAACATTCAGTCATTTTGTAATGTCCAGCATGACCACCTCTTTGGTTCGGGACACCCCTCTCAAATTAAATGATAACAACATTAACATGGAAATGAGGCAGTTTGTTTTGTAAACACAAACACATGATGGCAGACAGAAATGACATAGACAGCAGTGACACAGTAAGTAAAATTCTGTTTTTCAACATCGAGAATTGCTATGGGTTAAGTAAATATTATTTGATACCTGTAAGTCAATTCAGAATTACAAAATAAGTGACATCAATTGCCAACATTGTCTCATTGATTCCATATATATATACATATATATATGAAGCTAAAATTTACATGTCCAGACTGTTGATCAACAGATAAGGAGTTCCTTTCTATAATTATAAATTGAAATCTTTATGTGCATATTTCAGTGAAAAACATCTCATAGTTCATGAGGTGATACACTTGATATTTATATATATGCAATAATAATAATAGAAAAAATTGTTTTCCTGTGATGTCACTTTAAACCTGTGTTAATTTGCAGTAAAAAATCATTGATGTTTATAACAGTAAATAAAAACATTTACAAGCTAATATCAAACTGTATCAGATTATCTGTAGACTACCATCAGCTCATTCTATGCCTTAAGGATGAGTTACAGTATGCAATACCAGAAATAATTAAAGAAATTTAAGCCTTTAAAAGGAACTGATGTTTATCAAATTTGCCTTAGACTTATTCATTATAAAAACACTTTATTTTGTTTTCATTTACAAGATTCAGTCAACTTTTGGCTTTTCCACACACTATTTTATCTATCAGTATGACTTTGAGACCAACGTGCCATCACCATCGACTGATTCCGGTATTGGCTGAAATTAAATGAACTTCTACAGTATAGTTTATATATCAACAGTTACCTCCGTTGAATGATATATTGTACAACACACTGTTTGGCTTTGTATTGGTTACAAATCAGGGACATTTCATTATCAAATGTGTACTGTACCAAAGCCAACAAACATTTACCAAAGGTTTATGTGAGAAAAAAGTTAAATACACAGGATGGAATGAAAGAAGGAGGAAAAGATGAGAAATTTTGTAATAAAAAATTACAGGAAAAAATAAGATAAAGCTGAGAGGCATAAAGGAAAGAAGAAAGACCAGATTCATATTCAGAATACTGAACAAATTTGATCACTTGGTCAGATGGGAATGTAATCTGGACACGTAAAGTGTACTTAGAGTATACACGCCCACACCAAGTACAAAAACTCTATATGGCACTGGGAGCACCACCAACAAGGTACATCACTCCTACCCCACCTCCACCAAAATCTTAACAACTCTAGGAAAGAAACTGTTATAATCTAGACAAGCAAAGTAGAAAAAGGTTTATCAATGATAAAGGAGTACTATTGAAGTACTGTATGACGTACTTTCATTCTGAAATATAGAAGTAAGCACCATTTATATAACTGCAGTACAGCCAGTTATGTATAACAGTGTGTATATATAAACACATGAACACACATGAGCATAGCACTAGGTTTCATATTCTTTTGAGTACATTACTAATATACAATGGTTATCTATTATCCAAGACTTTTTGAAATTAACAAGTCCTGTAAAATATGATTTTACCTTTGGAATTATGTTAATCAATTTAAAAAGCAAGAATTCACTCAAGTTCAAGTTCTTTCCAGCAGTACTTCACTTTCATCATGAAAATCCTTGTGCTTTTTTTGCTCTGTCCTTGTCTATATGTCCTCGCTCAGGTCCACCATGGAGATGTCCGGTTCCGAGATATCGAGGAAACAGCAGCTATCATCACCCATCCAGATGACATCATCATCGACCTCCTCAAGAATCTGTACATCGTCATCGATTTCAATCAGTCGGAACTGCTTATTGTCGTCATCCTTTAACTGTTTTTCCACCTGAACACATCTTCGTTGAGATTTATGCAGTAGTTCCGATGGTGAGTTTACATCTGTTTTTCCAACTTTATTGCTATCACTTGGTGAGAAGATATTCAATTTCTGAAAATCAGCTGGGGAGTTCATGTGCATTTTCATGGCAGAAGGGGAATCTACAGACATTTTATGTTTAGCACGAGGTGATAGGCAGAATAAACGTCCACCATTAATGCCTTGAGATTCCTGATCAGCTGATCCAGAGCTTGGTGTTGGGGTGTAGCAATTCATTTTCCTGAACTTGTCAGTAAAATCTAGAGGTTCATTGACGTTTGGATCTACATTCTCATTACCAACCTCTTCGTCTGCTCCTTGTTGTTTAACATTTGATTTGGAATCATTTGTATCTATGTTTTGAGATTTCTGCCTGGAGGTGTTGATAGAGTTCCAGGCCTCGTCTGTTATGCCCAGCTCCTGAAGTGTGTAGCGAGGGCGGTACTTTATAACTACTCCTTCAAAATGGTGCTGGCCTACTTTGTACCTCACCATTGTTTTCCTTCTGTTGTGGTCTTGGCTTACATGATATAGACTTCGGCCTTCTCGGGTTGAAACACCAACATTTCCTGAAACATACAGAAAATACACTTTCATTTATGAGAAATTCTGATAGAACAGGCCAACACTCTACTGGTGTTTGATTTTTCACTAAACAGATGAGAGGACTGTGGTCAACTAATAAAATAATGAAAGGAATTACCTACATAATTGTCAGTAAATCTTTATTGTTATCATCTGCTGTAAATTCCAAAATTTTTCATCAATATATGGCCTTGAGATCCAAATTTCATTAAGAACTCTTTCTGGAAACTTGTCAGGTAAAGTCCCCACTCAATACACCTTTCCGCTTAAAAGAATAAGCAATAACAGGTTTTTAAGTATATTAAGATGGCAGTTACGGTGGTGGTCTAGAATGCGACTTGACACATGCATATGAATGTTTAAGCCTAAGTGGAAAAAAGTCCTATCTGAGTCAGAGTTTCTGTTCAGAAAATAAAAAGATAATTTTTTTTTTGTCAGAATGTGGCCAGTTTGAATTAAGGTATGACCATAGAGAGTGGGCCCAACACAATGGCCATAGCCACCATCGTAAATGTCATATGGATCCATTTTGACCAAAAGTTGACCCTGTCCTAAACACTCATGAAGTCCCTGTCTCTGTATCCGAATTTATTTAAGAGTGGTAGTGGTTACTATTACTACTAATACTTACAGTAATTTTAAAGATGGCTGTCGTAGCAGCCATCTTGAATGTCACATTGGTCTGAATTTTGGTTAGCACAAACTATATACATATTTTCTTGTTGGAGCTCTGTCTCTATGGTAACAGAAAGTATTTTCTTTTTCTTTATACTTGTATTGCTTTCTGTAAATTCTTTCAAATGATTCTACATTACTGTAGCTATGCTGTTGCAAGAAATTCTGATGAGAAAAAAAATGTTTTAAACAGAACTGTTAATCTATCTGTGTAAAACTTTTTGCATTGCAAAGGTAGCTTTCAGTTATGGCCTTCATGTCACACAAGTCTAATTTCCCATTTGGATGATCAGTGAAAGTCCTGTCTCAATGCAATAAGAAACAATAAAAGATTCTCAAGATGGAGGCCACTGTCATGTTTCAATCTTAATTTAGCTGAAATAGCAATATCAAATTTTTAACGATGACAGCAATCATAGCCATCTGGAATGAGGTACAAGTTTTGATTTCTATGTACTATATGCAATGCATATGTTGAGGCCCTATCTTCATTTCTTGCTATGACAGACCATTCAGGAGAAAATGTTATTTCAAAATAATACCCAATAACTTCAATTTAGTATGGGTCTCTATAAGGAACACCTGTAGACTACACACAACTACTCATAACATGTTATATACAACTTTCTGTATAGAAATATTGATAATGATAACTAATGGTCATAATGTTTTAGGTATCTGTCAATCAAACATATTAAGTGATTAGTATAGAGTAGATACCAGGAAAAAAGCCTGGCCAGATATATATGGTATTTGTATACTGTAAATGAACTTGATTTAACACAATCAAATTTTAGCTCATCTTTTGTCACATTAGCAAATCATGTTTTAGCACAATATAAAACTAAAATGAATCAATAACACTACAATGTGTACATGTACAGGACAAGTGTTTGTCATCACGAGAGGCTGATATAAACTTATTGACTGATTAGTCAATGACCTACCATGTTTCTTCGATGACTGACATAAGCTTGGGCATGAAGACAGCTCTGCTGATCTGGCTTCTAAGAATGTGGTTCCACAGGTGGTAAATGTACCAACTGCCTTTGCTTCTATACACTGCATGCTAATGGTACCCTGCAAGTTATCAGCTTCACTCTCTGTTGTGGACTTATCACCACTCTTCTGTCTCTTTTTTTGAGGCTACACAAAGATAAAAACATAAATCAAAAGATTCATCACAAGCAATACAGATCCCCTCAAGAATCGAGCGTGTTTGATGAGAAATGGATAGACAAGTGCATGAAGCTCGACAAAAATCTCCAAATTAAAGTAACCTTTAGACAGCTGACAAAGATTTAATTAAAATAATAACAATGACTTGACTTTTGTGGTCCTTTATTAGTTTGAAATGATATTTGATTAACACTGGAAAAATTACCTCTTATGGTTAGAAACCAAAGTGAATGCCAAGTCCAACCAATTAAAAGATATGTCACACTGATCTACCAATCACCAAGCAATTTAGTATTACTTAGGATAAATGTTATGTCAAGTTTCAAAACAATGTACACAGTCCCAGAGAAAAATTAATTTCATGTTTTAAAAAGATGTAGATATGAACTATCAACACTGTAACTCAAACTTTTCCATGATATTACAGCCTACATAAATGTGTGAATTTTGATCAAAATCCCTTGAAGAATGCAGCTGCTAAAAAGCTAACTTATGTCCCCTTAAACTTTAAATAAAATAAAATAAAAAAATTGTTTTCACAATCTGAGATAACATCAATAAAGCCAAACCACATGAAAACATTCATGTAGAATATACAAACTGAACAGCATATGTAGGCCCCTGAAGAAACAGGCCCGAGAACTTTCATAAATTGTTGACGATCAGGTAGTATTCTGTAATTGTTGTAATTTTGACGAATTAACACATGAAATGTAGAGTATATAAAGGCACACAGGTCTTCAATATTCTATACTATGAAATAACTTACTGAATGACTTTCATCCATCCTGGGTAGTGTAAAGAGCAGCTCCCGAATCACATGTTGGTGTTTGTATCCCTTTACCCGACTTAAATAATAAACAATGAAACAAGTTAACAGCATCAAAACCAGCTTATGACAACAAGAGGCCCCTGAATTCTACCAATGCTGTCGTTGTTCTTTAACTTTATCACAGAAATAATCTTGTTAACAAAGTAAGATAACACACAATGTGCATGTAATACAAGTGTAAACTGGGCGTAACATTAACTACCATCCCATGCATGATACTAACCAGATTTAAGTTAAAAGAAATTACCCCTAAAACTGCTGTTTCCCAATACAATTTAAACTACAGAAAACTGTACCTCCTCCCTTATAGACAATGCAAGAGCCCTGGGTCATCAAATCCACATTTTTTGGTAAATCACTTTAAAAACCTCTCATGCATGGAGACTTTGATTCTACCATATTTGGGTATAGAGAAGATGTTTTTGAAACTTGAGCCAATCTAACCCTTTTTGGCCAAGTTCATCAGTCCCTGGGTATCAGCCAGGGAAATGTCTGCCATAACAATACCATCAATCTGTTATCCTAACTAATTTAGAATTATTTGTAACAAAATGTAAACAATTTTTTCTAAAAAATTATATAACTATCATAAACTTATATTCCTCCCAAAGATGGGAAATGCGAGACCCTTAGGTCATGAAATTTACAATTTTGGTAAAGTACCTCTAGACATTTCAATCCAGTCAGTACATGTATTTGATTCTACCATATAACTCAGGATTGTGAGTTTTGAAATTTTAGTAAATTTTATCTCTTTTGGCCGCATAGATCAGCCCACGGGGATCACCTGGCATCAACATGTACATACCATCAAACTATCCTCCTATACAAATAACTCTAACAAAGTTTGAAATATTTCGAATGGAAAATAAACAAATCATGCTCCAAAATGTAGTTTTCTTAAATTAACTTTTAACTGTAAACTGTACCCCTCTTCCAATGGGGTCAGGGAATTTACAATTTTGTATGGTGAAATTTACCCCCATCCCCAAGGGGAAATGTGAGACCCTGAGTATTGAAATTTTCAATTTTGGTAAAGAAACTTATGAGCCTTCCATCCTTGAAAAGTATTTGATTCTTCCATATTTGGATGTTGAGAAGGAAGATTTTTGAAATTTAAGTAAATATGACCCTTTTTGGCCCCACTCATCAGCCCCTTGGGGTCAGTCAGAGTCAATATGTGCATAACATCAAACTGTCTTCCTATAGGCCTACTAACAAGTCTGAGTTTAATCTATTCCCAAAGGACAATAAACAAATTATGCTCAAAAATTTCATTATGAAAACTTTATTTAACTTTACCCCACCCCAAGGTAAAATGTGAGAGGGATCCATTCAGTACTTCTAAAGATATAGCGATACCAACAATGCTTTATGAACGGACCATGGATCAAGGTAATTACTGCATCAAACAGGACACTTACAACACCTCTTTCTTGTGTGGAGGAAAAGGTTTCATCCAAATCTGCTGCCCATCAACACACAGCTTCAGGTACATAGGGAAGTCGTATGTGTTGTTAATGCACCCATGGATACTGAAAGGTGTCACAGGGTACCTCTGTAAGTCAAAAAACACTTTTTATGCAAAATGTTTCATAAAAATAATTTAGTTTTCATTAATTACCATTATTTGAACTTGTCCCTGTAAACGAGACTACTCAATGAATTACAGTATTAAGAGTGATGCATGGCAATTGGCCTGGTGACAGAGATTCAACATCATTCACCTTTGAAATTGGCGTATATCAATTAAACCTAATCTAAACCTTCGCATGAAATTACTCCTGGATTAAGTCTATTTTCTTGGGAGATTTTAATCAATATTTTAAGGCTATCCGACACTCAAATTTGACCGAACATTTTTGCTAGGTATACAATAAATTCTACAAGTATCACAGGATGATGTATACCAGATCCCTTCCCCATAAACATGAAAACAAAATTAATACCATAGTGTGTTATTATAACGGCTACCAAGCTTGAACATTAGTTGAAATATGAGAGAGAGAAAAGTTAAAGAGGAATGATTTCCAGATTTTGTTGAGGCAAAATGTAACATTTTATATTTTATCACATATTAAGCTTTAAAGAGATATAAAAAAAACAAAAGAGACATTGCATTTCGTGTGATGAGGGAGCAGACAAGTACAGACAAGCAGACAAGCAGGTCAAGATGAGCATGCTCAAGGCAAAGGAAGACTGGATTACTGATCAGTGCAACGACATTGAACGGAACCTTGAAGCAAACAATGCCAAGAAGGCCTACCAAGTGGTGAAGAACCTCACCAGCTGCAAGCAAGGACTGCCTAGCACCATTCTCGACAAATACGGGAAGTGTCTGACCGAGTCTAAAGACATCTTGAACAGGTGGACAGAGTACACCGCATATCTATACTCATACCGCGCAACAGGCGATACAGAGAAGCTCAACATCCCTCTGACAACAGACACAGACAGCTTCCCCATCCTCAGAGAAGAAGTGGAGGAAGCAGTGAAGTCCCTGAAGAAAGGAAAATCAGCATTCATTGATAACATCCCAGGAGAACTAGTGCATGCAGGGGGTGAGGCCATGATCTATGCGCTACATGCCAGAAGATCTGGGAGACGGGAGAGTGGCCAACACAATGGACCCAGTCTTTAATGATCACCCTACCCAAGAAAGGCAACCTACAACAGTGCAATAACTACCACACCATCAGCCTGAAATGTCATCCTAGCAAAGTGATGCTCAGGATCATATTGAATAGGCTAAGACCCCAGGCTGAAGAAATTATAGCTGAAGAGCAGGCAGGATTCAGGGCAGGACCCAGCACAACTGAGCAGATCTTCAACCTCAGGATTCTGTGTGAGAGATACCTTCAACACCAACAAGAACTCTACCACGTATTTGTAGACTTCAAGAAGGCATTCAACAGAATGTGGCATGCGGCACTCTGGGCGACCACGAACTACTACAACATCAACGCTAACATCATCCGCGTCATACAGAAGCTATACAACAAAACCAGCAGTGCGGTTTACCTCAACGGGGACATCGGAGACATGTTCCAAACCACAGTTGGAGTGAGACAAGGATGTTTGCTCTCGCTGACAATCTTCAATGTTTTCCTTGAGAGAATTATGACAGATGTACTTGAAGACCACCCAGGAACAGTCAGCATTGGTGGCAGAACAATCACAAACCTGCGTTTTGCTGCTGATGTAGATGGACTCAAAGGCTCAGAACAAGAACTGGAGAACATGGTCAGGCAACAAGACAGATCCTCCACAGCTTACGGCATGGAAATCAGTGCAAACAATACAAAACTGACGACAAATAGCAACCATGGAATCCAAACTGACATCACTGACGGAGAAAAGCTTGAAACCGTGAAGAAATTCCAATACCTTGGAGCAATAATTTCAGATGAGGGGTCCAAGCCTGAAGTACTAGCCAGAGTTGCAATGCCAGCTGCAACACTAGCTAAGTTGAACATCATCTGGAAGGACAAGGCAATCAAGTACAGCTCAAAGATAAGACTCATGCGTTCCCTTGTCAACTCAGTTTTCCTGTATGCTTGTGAAACATGGACCCTGACAGCAGAATTAGAGAGGAGAATTCAGGCCTCAGAAATGAGCTGCTTTAGAAGACTGCTTGGCATCTCCTACAAAGACCACATAACCAATGAGGAAGTCAAAAACTGAATAAGGCAAGCCATTGATCCCTATGAAGATCTTCTCACCACAACCAAGAGATGCAAACCAAAATTGTTCGGCTATGTAACAAGAGGAGAGAGGCTTGCCAAGACAGTGCTCCAGGGAACAGTCAGAGGAGGAAGAAAGAGAGGAAGACAGAAGAAGAGATGGGAAGACAATATCACAGAATGGACAGGATTGAAGCTGAGCGAGGCGGTCAAACGTGCGAAGGGCAGGGAAGGATGGAGAGGACTGGTCGGCAGGTCATCTGTCATATTTGATAGATTTCGTGTAACATCTGTGTAATAAAGGTCATCATTTATGTCAATGCCACTGCTAATTTTCCAAATTGGCGTCATATCCCAGACATAACAAGTCTATCACTGCGTACTCCACCGCGTGAGAATATCACCTGGTTAATGGATACGAGCAGAGACGTATATATCATTATATATGTCTCTGATACGAGAAAACATTTCCACAGACAGGTAAACTGGTGAATGGCTGAAAAACCTTCTTTTTTTAATCAAGCATTTTTTTCTGTTTTGAACACGTGCTATTTATAATCATGGAAAAGACCAAGGACGTAATTGGGAACTTTCATCAAGTCCCTGTGGTACCGTTCGAGCGCATGCCATCACGAGCCTAGAGCTCGTTACGCACGATTATTTGGGCAAAATTCACCTGTGTGTTTCCTTCGGCATCCTGCTCCTCAATGCAATACGACGACTCTGTATGAAGGTCAGATTCAATGTAGAACTCAGAACCGATGGTGTACTCTTTCAGAGGATGTCCATTTACAAAAACATTAAAATAAAACAATTCGCATTTCGGCATTTTGAACTGTTCAGTTTTCGCGGACCGCTTCTGATTGGTGTATTAACCAGAGTTCCCTCCCCTTCACTTCCGGGAAGCCTTGCACATGTCCATGATTTTTTGTAGTTTAACACGAATTTTCTAGTCATTTCATTTTATTCTATTGTTAAAAACACAGGTTACGACAGATTGTTAAAGGGAGCAAAAATCACATCGTTATGATTAAATCGCTTTTGAAGTGTGTTATAAAAAAAAGTTAACTGTATTACCTAGTGTTGTTCCGATTAATCGATTTAATCAGGGACATATATACGTCCCTGATTTAATCGAGTATCACTTGTTTGAGATGTTTGATCATTTAATCGATTAAGAAATCTGTAGTCGATCATCGTGATGTATGAAAAGAGATTATTTCAACATTGAAATTATTTTAAACATTAATAGAATTATCTTTTAAAAAAAGACATTTGTTTATATTAAAAAGTATTCTGTGCAATAAACGAATAACAAGCACACAAAAAGATGGTGTAGGTACAACAGTTTTAGTAATTACGTGAATTACTGTTAAAACATAACACAAAATACATATTTAGACTTGAATAATATCCCAAAACAGACAATTAAAAATTAATCGATTTTAATCGATCATCGATCGGTTACACAATGTTGATGATCGATCAGGAAATTTCAGCCGATTCCCAACACTAGTATTACCACAATGAGTGTAATGTGTGCATGTGTCATGATGATGACGATGATGAGGAGGAGGATGATGATGAATGTATACCAGTATACATGAAGTGCATGCTTACATTGTGATGATGTTAATTGACAAGCGTAGATGATGCGGAAGATGAAGTTAAGGATGTTTGTGTCTACCATGTATGTAGTATGATGTAAATCGGTGTGAATGTCATAATAGTATTTTTATTTGTGATTTCTGAACGTGAATGTGAGGATGGCTGATGCGTTCTTTTGTATATTTATGATGTATATATTGAACAAATATATGAAAAAATATATGAAATGACCGCGAAAACAAGTTTTGATTTTCAGAAATTTACCGCCAAATGTCACAAATTTATCTTCCAAGTATTTTCAACTTTACATTTTAAGATTTTATTTTTTACACCGTAATGATGACCAATGATGTGTTCAACGTGAACAAAACACAATGTAATCTAATTAGTTTCATTCACAATGTGATTAATTAAATTAATTAATTTACCAGATGATTTTAACAAGTAAAATGGACGGTTTGTCTGGAGATATACTATAAGTTCAAATTCATCTTTCATGCATAACTTCCTGATTTTACAGGTATCCCGGGCATCGTTCAATGTCGGCTTTACCTCTTCAACCCCGTAGGCCGCGAACTTTGTAGTCTTAATCAACCCACGGTGTGAAAGCAAACTGAATTCTGATTTAAGAAACTGAAATACATGTACATTAACCGTATTTCGATACATTGATTCTGGACCATATTTATATGGATTGTTTACATATGCATTGTCAAAAAAGAATGTTTTTTTTTTATAAGATTTATGATGCATTTTTTCTTCAAATGAATAGTTCGCTTATTTTGACACCTATCCCCTCCCCCAAGTTTCGAGACCAATCAATCTCGAGTGTAAATCTCTAATTGACATTACCCACCAAATGTTTTTTCCTTAATCGTTTATTTTCTGAATAGTTTTACGCAGACTACTGCCATAGACCTAGATCTCGTATTCTTAGACTGAAAAAATAACGAGGGTTTGTTATTCAAGGGTTGAAATACATTTGTAAATAAATGTTGAAATAACAGTTTCCTGGTATACTGATCATGATGGAAATGGACAAAAGAATAAGTAAAACTGCAGCGACTCTTTTTCGTGTGAGGATGGTGGCTTTTGGAGTTTAAAAAAACCCCAAACTCTGCCTTATTTCCCGTCCAGACTCCGTTTTGCGTTTACTATATAACATCAATGGCGGCGACCATGAATAACAACGTGGATGAGGCTCTTTTGACAGAAGAAATGGGTAGGTCTGACGATTGTTTAAATTCCTTACATTTATTTGTGTTTGATGTTTGTACGAATGTCTATGCCAGCTCTTTACATATTTTTACAATTTGGTGTTAAAGAACTGAGTTTTGATTGTCGGTTTCACTTTTAACCAAATGTATGATACAGTTGCATGTAACAAGCTAATGTACTGGATGTGTTTGCCTGTAAGAGATAGTTATTTATATAACATTTATATATCTATATATTTATATTCATCTAAGTCCTTGGCATAACATCGAAATGTTTTGATCATATCTATGGCAAACAGTCCTAGCTTTGTGTTAAAGTGACCTCTTAAAACGGAAAAAAGTAACTTGGTTGTTCCATGTAACTCAACTATCTGTACAGAGCTAATGAGTTTTTATGATGTATGATATTCTCATTATAAAGTACAAATTCATGATGTAAAACTATCTTAACTTATTACATGTATACAATCATTACAGTTTTTGTTATATTAAAAAATGAGGTTTTAATGACTTATAATTCAGAAACATATATATGTCTCTGTTATAATTATACTAAAATATTAAGTAAAAAAAATTTAAAATCCTGTTGAGTTAAGAGGATACATATGCAAAATTTGAATGTGGTCCATTTCTTAGAGATATGGTAGGCTCTAAAAAACTTGAAGGAGTCCCACAGGAAAAGTTTGAGTTCCTAAAATGTTGGTGTACTGATTTTGATCTTTACCAGACCCAGGCACCTCTAAAATTAGTAATAATTCTTACCCTGAAGATTCAACTCTGTTGCATTAACTTACATGATGAAATCTAGATTCTCATGACTGTCTTTAGAATTTTCCTTAACTTTCATGATCAGTGATTAACGGAAGTTTCATGTCTTTTATATCATTCTACATTAAATGTAAGACTCTATGCACTTAATTTCACTTTAGAAGAATGGCAACCACCAAGCGAAGCAGAGATGAAAATAATTGCTGCTCGTAGAGAAAGGTCAGACAAAATCAGCAAAATCATGGGCGACTACCTTCTGAAAGGTTACAAGATGCTGGGAATCGTCTGTGATGAATGTTCCGTAAGTATACCTATATACCTATGTAATATATAAATTTTCGAATTAAACATCAGTCGGTAGGAGCTGAGAAATAATAGATTTCTTAGGAAGTTAGAGAATCATCACAAGAGTCTAGATGTAATATTAATCCATGTCGGGAAAGGAAACTAAAGTCCTGAAATTCTAAAAATAGTCCCAGTAGTGTATAGGAAGAAAGTTATCTCTGTAGTCTGTCTTAAAAAATCAGTATCATTTATTGGAAATGGTGTAATGATTTTTATGTTTTACATCATAAATTATGTATTAAACTTCCCTTGAATATCAATAAACTGTGACAACATCCTTTAAAATCTTAACATAAACCAGAAACTGGCTAAGACAAAGCACAATATTTACTCAAAATTTATCTCAACTTTCAAAAATGCTTGATTATGTATATATCCACATCTGTCCTGTTTTGAGAGGGGTTTAATCGTTTTATTTGTTGTAGACTATTCTGATGGAGACAAAAGCCGGGGAAAAATACTGCATAACATGTAAGGAATTAGATACAGACACAGACAAAGACAATCCAGGTATGTAATCATTCCTTGTCACTGTAACTTTTGAAAGGATAGTTACGTTAACTGATTTTCTCAGCATGTTTTATTTCTTTAGTGGTCCAAAAAATGTGTGTGTTTCACGATCATAATCAATCTGATTATATGTTTTGTTGTTCACATGACTGTTGATTGGTATGAATTATAAAAAAAAACAGTAACATCAGGTGCATGGATTTGTCACCATTTCATGACACTCAGATAAATTTAGGGACCCATTATGTCAATTTTTGAATTCATCGTTCATCAATATTAGAATAAATAACATTCAGGGTTAATACAGGCTGATAAAAGGAAGATACAATTAGTGTGAAGTTTTAATTTACATAATGCGTAAAAAGTTTTTGTGTTATGTAGGTGTTTTACACATTTAAATCCCGATCACAAAAACATACACCGCTGTATTGCTTTATAAAGAAGATGTTGAATTTTTGTTTTGAATTATTTCGTTTGAATAAAGGTATACATATGTAGATATTTATTTATGCTGCCAGTTAAATGTTCTGGTGTGGGCTTGCAGGAAGTAACAAGATATGTACCTTTCCAACATTGAATTTATCATTAGTGTATGATTATACAACTTGATCTTGTAACTTTCTAATTTTCACTGATTTCCTCATTGCAGTCACAAATCCAACTGCAGCTCGATCTCAAGTTTTTGAAGGTAGTCGTTCAACACTGGAGAGCTCCTCTGCTGAAGATCATTCAGTCAGTGGAAGGAATCACTCCTCCCTAACATCAATTCCATCAACATTTGGCCAGCCAACTGCACCACCGTCCACAACAAGGGCAGAGATACATCATGTAGATATACCCCCAATCCATCAGGGTACACTTTCTTCCTCCTCCCACAGTATCCCAGCCACAGGGGCAATTGATCAAATCCAAGGAGATGCAGTGGACAGTCTGTGTGGCAAACTTCAGTGGGCATCAGAACAATTGAAGACTGAGACAAACCTCCAAAGATGTACACAACTTTGTGAACTGATTAAAGCAAGCGCTGATGCCATTCGTAGCCTCAAGGATTTATGATTTGTGTGATTACACATTATGTTATTAAGTATGATGTGTAATGTCATATTGAAGCCTGATGGATTCTGTCTTGTGGATGACAAATTTGTTTACTGTGGAAAAAATCTGTCTCGGGAGAAGAAAATTATGCTTTTATAACTATAAATCCAAAGCAATGATTGCATGACTTAATGAAGATAAGCGTTATAGGGGTAGCTCTTCAAAGAAATCTTTAAAACAGATTTGGATAAAACATACCGCTTTAATGATGTAGTTTATCAGCAGATAAAACTTTGAGAACCTCACATTTGTATTAAGGAAGTATAGAATTTATCTAATCATTTTTCCTTGTCTTTAGTAAACCTCTTAACCATTTTACTCATTTTTTTGTAGATTAAGAAAAAGTCATTGCCATTTAAGACAGGAAATTTTTCAACAGGTCCTTTATAACTTTAGTTGCCAAAGACAATTGTATTTAATGTTATTTCGTGTTATCTATTTCACTGAGACATCATTTTATTTATAAGTTATAACAAAGAAATGATTAAACAACACATGATGATAATTCAAGGAAAAATAAGAATGATATTTATTTCAAAAACTGTATTACAATATATATTCATATACATATCATAGGTATATAGCATAACAGAACAGGCCTGTTATAGGATCAGAATTATTCTCAAATGAAAAGTCTTTTTAACAGGTTATAGTGATAGTGACAAAAACATTTCTACTGCATAGAAAGGTTTGCATCATTTCTGTGGGAAGGATCACAAGGAAAAGCAATATAAACCTAGAAACTTCTATGGTCATGTGTACAAAATGGATCAACACATCTAGATATGCTGGTGTGGTACTAAATATGTGCACAAATAAAGTAATGAAGGTGTCAATTTTATGTTTCATATTCTAGATGAATAATTTTTCAACGTGTAGAAGTTTCTCTTTGGTTTGATTTTTATTCCTTGTACAATAATGCTTTCCTTATATTAAAATAAAATGCTTGATAGTTTAATGTCAGAAGTAAAATTATTTGTATCAAGGTGACAGGCCTCTGTACTTCAGCATGTTTTGATTGGCTGAGAGGACAAACTCCTTCGGTGCTTCATACCCTCACAGAAATTAGTCTGTGCAATAAGAAGGTCACACTTGCTATTGTAATAATCTGATTTTTAATTGGATTTCTATTCTTTATTTACTTTGATGGTAAAAACCAAATTATTTCTAGTAATGAGTTAAAATATCTCCATGTATTTCTGAAATTGTCAGTTTTGCATATTAATGATGTAAACAAAACACACATGCTACAGAACATATCAATTTAACTATGGAATGAAGTAAAAAGAAGTCACAAAAACTTGAAGTTGTTATTTATGATATTTCTTTTACTCTCTCTAGTTATTTTCAAAAAATACAAAAACAGTTTCAAAAGCCAGTGTTTTTTTTTTGTAACTTCTGAAATATGACTTGAGTGAAAGAAATACCATATACATATACCAAAGAGTTTTTCAAAAATATGTTCATTAAAAGATCCCAGGATAACTTTGTATATTTCCACATCCTGCTGTAAAATTGTTTTCTTTAAATTTGTGGGCACTCCAATTCTAGGATTAAGGTTGATATTGATTTAAGTTGATTTGGTGAGCAAGATTTACCCAGGAAATCAAGTACAAAGAAAATGTATAGTTTTGGAAAACCACAAAATTCCACTGTATGAAAAAATTGTTTTTACAGCTTGTTGTTTGTGAACATTCTTTATTAACAATAAATAAGAATTGTGAATTTTGGAGAGCTGTCTCTTTTTAAAGTTTTTGTCATGCTACACTCCTTTAGGCCATCCTCAAATTTTATTTGCTGAGGAAACATGGGGTTTACAAACAAATTAACAAACTGGTGAGAGACATATTTATACTTAATGGTGAGAGATTATAAATGTCTAAAACATAATGAAGACATTTTAGCATTGTTAATCCCACAGTTGATGTATTTCCATCTCTTGTGCATCTGTCCACATGAATCCAATTTTCTCCTGGTCAAATCACTGGCTCATTGCACAGAAGTGATATTCAATCCTTAAGTTAACACTTTAGATACCTTCACATTATACCTTAAAAGTCTTCATCAGGAACAACATTTTCTATCTATAGTTACGATAAGAAATTTTACAATCATGTTTATTACTATAAATCACTTATATTTTGCGTGGTATTTATTTCAGTGTTAATATGTGAGGAGAGTCAATCATGAATTCAAAACTACTGTGATTATTTGTGCGAATCTTTTGATGACATCGTTGTCATTTCGATGTTAACTTACTTTTACTTCTGTTTACACTTCCATTGAATTTATGTGTTTATAATTATAATAGCACAAACATATTTTCTAGTCATATATTCCTTTCAAATTCAGACATGTTTAGAACTCCACGTATTACTGTCTGTAGAACTGCACAAAATGGTCAAGCACGTTTGCTATTAGGTGAAATTGTTAATCCCTTATGCAATTTTTGTGTTGGAAACGTGTAAAAATATTTACAATGAGACATGCATAAGATTTGTTTTATTAACTCATAAAATAAACAGTTGCAAAACCTTCAAAGTCGTTACTGCTTGAACGACTGCTGTGTAAAAGTGTAGCACTGCATCATAAGTCTGGCATATAGGAGTCCTGTTATCTTACCCTGAAAACAACTCAATTCATTCTGCAACATGAAATAATGTAGAAGTTTCACATACAATTCAGCATGTGCATGTAAACAACAGGTATAGTCATGTCACTCTCTTAAGTAAAATGGTCACCAATATGAAGATATCGGGTGCCGATATGGGAGTTTCCTAGAGTTTCTGTCTCCAATAATTCATAATTGTCTTTTCTGGATCAATGCCTGCGAAATAAAGTATTGGTCAATATGTCTGCAGAGGTGAGTTCATAAAATGAAGTTTGCACGAAATCTAAGTGATTCACAGTACTAAGACTTCATATAAATAGTTCACTGTTTTAATGTTTGAAAAAAAATGGCTGATATTTTAGTTACAAAATGTTTCAATAATAAATAGAGAGTCAACTCAATTAATGGATAATTTAGTATCTTATAGAGATCCCTAAAACTTCCATGGCAAGCCATTTTAACATTTAATTAAGGTGAAATATGCATTTGATTTATTTCACTTCAGTGAAATTCATTTTGCCTTAAAGCAACCAAACTTCTTTTCGCATTATGTTGTATTTCACTTCAGTGAAAATCTTTTTCGCTTGAAAAAGTGAAATTAAACAAAAAGTTTGGTGGCAGAAATCCTACTCAATAGATTTGGACTAGCCCATTTGTTAATAAATCATTTGGTGTTTACTATCTCTTTCAGAGCCCGAATATGTAATGGCAATTAAAAAAATCTTTCTTGACACAAGTAAAAAAAAAATGGAATTAAGAATCATTTTCATTTCAGTGAAAAACACACAATGGAAATAAAATCCATTTCACTAATGAAAAAACACATAATGGAAAAAAAATATTTTTCCCTTAAGGGAAATAAAATGAGATACAACGAATAGTTTCTACCAATAACAGTATAAGTCATATAATGCAGTAAGCATATAAATTGATCTGTCAATTAATAAAAAGAGATGGATAAGAAACATCCAGATTGCAATGACCATATCTACCTGAAGGTGAAAGTAATTTCACTTAAGTGAAAATTATTTAACATTATGTCTACACAACATATTTTTTCACTTAGGTGAAATTCTTTTTACTTTGAGTTAAATTGTTTGCATTGTGTTAATTTTCAATGAAGTGAAAAATATTCCCTGAAGAGGAAATAGGGTTAAATGATAAAACGGCTTGTCAAAGATACCTTGATTGTTATCTTGCAACACTGTCTTAAGTTATACGATGTGAAAAATATGAGTCTGGGACTCTTGAGAATACTACTACCTGAAATATCCCCCTTCCTCCCATTGTAACCACAATCGTTATGTCCGATTATGATTACACCTTTCTGTGATGATAATCCACTCAGAAATGGACTAATGTCTTTGGAATGAATATAGTGGATTTCAGCAAAAATATTGTTACACATTTAAGACACTGTATAATTTTCTAAACCTCCTTACAGAAAGTGTCATGTGACACGAGTATTGGACAAGAGACTTTACTACAGGATGAAGAGGTTTAACCGAAAAGAAGAACTGCACAATAATGAGTTTTGATTAGAAAATGTTTGCGTGCTTCCTCTATTTGGTATTTAGACCAAAATATGTTTTGTACAAGCACAAGAGGTCTTTTGAAGGTTTCAATAGTTCCTTTGTGCGGTCGCTGGTAAGTCTGTCTGTGTTTGAAGTGTCAAATACTGGCCAGTGAGGCGCCTTGTCCCAAAACTCGGAATGGAAAAACGGTGTAAACGGGATAAGGACCTTGCTGTCGTCAGATGCATTTCGGAGTTCTTGGCGCCATTGTTCAAGAGGAAGAGACTTCAGACCCATTCCTTTGAAAATGTCCTTAAAAGGAATTGTCTGAGAATTGAACAGATGATAAACATGTTCATGATGGTTACTGTCGTTGCAAATCTGCAGAGAGATTTCCACCATTGCCTTGGCTACATAGTCCACTGGTGTGAGATCGTAGGGAAAGTCCATGTCGGGAAACGACCCTAATTGCGTCATACCGATTAAGGTAGACGCGAAAAGGTCGTTCCTTGGACCAGCGCCGTCAAAAGAGCATCCAGATATTCTTGCTGGTCGGAATATAGCTCCGCCAGGGAGGTACTCGAGTGCTTGCACGACCAATTTTTCACTTGCCCATTTGCTTTTTCCATAGCCCCCTTCTAAGGTGCAAGGGTCATCCCAGAACTCGGTCTCATAACACATTCGATTGGTTGGTGGTGTGCTGGAAGGGCTGTTGGGGAAGAGGAAAACGCTCAACGATGACGTTGAAAATATATATTTCTGAGTGCCTGTTACAGCGAATTTGATGAATTCCTTGGTACTGTCGACATTTGCAACCTTGTGGTCATCATAATCAGTGTTGAAATTCATCTTGGCTGCATTCATGAATACAACATCGATGACGTTGCAAAGTGCCGTGTAAATGTCTGGCGCTATACCGAGATTTTCCTGTGATAGGTCGGATATCACTACCGCGATTCTACTCCCATATTCTACTTTCCATAAGTTGTACTTTCTGAGATTTTCAACTATTCTACCGAATCCCCTTGCCTCTGTAGATTCTCGAACCATACAACACACATGAGCGTTTGTTTGTTCAAGAAGTTCAGACAGGAGATACGCCCCCAGGAATCCGGTCACGCCTGACATTAGAGCGTTCCTTGGGTATTTCATGGAACATTTCTGTACAAACGCCGAGAAGTGACTGAACTTAATAGAGCCACGCCTAGCATGTTGAGGTATGATCGATGGATCTAGAATAGAATCCTGCACTATTACCTGACGAAGATCACGCAGATCATTTGAATTGTTTTGATTAGATCTTCGGAGCATATCTTTCTTTCTTCTGATGACGTCGCAGAATTCCTCTATCGTATCTGCCATACCTAGGTCTGTAAACGACAACTGGATATGGAGCTTGTCTTCTAACGTACGCTGTAGGAGCACCAACTGCAAAGAGTTGCCGCCGAGTTCACTGAAAGATGTCTGGCGGTGAAATTCATGTATTATCGATTCGTTAAGTTTGAGAACTGTACACCAAAGTTGAGCTATAGCAAGTTGCGTTTCGTTTAGATGACTGCCTCCACCAAATCTTGATTGTTCATGTACAGATTCGTCTTTTTCAAGACGTTTTCTGTCTATTTTGCCATTCAGTGTCATTGGGAAGTCAGCTACCTCAATTTTCTTAATGAACGTCGGTATCATGTATTTTGGAAGAGCTTTCGTCAAGTACTCCCGTAATTCCGACAAGTACACGAAAGAAGGTGCCACATACGCCGCTATACTAATCTCATTCGAGTCTGTACATCTATGTGCTACAACGACAGCAAGTTCCACCTTTGTATGTTGAATCAGAACTTGCTCAATTTCACTAAGGTCAACTCGTTGGCCCCTGATCTTTATCATGTCATCCAACCTCCCGATGTAAGTGATATTGCCATCATTTGATTGAAACGCGTGATCGCCTGTTTTGTATAACAGGCAAAGCTGATCTGTCATTGGATTCTGGACAAATCGTTCCAAGTTGTGCTCCGCTGCGTGACCGATGTATCCCTTGGATACACCAATACCTCCTACGTAGATCTCGCCAACAACATCAGGAGGAACTGGTTTCATGAAGTTGTCAAAAAGATATACACTCATGCCAGGTATGGCCATGCCAATTGGTAAGTCTTGAGTGTTGTCGACGTGGACATCGGACGATTTGAATTCATAACATGTTGCACAAACAGTTGTTTCAGTCGGGCCGTATGCGTTGAAGAATCTTATTGTCTTGTTGTCGACCGTCCATTTGAGGGCAGTTCCTAGCGAACAGGCTTCTCCAGCGGTAACAACCTTTTCTAGTTTGGGTAGGTCGTTTGGACTGTATATGTTGAGGGCGGATGGGGGCAGTGTGATTGTATTCACATCCAGCATGTTTAACGTACGGATGAATTCCTGGCCTAAACGTTCTTCGTCGGAAAGAGTAACGAGAGTTGCACCAGAAAATAGGGCTGTGAATATTTCAGATACCGTCGCGTCGAATCCAATGGAGGCGAATTGGGCAATCACATCACCATCGTGAAGACTCCAGAGCTCTATCTGCGCTTTAGCGAGATTGACGACACCGGAGTGGCTTACTTGAACTCCCTTAGGTCTACCAGTGGAACCTGACGTATACATCACGTAACAAAGTTCCTCATCTAATATCTGACTCGTCATTTTTGAAGTAAAGCCATTGTTCTGGAGAATCTTAAAGTCATCAGCATCGCATTCTCCATTTTTTGTCCTTCCACATTCCTCATGTCCATTCAGAATTCTGCCAGTCTGGACGCCGCCTTTTTTTGCCTTTCCATCAATGATATGGACAAAGTCATTTTCATTTCCTTTCACCTTGTTCTCATTTTTCGCAAATCGAACAAGTATTACTTCATTACGATCTATCTGCACAGCATCTGCTCCTACCTGTGTCAATGAAAATCCCTTAGATTTCAGGTTTTCATAAACTGAGGCGGTAGTCAACATACTATGGACTTTTGCATCTCGCAGAGTGAAAGTCATCCTTTCTTCAGGGTAATCTATGGGAAGTGGCAGAAATGCACGATTGGTTTTCAAAACGCCGATGACGGAGACTACATATTCCATTGAATTTGGAAAATGAAGTCCAATGATTCTTTCATCTTCATATGTGGCATCAAGAAGGCATGAAACCTTCATTGCTAACTCGTTACACTGGTTGTAGGTGTATGATGTAGCTGATGACCGCAGAGCTATGTTATTTGGACTAGACCTACACTGTTCTTCGAAAACGTCATAAACGCTTTTGGTTGACGGCTTGAAAGGAAGAGGCTGTAGATAAAGTTGTTTAAGTTCCTCGTCTGAGACTAGATGAGTCTCGTGCAAAGGCTGATTCAGGTCACTAGTAGTGAGAAATGTTGGGAAGTGCTGAAGAACATCACTGATATATTGGAAATCTTGACCGATCTTTTCCTTGTACATCAAATGCATCTCATCTCCGTCGTCATTAAACAGTAGCAATATGTTGCAGTCATGAAGAACGTGCTGTGCAACACCGGTAGCTGACGCATGACTAGGAATTTGGCCTATCGCTATGTTATGGTGAGGTGTTCTCTTTTGTCCACGGAGTTCAGGGTACCTGTAAAACGCATCTACTAAGAACGATTGTGCCTCTCTGTAAGTTTTTATCATTTCGTAAAGGTCATGCAAGACAACATGTGTTTTCTGCTGTAGATCGACGGTGAATACTCCTGGACAGATGTCAGAGTAAAGTCCTCTTGCCATTTCGGGTACAGTCGACTTGTTTGCCAGGATACCGAGAGAGACATTCGAGTTACAAGTCATTCGTCCGATGAATGCAACAAATGCTGACATAAGAAGTTCACAAGTATGTGTATGGAAGCTGTGTCCATTCATGTTTGGGACGGGTAGCGGAATAACGATCGACTTGACGTTGATTGCTGTAGAAACATCTATGATACCTGCAACCACATTCATTCTTTGTCGGAAAAATGTCGTTGGATCATAAATCTTTAACTTTCTTCTCCAAAATGTCTCCTTCTTTCTTATTTGTGTCAGATTTTCCGTGTCTACCGCAAAATTACTTGAAAGCTTTTCACCAACCGATATCCCAAGATCGCTGTATTCTGATGGCGACAGATGGGATCCATCCAATTTTGTAATTGACAGCAAAACCGAGTTTCCCTGCGTTTTGACAACCAAAGTATCGTCAACTATTTCTGTGATAGTTCCATGTTTAACATGTTCGTCAAAACTGCAATTAGATTCTTCGACATTTGTGACGAGCACAAAATCGCCTGTTGATGTCATAACTTTGGGGCTTCCAAGTGCATTGTCATGAGTTCCGAACTCCAGTCCCCTTCCAAGATTGCAGATATTTGTACAGGACGTCTGGAAATTAAGGACTCCAATGTTTGGCGGTATGGCATGCAACCCGTAATACGACCTTCCAGAAACCGGTTGTGTCGTTCGGTTAATGCAGTCCTGTTTAACATCCTTGATCAGAATTTGGAATGCTGATTTGGCTGCTTCTTGGCATTTCATATTTAATGTGAATGCAGAATCGTCAGGATCAATTTTAACTGCTCTTGTCTGGAGAATATCTCCAGTGTCGATACCCGTCTCGATTACGTGCCAGGAAATACCATGGTTCGATTCGCCATTGATGATGGCCCAGCTGGTTGCGTGGATTCCAGCATATCTGGGAAGTGGTGAATCATGGTAGTTGATTGACAGTTTTCTGGGTATTTGTAATACAGAATCTGTCAAAACTCTAGGATTAGATATACTAAAAAGATAGTCAATTGGAATATCTCTCAGGGCATGTTCGATATCTGTTCCTCTTTTCCACTGAAGTATTTTCTTCTCTTCGCAGAAGGTTTTGACTACAGGTGTATCTGTGAAGACGGCTGAAATAGTGAAGCTGGCATCTGTCAAATATTCTAGGCAAGACAGAAGCAGATTACCTTCTCCAATGACAGCGCTAGGAATTGACCGATCGGAATCTAGCGCGGCGATATAGCTCGTGCATGACGTAATGTCAGGGATATCAATCACAGGCATTCTGGCTGTAAACCTGTAATAAATGAAAGTTCAACAGTGTTGACAGTATCTATCACTATATTGTTGATGTTTTCGATTCCTTTTTGGAAATGAAATGAACACCTAAGAAAAATATCAGATGTGGTATTTAAGCTTGATAGTCTCCACAGACAAAATCATATATATGTTCTGTAGACTTAAACCTGAAAAATTCTTAACATGGCGACAATATTTTACGCATTAAATATATTTCAAAGGTTATTGGATTCAGAATATATACATTTACCTGAAATTTACAAAAGACATCGTTGTGTAAAAGGCACACATTTAGCACAATTTAATACAAATTGAAAATCAGACACTGTAGTGAATTATAACAGCTGTTAAGTCCTTTTTTCTGGTAGCAGTACACAGTTTTTGTGCATTAGATTACCCCATTATAAAAGTTTAAATTAGAAGTCTTGGTGTGGTCTTTATATTTTTGCTTTGTGATGGAGATTACGATTTGGGCAGTCTCGAATCTGTGTCTAAACACCAAAAATTACCTTTACAGACAGTTAAATTTTTAGTAGTCATGTTGTAAAGCCATACTAAGTTGGGATTTCAAAAGTTTTGTATTATGTTTACAATGTAGTTAAAATAATCTTTACTCTGAAAAAAATATTTCTTTCTATGATATATTACAAGAAACATTGTAACTCGGGTGACCGTGTATGTAATAGGTAGTCGATGAACTATTGAAAGTATCCACGTAACAGTATTTCTTTTCTTGAAATACCATGAAAATTGTATGAATATCTAATTTCACAGCAACTAGTTTGTAAATCCATTGACGTCATGTTGTGTCATTTAATCTCAGGCGTAAATTTACATCAGCATTCTCAATTGGACATAAAACGTAATAAAACTAAAACGCTAAGGATTTAACAATATGCGAAAATGTCATAATGCTATAAATCAAAATTGTTTGATGTATGAAGGAGAAAGAACAGGACATTCATGTAGTTACACAAACCGATAACTTGAATATTTACTTTTGTTTTCCTTTATAATTTCCTCATTTGTTCACCTATCCCACATTTGTTCACACTACTGACCCGCCCTTTAGTCATGGTATTATTTGCTGTTTCCAAGAACAAGTTGCTAACGTATGAGTATACATGTATTGAAACGCATCTGCGATGGAGCACAACCTATGATATCCTTGAGGGTGTGTTATTAGATGTTTTTATGAACAAATGCTGGCAGATTCTTTACATTGACATTCTCTTGATTGCGGTGTATATGATCAGTTTGCAGCATGGAGAAATAAAACGAACAACTATACAACACCTAGCTACTTACTACTGATGAGGCCTCTGAGCCATAGATGAACTAAGACACAGTTGTCAATGATATGCAATGCGCGAAGACATTGATTTTCTAAAAGAGATGTTTTTTGCATGCCTGCGAAGCTGTAAACAGTGCAATAATCGGACGTGTGCAATAATACGACCTCCAGAAAGAAAGAAATACACTAGGCCAATTGTCTATTATAAGTTTTTTTTAACGTGGTGTGCAGGTCACGGAAATCTCGAAGATTGAAAATCTACCAGTTGCAATTTTAAAAATTGTACAAAAGACACAAAAAATGAATACAAAATAATGATTAAAACAGGTGGAAAGTTGTTCGCGAAGGTATATATTCTACATCAATTTTGATGATGAAAACTTTTCCCGATTTCATACATTTTCATTTCTGACGAACGCACAAAAAACACCATACATACTTTTGTCACTGGCTTAATCTTTAAGGAAAATATTGAGTTAAATTTTTAAAATTCCGATCTAGAATTTAAAAGATATAGATAACTGGTAAATATTTTGTTTAAGATCATCAATAAAAAGAGCATATGCTTGTGATTGTTGTTATGCAAAATCAATTTGATGAATTATTATTGTTAAAAAAACGTGAAAAATCCTAACCCACTCCTTAATGGCAGCACTTAATAATAAAACACAAGTACATGCTTACTTACCGTTATTTGTGTGTAAACAAAATTGCATTTTTTTTCTCCAAAATTTTAGGTTTGTGGGTGACACTAGTCTAATTACTGCATGTTGTTCGATGTCTACCTTTATCTACTTCTGAAAGATTTGCCTTATATTCGGAGGCTTCATAATCCCCTTTGACCTTTCAGAACCGAATAGGCCAGTTAGTACAAACTACTGGACATGAAGATGACCACGACTTGACCATAATCGAAATTCTAGGTTTAGAGAGAACTGTAATGCGCTGAGATAGTGACGCTATTAGTGAAACAACAAGGAGATACAGTTGACAAATTCGTATTCAAATTCAAATCGATGACAAGTGGGCGAAGCATAAAGAATAAATCAATAAAAAAATCAATAAATAAGTATATAAATAAATAGATAAATAAATAAATACAAACTTTAATAGTTTTTTTTCAAGACGGAACATTATTGTTTCTCAAAGTATCCAAACTCATAGCTCATAGGAGCATTACTTAATGTTTCTTGCAATATAAATAGAAAATGTCAATTTCCATTCAAATCTAAGGCAGATATTTTCGTTCTCGTGTTATTAAGCGCCATAAGTAAGAAAACAGGATTTGATTAACAAGATGTTTCCTCTTGAATAACATCCAATACAACCAAGTAAGTAATTACTTAATAACCATAAAGTGCACAACAATACTTCGCTGTATTCTTTTCATGGTTTACATTTGTCCACATATGATGAAATTTTGCATGTACACTACCGCAATTTCTTTTACTTTAAGCCTTTTACTTTCTCTTCACTCAAGCATAAGCATATACACCCAATGTTGAACTCCTTCGGGCTACTAGAATTGTTTATACACAACATAATAAAAAATCATATTATTGTTTTCATATGTATGTATCATTTATGTATTTTATGTGTTTTGTTCATAAAACAAACAATGTCAACGTTAACAATACTTTATAGATGTGATCTTTGAACTATGATAAAAACAAAAAAAGGTATGTACCATTTATTTGAATAAAATGACAACAGACTTACTGCAGAATTTGCTCACTGGGACACTGTATTACAGACGGAAAAATACTGATGCATGTTTTGTTTTAATATGATTACATTGGATTTATCCAATGTTTATTTGACCAGAAGACAATAGTGCACCTGTATACGTATATAAAGATAAGGTTTTTCTTTGTATATTGTGATGACAGTTAAGCGTTAAATTGTGGAGCTACCATGTTCATTTTTTTTAAATTGATGAATATGATAAATACATGTACTTAACACTTTTTTTAATTATCAGAGATTTGAAATTTATTAAATTTACCAAACTATGAGGCTAGTGCACCTCATTATCTAGATTTTGACATTTCTTTCAATCATTTTGGATTTTCCTCTGTTGCCTCATAGGTTTAAAATCTAGGTCCTTAGCATCATTGATGAATCCTAGGAGAGCGAAACAGCTGTATGATGCAGTTTATTTCATCGTTTGGCTCTAGGATATCATCTTAAAATTTGTATTAAAATGTGCTATTTACTTGTGCATTTTTTGTTCAATCTTCATGTTCGATTCTCGTTAGCATGCCTGATGGTCCGATGTTGTTTAACTAACTCTTATTTGAGAACATTACATTGGATTGACCATAATTTACATGGCAAGTGTCGTCAATAAAGTACGGAAACTTTCTCTGTCAAAGCCGGTGTCAGACTTTCTTTCCTTGATATTTTACCCCCAGTTCATTGATGTTAAAATTATGTTAAGACTCTATTGGTATGTTGGTATTTTCTTTACTGGTGTACATAAATCTTTTACGTCGTTATCACTGAAATTTTCTCTTTTTGACACAATCATATACTACCATTGAATCGTGAGTATGCTGTTTGTCATTGTTCAATTTTGTTTGTGGGTAGATAAACAACTAACAGTATTATATTACTTTTATTATAGTGTTATATTCCTGTTTTTAATTAGACACAAGGCGGAGTTTTGTTCTTCTCTTGCATCAAAGATAATATCAATTTCAATATGTCAGCGAAACAATTTACTTTTTAATCTCACTTCTTGATCTATTACAATCGATTCATTATTAATAAGAATTGTTTTTTTTTCGTGTAGTGTTAATTTTTTTTCAGTAATTTGTAACAGGATTAAGATTATTTTTTTTTTGTTTTATTACTTAACAAGTGAAAATAAAATGAGCTTAATATATCTGCTAAGATAATGGAGGCCAATTAGACAGTACTTATCAGACAAGGTAAGTACTATATATGCAGGTAAGAATCCATTTATAGCTTTGAGAACGTGATGTACTGAGGGCTACACTGAACAAACAGACTTGTATAGGGAGCACTGATTCACACGTACCAACATAAGGCGAAGTACTTAGGTCGAGGAGAACTTCACTATCTCTCAGGAGAAGTGCTCCCTAATCACAATATACTGCGTGTAAGGTTAGGTAAGATCGTGATAATGGAGATCTAGATATTGTACAATCTAGTTTCCTTACTTAATATTGAACATAAAGTACCAGCTTATAATATACTGTGTGTGAAAGAAGAGGAGAGAGAGGGGCATTTTGTTTTGATTTTTTTCATCACATTGAAGTTGACATGCATGACACCACTGGCTTCATCACGAACAAGCTTCCTTTTTCCAGCCTTCTACAGAAGAAAACATTAAGTACTTTTGTATATACAATTATACATTTCAAGTCATCTATTCATGATCACAATAATTATGTACTGACTTGGATCCTTACATAAACAATCCTTTATCAAAACAGCTTTCGTTTGGATAGCATATGACCTGGCTCAATTTATAACTGACATCTAAATGATCTTAAAACACAAATATATCACAACTAATTGGTATGATAAGTGTGATAATTCCCAACGCTTGTTTCTGTGTGTTTTTTAATCATCAATACCCGATTCCTCATTTTGAGATCATGAAATAAATTACGATACACGTGACGAATGTAAAGGTTCTTACCCTTCTAGAACACATTGTCTGATACTCTTTGCATTTTGTTCCCTGGGCAAATATCTAAACATTAATTCTTATTTTCTTTATTTTGAGTTATCCTCAGTATTTATTTACATGTCGTTTTGTTTATAACCGCGACACTGGTCACCAAGTTCGTGGTAAACAAAGGACAGCAGGTCAAGTTAATATAGTTTGGAAGCACCGCAGTCACTAGGTGGTCACGTAACAGAAACTGGCCTTTAGGTATACCTGTAAGATCTCATTAATCATTTGAACTATTGACCTTAGTATGAGCAGATATGTCACGTTATTCAAGCTTCAACTGTAAGTCTACTTTGAATTTTGTTTGTATCATATTTGCGTATATCCCAAATTATATAAACGAATTTTGCACATAAAAACATCAGAATGAAAATGTATTTTTCATTCGAAAATCCATTTTGAATCACTCAATGTTTCTCTAATTGAATAAATGTGATTTATGTTAGTTACAAAATTTTGAATGAAAGTGTGTTATGCACAGAAAATATGTATTTAAATGAAAGTTGAGAGCTCTTGTTGATCACAGAATGCCACATAAATAGGCAATCTCAGTTTTTACTATCATTGAAGTGTCATTCAAGGTTTTCTTTTACATATAAAATAGATTAATGGGTTATATATTCTCATACATTCATTGATAATATTTTATAATCAAATGATGGGTGGATGCCAAGAAAGTAGCCCCTCCCACCCATTCCCACCCTTCCACCCCCATTACTTATTCTCCATCCTTTAAACAATGCAAACTATACCTTATTAGAACATATCATGATAAATGTGTATTTACGCACAAGAGAAAGTATATCTTTTACATAATCTAGCAGTTATAAAACTGGGTCACCGTGACCTACTATGAGTTTTTTTCAATCGATTTTATGATCTACAGCTTTCGTATTGCCTGATGCAAGATGAAGATTACAAAAATATTACGTATTTCGTTAAAATATGAAAAATTATGAATGTTACCCTACTCCATCTCCCCCTCCCCAATTAACACCTTTTGGTCAAACCTGATCCACAAATGTAAACTTACCAGGTGGTCCAAATCGACACTCACCTCTTAGGAAGAAGTGATATGAATAATTATTAGCTTGAACAAAAGAGTTTTATAAAATACACCCATTAAAATATTAATCTGAATTCAATACAAAGTCAATAATTTGTCTTATAAATAATAGAACCATTAAAATGTTTCGACCTTTCAGGACTTTCAATGATACCAAGACTCACAAGTGTGGAAATTTAAAGGGAAGCCGGGACATCAATATATCACCGAAAATAAAATCAATACTTTTCCGTGAATTCCAAGGAAGCTCCAGCAGATAAGTTGGAACCCCTACGCTTCGAATTTAATCATGGCGAAGAGGACTGGGAGAATGAAAAAGCTTTATCAGAGCTACGCAACCTGATGTCTTAGATTCAGCAGATTGTGTGTGGATACATGGCAACTTTCTTGTAGCCAAGGAATAAAGGCACCATGTACTTGTTTCAACATGTTTGATTTAATGAAATTTTTTTATTACAAGCACTCTCGATACTGCTGTGTTTGATAACTGGAACAATGTTATTAGAGTAAGTCCTTTAATTGAATGTTAATTGACTAATTATTTGTTCAGTTTTAATCTTTTGATATGAACCTCTGAATGTTCGAATTCAACTGCTACAGTTATTCAATCCCAATTACTTGAACTTACATAAGAATACAACAACATTTCTTACTTTCTTTTAGACATAAATATATACATGTGTCTTTGTAATAAATAAATATCTAACTATTGTATCTAATTGTTTATATATGTACATATGCCTTTGTTATGATAAATATCTGACTATTGTATCTAATTGTTTATATATGTACATATGCCTTTGTTATGATAAATATCTGACTATTGTATCTAATTGTTTATATATGTACATATGCCTTTGTTATGATAAATATCTGACTATTGTATCTAATTGTTTGTCCACTGGAAATTACATGCTGATTTTCTTTGAATCTTACTTTAGAGGTCGGTTAATGTTAAAATTGTATATGACACTAGTGACAATTAGAACCTGAGAAGGAAGCTTGGAAAATCGTCGATGCTCAATGAATTTGGTAAGTTTTGGATATCGAATTCAAAGAAGCATCAAAGAAGCTTTCATCTTCTTGCCATTGATATTAGGATCCAGAAGGGGTACACAATGCGTCTTAACGATTGTATTGATAATTTATATATTGGATGTGTACATTTTAAACTGTTGATAAAAATCAAGACCTGTCATGCAATATAGCTTCTTACCTCAGGGAATGCCGTCCATCTGCAGACCTCAATACTTAACAATTTAAAAGAAAAATTTTAAAAAGCCTATTCTGAATAAAACTACGTCACAGAATCCTTAAATGATGCAAGGGGTCAAAAATCTAGGAAACCCTGAAGTGAAATTACGCAATCGTGGGTTTAAGAAACATGATCTAAAAATATTATCTACTTAAAAGAACATAAAAGAAATACCATTAAATCGTCATTTAGACATAATTTAGAATAAATCTAGTTAAGTATCAATTTTTAAAACCATTTTGGTCCATTTATGTAGCCTAATGACTTTCCACTTTCCATTACTAAGGAAATATGACTTTTTATTTTCAAATTCATATTTCATTGTTTAAACAAGACAACAATACAGAACACGGACTCAGTTATGTTACAATATGTAAACAAATGATTTATTAATCTTAAAATGTGAATAACATATCTCAGAATAGCATTTTATGTATGTTTCAGCCGTAAGAAATGGTAAAGATATAAAGCAGATGGTAAATGGTAATTAAACATGTAGAACTGCTGCAAACATTTTGTTAACTGGGAGGATAAGGTTGTTTAGATCACCCTATAAATTCAGAAAGTTTGTCAAATGGTTCTGTTCCAAAATGATGAGAACCAAAACTGAAGAAAGCAACGACACTGTATGTAGGACACGTCTCAAGTTGTAATGTCAATTGAATGTAAACATCGCTTCCATACTAGGTCAAGTGATATTAAATGGTTTGGTACGTGGAACAGCCATGAACAACATGTCTTTGTCCGGATGAACTACGGCATGTGTCCAGTCTACCACAAACCGAAGGTCAGGAGTCTCCTCTGTTGGCCTGAAATCAAATTTATTGAGCAAAATCGCAATAGCCAATCGGATCTCGAGCCACGCTAGGTGCTGACCAATACAAACTCGCGATCCGGCACCGAATGGAATGTATAAATTTGAACTATGATTTTTGGAAGTGCTTTCGTAAAAGCGAAAAGGTACGAAGTCATGCGGATGGTCCCACGCGTATGGTGATCTATGAATCCCCCAGGTAAATACCAGCAGGTCGCTCTGCAATCGACAAAAAAGCCAATATTAGTATACTGTTTACATTCCAAGGAACTGATGTTAGTCATTTTTGGCATTGAATAAAATATTGAACAGGATTACCTAGGTCCTGATATCCATGATAAATTAGCCGTGCTTCGAACATTTGCTAAATTATCCAAACATACAAAATAACATATGCATTATTTTTTAGAAAGACGTTGTGACCGTTATGAATGGGAAAATTGACAACAGACATTAAACGTAGAGTTGTAATGGTAACTATACATTGTTATTGTCACTTGACTATATCTAAACTATAACGACAACATGAATGCAACACTATGATAAGATGTTTAAATATGACCTGAGTGATTGCCATAACAACCTAATTGTTAAGAAAATCGTATAAGTAGTTACTATGGTAACGTAACCATAATTCATGTAGATGTATTTCACTATGGTAACATAACTAGGTGTTCAAATAACACGACTGTAACGTTTAACTTACATGTTCCTGCAGATCAATCTTGCCTATAGTCACGGGGCCGTGGTTCTGTCTACTGATGAAAGGCGCAATAGGATACAATCGGAGTACCTCCTTCATAACGCTATCTATCTTCGGCAAAGGGAAGTTCGGGTCTTTCCGTAAACTGTCTATATTTTCATCAGCTTCAGCCTGGAGTTCCATCTAATTGTACATAAACGTATTTTGTGAGTTTGTTTCCAACGTTCCAAACAAACAAATAAAGCGAACATTATCATTTACATCATCTGAAGAATGTTCTAAACTAGAAGTGTGATATTATAAAAACAGACATATAGTATATCACGTGACCTACTATGAAGAACTAGATGTGTCGGAAAAACACAAAAGTTTCTGCAGGGAACGAAGGAGATGTTTATATTTTGTAAGTGTTATCGACTTTGTTAAGGTTGTAAAGGATGTATAAAGGTCTAGAGGCCAAATTGATCAAATTCAATTTTAAAAGCAAAAATGCAGAATATATATATGTAACGGGAGATAATCCACCCTTCATCAATCATTATTATTTTTTTACTCCATAATAGGCATTCTTTGTTATTTTCGAGGCAATATGTTTTCCTCTTTTATTAAAAGGTAGTAGAATGACAACTAAATGATAGAAAATTAAGGGGAAATGTTAGATTTTCATTTAATTTTACGATCTTAAAACTGCACTGCAACCAAAAAGTGAAAATTTTGAAAATGATTTATTTGATCGTGTACTAATCTTTTAAAAAGACTTTATGCTTTCATATGAACATTTTCATGATTAAAAAGTGGGTCGTTGTGCCTTATAATTTTGCAGTTTTATCCTATTAGTCTTTTTCCAAAAGATAAAGCTGTTTTCGAGTGCCAAAAAAATGATTAACCAAGTCGAAATCCACGAATTCAAACTCTTAATGTTATAGTAATAATTCATGCAAAAAATGCATTGTTAACACTTTGGGTAAACTAAAAATTCCCATTGCAAGGTTCTCCAGGTTTAAATCAAGCTTATTAAAGTTAGTAAATAATAATTATCATTTTAAAATCAGAAGCAGACTTGCATGATTATGTAACAATAGTTGTGTGTATACTAATCGTTACATCCTCGTACATTGCCGTATTACAGTTCAATATCTGTATCCGAAGTGATGAACATAAACGAAATTATGACGGAGTAATGAAATGAAGGACAAGTGAACACTTTGTATCGTTAATCATGGAATGACGGGATATATCGATAGACAGGTAAAATAGAACAGGTAAGACAGGATGATTATCTGGATGTGAGGATACCTCGATAGACAGGTAAAATATACCGGGTGAGACAGGGTAGCTATCTGGATGTGGGGATACCTCGATAAACAGGTAAAATATAACAGGTAAGACAAGATAGTTATCTGGATGTGAGGATACCTCGATAAACAGGTAAAATATACCGGGTGAGACAGGGTAGCTATCTGGATGTGGGGATACCTCGATAGACAGGTAAGATATACCAACTAAGAGAGGATGGTTATCTGGATGTGAGGATACCTCGATAGACAGGTAAAATATAAGAGACAAAAATTACCTGGATATGCGGATACTTTGATAAACAAATATAACAGGTAAGACAGGATGGCTATCTGGATGTGATGATACCTCGATAAACAAACATTACAGGTAAGAGACAAAGATTACCTGGATGTGAGGATACTTGGTAAGAAGGTAAAATATAACCGGCAAGGTAGATGCTGTGGTTTCTGTGCCAGCCATCAGAAACAGTTTCATGTTGTCTTTGGCCTGAAACAACAGTATATCCCGACATTACACGGAACACCGGGAATTTAAACGTTTTTATAAAAACCGCGAGTTATCAAAACTCAGAAAGTCAATTTACCTTATAACTCTTTTTTTTAAAACAACTTAATTAATTTGAATCGTAAATGATAAAAAAATATATTCAATATATGATTCTTTAGAATTCATGTTATTACATACATATTTAAAATCAATAACTTCAAATCATTAATTTGTAGATAAGACTGCTAGTATTTTTATAAGCACAATGTTAATAGATATTTCGATATAATATGTACCTGTTCGAAGCCACAAGCCTCGTAAAGCTGGAAAACCAGCCTCTTGTCCTCCGTCTGATCATCCTTGTTGAGTGCGTTCTCTAAGATCTGTGACGTCAGACGGTCCAGGTTCTCGGTTGCCCGTATGAACTCACTGCTGTTAGTAGTTATTTCGGCTAGAGCGTAACACCTCCAGAAAACATATACAAAATAAGTCACATAATAAACAAAGTCAAAAAATAAAATTTCCGTCCTTTCTCCATCATATTAACATTACAACAAAACCACATTTAAAAAGACTTTTATCACTGCTTCAAGAGTAAAACCAAAATGTAGGATATTGTTTCCTTTAAAAATAGTTAATGAACTAGCCGTTAAGAAAGGAGGGTATCTTAAAACTACTTATATACGGTTAGATATCTCCAGTAAACAACGTCGACGTTTGAGCTCCTTGTTCACCTACCTGTGCAGAATGGTCATCATTGAATCAAGCAGACGATCTTGATGACCTTTTAGTCCTCCAAGGTCAAGATGCAATAGCACGTGACCGACTACGTCCAGAGCGAGTCTTAAGCTGAACTGGGTAATATTCACTGGTCTTGACTTGCTACTGACCTCTTGCATATTTCGACACAAAAGGTCAAGGTCACGGATCATTACATGACCTCTTTCATCTATAGAAGTTTTACGAAAAATAGAAGCTATAGCACGTCTTGTTTCTGGACTTTTTTGAGAAGATCCTAAAAACGTATCTTTGAGTGGAGAATCTTCTAAGTAGTTGTCTGCTCCTTTGTCTAGTTTATGAATGGCAGTTTGTGCTAGTTTCTCATCAAACAGATATATTTTCTTTTCATATTTGAACAGACCAAATTTATGATAAAATTGACAAAGGTATTCTAGCTTTTTCAGTTTGTCGTCTCCGAACAGTTGGTTTAAAAGCAGATTGACAATGGCGCCAGTCTCTGGTACTGTTGTACTGCAGCACTGCAACAAATGAAAGTATGGTTAATTACACTCTGTGATTATGGTTTTTATGTTTCACTCCAGTATTTTACAATTTGATATAACCTTTGTTTAAGAAGATAATGATTTTTCCTGTACCTGAATTGAAATTTACATTGCGGTAACCATGTACTGCTATCTCGATGTCTTACTTCTAGATGTCTTACTGATATAAAATGTCACGTTCCCAAAAACAGAACAATGTAAATAAATACGGAACCAAGAGGCAGATTAACAAGCATCAATACATGTCCAGCTTCCCGAATATTTCCTGACGAGATCGTTATAAAGACATTTAAACCTTCCCATCATTTTCATCAATTTGCAAATCTGGAAACCCTGTGTTGTGCATTTGTCTGTCAGTTGTCTATATCATGCACGAAAGTCATGATGTAGAAAATAAACTCTTGAATATCAAACAAATATTGTTTTTTGTGCCCAGCATTAGAGTCGTCATTTCAAATCCCTCAAGCAATTTCTTACCATGTGATACCCAAAAGTGTAATGTGGGACTTGCGCATGTGTGCATGTATTTCTCAGGTTTTTTTAAACATAAAAATTAGCATAAGATGCTGAGAAATCATATCTAATTGAATCATTTCAGAATGTTTAGACATCTTAAACGAAAAGTTAGTAATACTCACCATATAATTGACATATTTCAGAAAGTACAACACACCGTGGATGATGATACTGACACCAGTTGACGCCATCTTGTTGGTCCGAATCTCCAGAAGTAAACAAGCAAATGAAAGAGTCTTAATTACCTTGGCACAGAACAACTTTAGAACGAATATTTTCTGATTGATATGTGTTGGACTGGACAGATCGAGCCGCTGTTACACTCACTAAACAGCTCAACGTTAATACTGAAAATAAGTATTTCAAAGTATCGCCTATTGAATAATATGGATATCTTTGCATACGTGTTCACGTTTGTATACATGTAGTGTTATCTGGTATACCACACGTTCTCTGTATTTTTTCTCAGTAGATCGAAATTGTATTAACAGTATTTTTTAATTAAAATCTTTTCAATTTAATTTAGATTTAACCTAGTTTTTAAAACATGACTGTCTATATTACTATATTTAGTTGTTTTCGAAAACAATCACAAATGCTGATGGACTCACCTGTAACAAAATGTTTATCGAAGGTCAGTCTGACTGGTCACTCTGGACGGATTATGTAGTTACAAGTGAGATAAAGACTCCCTAATCTTACATGTGCGATAACAGCTGGCGTTAACCTATTCCGTGTACCACACACGTGTATGTGCCCCTTTCTTACAAACTGTATTCAACATGGCGGATGACTTGGATCTCCGTACCGACGCTATTACAAGCTACGATGGTATATTCAAAAGTATCCATGACCCAGAAATCCGGAATGACTTTCACAAGGCGAGAAAGCTGCTGTCATCAGGAAATTGGGATGCCGGGAAGAAGCTTCTATGTGATGCTTTGAGTAAGACCACTGAGAGTCACCTCGACAACAAATGTCTCTCACTCATCATAAGCGAGGTTAGAAGATATGAAGAAAAGAAAATGCCACCTGGTACATCTCCAGAGAGAGTTATACCATGGGAAAATATCGTGGAAAGAGACTTGAGGCGTATTAACGAGCCATTTCATCACCTACCACAAAGTGTATTTTTCCTTGATGTGGGAAAACCTGGTGTTCCGGGTTCGTGGAGATTGGTCGGAAGAAAGATTTTGTCAGATTATTGGATTGCCGGGAAGATACCGGAACTCCACTGCAGCTTGGTGACAGCTGATATGATTCTGGGCTTGTTTTACGATGAGCGCATTACTGAGAAGGAGGTACAGGTCAGTTATTATCCCTTAGGTAATTCCGAGAAACTTAAACTGTTTGAGGATATCATGACTAGGGACTCATCCAAAGTCGAAATTATCTATCCCTTCCCACTCCTTAGGGAGTCCTCCAGAAAGGAGCTGTGTTCCCCAGCGGAGGGATGGAAGGTTGACGATACCTATGATGCAATGCTCAGCCATGGAGAGGAACGGATAAGACAGTATACTGTTCAGTTCTTGGGTGGTGTTGCCATGACAATGGGAAGGTTGTACGACCCCGCCTGTTCTACCGGGGTGTTTCTCTCTTCGTTACAGAAAGCATTTCCAGAAAGTTACACTTTCGGTCAAGATCTTAGTCAACAAATGGCTGATTTTGCTAGAGAACGAGTCGATGAAGTGCACTGTGGAAATGCAATGGATCCAAAGATACCAACCGGAACTGCTGATGTGTGCTTCAATCGTTTCTTGAATTCTGAAGTCGTCACTTCCACCGAGGCTGAAGTCCTTTTGGATGCATTACTACCAACTGTTCGAGAGAACGGGTTCATGGTTACGTTTGGTCACACTCCAGTTCTTCTGTCATCATCTAACTTCAGGCGATTGCAGAAGTTTAGTCTAGTGCAATCTGTAGGTGTCGCCACTGACAACTCCGGGATATTTCAGTATTACGTCATTAAACGCAAGGTTTAATTGGTAACGCTGGCTTGGTGACTGTTTCTCTCAAACAAATGTCCACAGGACGATTTTTATTGAATAAATCTCATAAATTTCTTTTGCGTTTTTTTATATATGAATCTGTAAACAACTGCTTTGTTTACTCGCTTTAAGTGTTTACGTTACTGTTTTTATCCTGAAATGAATTCCACATTCCTTGAAATCGTTCCTTTCATTTTGACAGGTTCATGTAGGATTAAAACACATCTGGAAACTGAATTGAAGATGTTCCACTTAATTTAGGGTGTTTGTTACCGTTTTTGGTGCATGCGTATCAGTGCCCTTTGAAAAACACAGATATAAAATGATTTCTTACATATTCAATTTCTACTCAAGTTTGACTTAATGAAGCAACCAAATTTATCCCATTTCATTTGTCGATGAATTTGACCGGATTAACATTGATCTTGGCGTATTAAAACACCCTTTACATGTTTTGTAAGGGGAGAGATTCCTTATAAATGTTTAATGCTAAACTTTAAATAAAAGTAATCAAATTTGCTTCATATTTGCAGAATATGAATTGATAACGATGAATAATATATAAAGTAATTATTGAATAAATCTAAATATGACATTATGGTAAATTGTATCAGAAAAGATTTGTTTTCCACGCTTTGAAAATATTTGTTTTAGACCTAGCAAATGCTGTCGTCTGCTACAATTTTTAACCTCCCATAGCCTGCAAATGAAAATCTTCAACAAGACCAAGATCATCCACAGAGCTAACAAAACACGCTACATGACCATTTAAGAATGGCTGCCTCCCAATTTGAAGCGGAAGACGAACATAAAACCAGTATAGACATTATTCTTTGCGGGAGAATTTTGTTAATTCAAAAATCCGTTAAACTTGCACAATTTCTAGTAACTTCAGACTTGGATTTGTTCAGAATATTGAAAACAAACCGTTCAACTGAAATAAAAGAATTTAATTTTGCTTTTGTCAATTTCATGATTCGATGAATCGAGTGGCTCCTCACAGATCATTATATGTGTCTCGTAAGAAACTCATCACCCCAGGAATTCGAGAAAAAAGCAAGATTCAATGTTTTGATAAACGTTAAATATACATATTTAGTGGTAAGATTATTCTATCACTTTCGAGCTAGATACATTGCCTAATATTATGATCGTTGTAATTATAGCTTTTGTCTGCCGTCCCTATATCAATTATTGCGTCTGCCTTCGTTCATCATTAGACTTATTTGTTTACAATTGATATTGCGCTAAAATAGCGTTTACATCTAAAGAGAGATTGATGAATTCGATCAGTTAAAAAATGTCACGTCAGTTTAGGACATCGGCTGAATTTTTTAGAACAGCAAGGAAGGAAGAATTCCATAAGGATAGCAAAGAAAGAGAGACTGTCAAAGAATGTGTAGGGGAAATTGTGGCATTTGTCCGAGACTCGGTGAAGATGGATATACAACCTAGTGATGTAGCACATAGACTCGGACACTTCAAAGGACAGACCACGGACGATCATATGTTAATTCACAAACAAGAGGAAGAAGGCAGCGACATTGAAGAACAGAAGGAATTTGAGAGGAAAGAGACAGGTAGTTTTTGAGAACTTATCACAGCGTAATCAGGCGACACTCAAGCAGGCATAAAGACTGAAAAGTGTGAAGCATACCTACAGCACAGATGGGGAATTATTTGTGGTTCTGGCCAACGAAAGAAGAACGGGATTTGGCCCGAATCCGAACTTTGACATTTAGACACGTTATTGTACCGCCAGAAAGGGACTATCTCAGGCTCGACAATCAGACATTTATCATAGTTTTTACATTTAATCCAAAGTTTGTCTGTTTGGCTACGTGTTTCATGTGTTTGTACGTATAGTCTCAGTAATATGGAAGGTATCAGTGTACTCCTGTAAGTGAGATCATACGTATAGAGATTCTAGTCTACCCTCTACATATACAGATAGGATTTACATAACGTATATTTAACCACTTATAACATGGATATATGATGTGTATATGTATTTATGTTAAATCAATCTGATACATTTCTGGACTCTAGGCTTCTTTTTTCATATTATTATAAAGTCCGGATTTCCTGTAGTGATTCATTTCAAATGTTGCTATAGTACTTCCGGTTTGCTGCTCATTTCCGCTTAGTCCGAGCAAACAGTTTTAGTAGATTTGGCAGAAAATAAGTTAAATATTCCGTGAGTTAACAGTCTTTTAGTACTCTAACCTTATTGATATGATTTTGTTTCTTTCTATGTGATATGTTTTCCTCTCATATTTCCTCTTTTCTAGTTCTGGGTTAGATGGTGGAGGTATGTAGACAAGTGGCTTAAAGCACCGTAATTTTAAGTAGCTAGTAATTGAAGGTATAACTGTTCTCTCCGCCAATCGGCAGGGTCTTGGGAGTATCGTTAATGTTTTCTCTTACTTCAAGTTTTAAAAAATCTGTAGCTATGATTTACAAGACACGCATTCCATGGAAGGAAACCAAACATATCAGAAATCAGTGGGGTTACGATGGTTGTTTCAGCTCTTTTAGATCTAATTCTTGAGAGGTAGTTATTTTGATAAATGATAATTTCGAAATTAAGATTAAAAAGGGAAAAGAGGGGATAATTCAGGAAATGTCTTAGCTCTAGATACTGGAAGGATGTAATATAACACTTATCACAGATTCTAACTTAGTATTGGATCCAGATTTAGATTATGACAGAAGCTACAAAAATGCGAATAACCTGAAGGCAAGAGAGAAAATATTAGAAATTATGGAAAGTTTTTCATTGGTAGATATTTATTGAGAGTTCATCCTGACAGGAGAAGACATAGTTGGAGAAAAAAAATCCATTAAAGCAAGCAAGATTAGATTTTTGTCTTATTTCACAAAATTTATCATCAAACTCCAGTATTGAGCCAGTTCAAAGGTCTGATCACTCATTTCCAACTCTCCACTTGAAATTTAATGAATTTAAATGGGGGAGTGGACTATGGAAATTCAAACCATCCTTATTGTATGCAGAATGAAGAGGAATGCTTTCAAGTAACACCATTTTAGAGATGAAAATACAATATTGTCTTTTAATATATAGTCTTCAAGATATAGATTATATTCCAAATGCAAATGTCATTGATGATCAGCTATTTTTGGAAACCATAGCATACTCATCACACAGAAAGAAACAGTTATTAAAAAAGATTAAAGGTAGC